ATAATCCAAGATCCGGAATAGGCTGAAACAGCGCTAGGACGTCTGTGAACTTCCAATGGCAGCAAATTTTTACCACGATGTAATGTAGTTGGGTTTCATGAATTATCCAATGCAAGCAATTTTGCAGGTAAAAGTGATCTGAGTTATCTATTTTATTTTTACTTTTTTTCACTTTATCAAAAATTCTATAATCCAAAGAAGTTATACTTTATTAATTGCACTAATAGGTTATTACTAACTATCATCAATTGAATTAGAGTAATAGGTAGGCGAAATTAAATCCCACATTAGAAAAAATAAAGAAAAAAGGGTTTACAGAGGTAAACATTCCGTTTAAATTTTTTTCTGACACTGAGTGTTCTAGTATCACCAAGAAAACCTCATTTCTTCATTTATTGACCTCTTAAAAGCCGCTTTGAACGACTACTTTGTTTTTGATATACTCGCATCTTCAATTTTTTCTATTCTATATATGTATATACAAAATGATTTTAGAGTATGTATTTTTCCTGTAAAACTTATCTTCGACCTCTAAAAGCCGCTTGAAGACATACTTTTGTTTTTAGGTTCTCTTATGTTTTGAAGCTTAAACAGTATAAAATAAGCCTTGTTAAAATTCACTGCTCTGTTCATTTTAGATTTTGATGACAACATTTTATAAAATACTTTTAAGGTGTAATTTTGCTTCTAAAGTTGTTTTGGCGTTGTTCTGAGTCTGTTTGGGATGTTTGTACTCATTATTCCATTTGTTGAGTGCAAAGAAATAACAGAGCCTTGATATGAATCTTTTTTTTGTCCTAGTATGCATCTGGGGGAATGCATGTTTGAGCGTAGGGCTTTGTCGTATGAACCCTCCTCCCTCTTGAAACTTTCATGCCTAGCCTTGAATTCCTTTCCTATATACCTAATCTGTGCAGGTTTGGTACTGTGTCTGCATCAAATAACTCATCAAATAGCTCAGAGGAACTGAAGAGGAAAGCCAGAGCAGAGAGGTATTTGTTTTTACTTCTATGGGTTTCAATCAATAGTACAAGTTAGTTTTGCTAATTACTGTTCAGGCTGTTTGTTACTAATATTTTTTATGTTGTTTTATAGGTTTGGACTTCCTGTGACTGCGGATGAAGATGCAAAGAAAAAAGCTCGACTTGACAGATTCTCATCAACTTCAAAAACAGATGTGGTGGAAGAAGAGAAAAGAAAAGCAAGGGATATCAGGTTTTTATCAAAATTTTACTCCATTTTCAACATAAATCATATGTTACATGTTTTGCATAGTTTAGTATTTGAAATGGTTGAGAGCTAGAGGAGTGATGTATTACTGTTTGTTTCCTAGGTTTTCACAGTCTTCATCAAATTCTCTGTCAATTAATGGCAAAGGAAATGTTGAACCAGTAAGGCCCCTCTTTAAGAGATCCTAGTACATATGCTGTGGATAGAAGAATAGCTATTTATGATTGTTTCCCTGTATTATTTTGTTACTAAACTTTTCTCTTGTTTCTAAATCAGAAGGCAGTTATTGCAGGCAAGGCTGGTGGAGATTCCTGAAGAGAAATAGTCTCCTTAAGTGTTAGGTAATGTCTAATAATTGCTGTCCATTAGCAGTTACTTCAACAATTGTATTTCATTGACTTGGCAAAATTTAAAGATTGAACAGGCTTATTTGAAAAATAGAGAATGGAAAATTGGTTGGGCTGCAATTTTTCATTTGTTTATTTGGTTTTATTTGGCAGGTGTAGTCTTCTAACTTGTAATTCCCTCAGTGGCTTCCATTCCCATTTTTATTTTCGAACATGAATTTCCAGATGTGGCATTCTTCATTCTCAGTCTCTACAGGGCATAGACAATGTTTTCTTGGTATGAAGAGCACTTCTTCAGTTTTTTCTAGATATACCTTCTTGTATCAGTTTATCTTCTGAGGGCTGAAGTAATCAACAACTACCTTTTTTTGTTTACTTATCTTAAAATCTACTAGGTATGCTTGAATTCTGGGTGTAGAAACTAGGGTGCTGATAATTATTTGATTTATATATTTAGCCCTGTGATTTGCAGAAAGTTCCTAATGTTTGCTGATTCTCATTTAACAGCACGCTCATGATCCATCAGAAAACAGCAGTGTTTAAGTAGTTATGGCGATATATGTTTTAAGAACTTGAGATTTCAAAATATGTTATTTTGCTTCATTAGGAAGTTGGGGATGATTCGTATAACTTTCAAATTGAATTGCAGAATGGCTAATTAAGAATGTAATTTACTAGGGAATGGATCTTATTCTAGTTGATGTAAGCATATGTCCATGGTCATTTTTGCTTTTGTGGTTGTAGCTGTAGAAGTTATAAAGTTAACTGCCATCTTAGAAGCCTAGACTTGCAGCTAATGAATATTTTATGAGGAACGCAGTCATTATATGTATAAAGCTTGCATGTCTTTTTAGTTTGTTTTTACTCTTAAGTCAATTCTTTACTTAAGCTTTTTATAATTAATTTAAGCCTTTTCTTTTCTTTTCTTTTCTTTTCTTTTTTTAAAGTTTTCCCTATCATGTCATACCATTTCACTGCATGAGAAAATATTTTACAACTAATATTTAATTGGATGACATTAACTCTACTAGGTGGTCCATATTCATAGGAACTTAGAAGGATTATATTAGAATGGAATAGAAACATTATGGTGGGATAGAAATAAGTGCATGTGTTACCTAATGCTGCTGTTTGAAGTTTGATCATGATATGTGTGTTTGGAAATGGAATGCTCAACATGGTTTGAATGTAATTGAAAGGTAAAGCCATCAGTGAACTTCAGCGGTATGTACTTATTATCAGATTGATAAGTGGGGTTCAAATTAGAAGATGTGTGATTTATTGCTTCAGAATATCTGATATTCCTAGCTGTGCTATTTTAAGAATAGTAAACACTGCAAAGGTGTTGTTGATTACTTTCTGGCCTCACAGTAGATCGTTCGAGCTGCAAGATAGGGTTTTGGGAATGAAGGATATTTTTGATTCATGGGATTGTTATTTATATATGTAATCTTTTTTTTTTTTTTTTTTTTTTTTTTTTTTTTAGCAAAGTGGTTGTTGTTCGATACTTTCTGGCCTCACAGTAGATGTTCGAGCCTGCAACGATACGAGGTTTTGGGAATGAAGGACTATTTTTTGATTCATTAGGGATGTTATTTATATACTGTAATGCTTTTTTGTCTTTTTTTTTTTTTTTTTTTTTTTTTTTTTTTTTTTTGTTTTTGTGTTTTTCCTTTTGCACTTGGCATCTGGATTCTTGTTAATGGTCAGATATTTTGGGATGGAATGCTTTGATTGGGAGAACATGTAAAATGTTTTTTAATTATATATTGTTTGCATAATTATTTTGGTCTTCCTGTTCACACTGCTCATAATTTATGCTGATGTATAATTTACTTAAATATGATTTTGTAGTTCAATTATAATGGTGTATATGGTGTGTTACCCTACCCTGGTAATATCTGAAATGAAATGAGCATCTAATTTATGCAAGTGAGCCGGAATTTATAAGTATCATCTTTTTGATAGGTTTGGTTCTGAAAGGCTGTTTGTAATTTGCACACAGCGAAAGGATGTAGCATTTAGTTTAAGTTGATACTAGTAGATTTATTCAACCCTCAACATTGAATTGGAATTGGAGCAATTATGAATTGGAAGAACATTTTGTACGAAATTGAATTGAGAGTTTTCTGATGCTCAACAAACAGAGCCTGAAATGTTAATATCTAGGTTGGAGCATCACAGCTTAAAATGTTCATGATCTTTGCTGTAACTGTAGCTAGTTAAAATTTCTGTGATTTCTGGTGTTAGAAAGTGGATTGTACTTGATGATGTGTTTTCATTGCATTGAAGTAATCCTCGAATGAGAATGTTCAATTGATGTTTGACCATGTTTGCTTGTGGTCCTCCATGACTGGTTCAAATCTATAGAAATAAAGAGCTGTCTGGAGGTGGCGCAAAGGGGGAGGGGGGTGAGGGTGTGGGTAGGGGTGGTTGATCACTTTGGCACAGCATGGGTAAGGAACGTGAAAGAGTACGAAAGACAAGTCGAGGTTGTGTGCTTTTTGATGGCAAATATGCTTCATCTCTTACAGTTTGATGTCCGTGTTCTGATCCGTGATACCCTTCTCTTTTTTGATATCGAAATGCAAAGGAAAATCTTATTAGCAAGGAGAGGGGATTGTATATTTAAATTGATTTTTTTTTTTTAGTTTTTGTTACTGTTGCAAATTGCGTTGTCCTGTTAAAAAGCAGGATACCATATTGAATCAGAAAAAAAAAAAAAAAAACTGTAAAGCAGGATACCTATTGAATCAGAAAAAAAAAAAAAAAAAACTAAAAAAAGGAACAATCTAGCCATTTGGTTGTCAGCTTGATATGGTCGAAGTTGAAGGCTTTTTTTTTACTCCTTCCAAAAACTAGAAGTTGCAAAAAAAAAAAAAAAAAACTAAAAAAAGGACAATCTCAGCCATTTGGTTGTAGCTGATATGGTCGAAGTTGAGGCTTTTTTTTATCCTTCCAAAAACTAAAGTTGCACTAGTGCATTGGCATAAATGGTATAATGTGGCTATTCATTAAGACGGCGAGCAATTAGCTAATGGTTCCTAACATAAAATCCATAACATGAAGAAAGAGAGATTCACATCTATACATGGACGGTTCGAGACTGATTCCATATTCAGTTTTTGCAGAGCCATTCTTGGCATTCCAAATGTAAAGCTAAAATGAAAATCTTCGTTAAGATTCCTCCCTTTTTGGGGTCTCAGGAAAATTAACACATGTTCTAACTGAATTAAGAAGTAATTACTATGTTCTAACAACAAACTAGCGCTGAATCTTCCAAACTATGAGGTAGCTGACGCAGGAGCAATTCCTCCTCGAATTGAAAATGGATAAGCATTGAAGGAGTTTGTATTAATCATGTGAGAGTCAATGTACACAACCACAACTGTGATCTCATCATGAAAATGTCTCCTCACGCCTCTATCAATTTTTTTCAAATCAGTATACCTCATTTCTCTTTTTCTGGCTGCTTCCTTGAGTGCAGCATTAACAAGTCTCTTGGCAATTCCCTGCATTAGAAGGGAAAAAAGAGATTATACACTTAGGTAGTTAAATCGACTATTCAAGACATGGCAGTTCTAAGAGTTGGAACTCACGTTGCGAGGGAGATTTTGCACAATTTCCACAGCCTGCTGATTGCTAAGATGCTCCCATAGGCCATCGGAAGCAAATATGAGGAACTTATCTTGTGGTTGCAGTTTACGCACTATAGTTGATGGCTCTGAACTGAGGATTGGCTTATGGAATGGTTCAGCCAATCTATACTTGGACTGTAAAGGCTCTTTGTTGAACTCTGCCTTTTTAAGGTAAGCATCACCAATCGATCTTGAAACCTGTAAATCCAAAATTATTTGTCCATCCAGTACAGACAACACTTACGTACATACAAGAGTTTCAAGAGGAAAATGAAATTTACCTGGATAATGCCTTTGACACGCCATGCTCTGTGCTTCAGGACAACAATCTGAGAATCATCAGGATGTAAAGTTTGAAGTTCGTTTCTTACATGTTCTATATTTGCATTGTGTTCAGCAGATAATTGTACGGCTGTAACTCCTCGGTTTCCTCTTTCTACTCTGCCTAAGACTACCCGAGAGTCTCCAGCATTCGCTATGTACAATAATCCATTGCATATAACCCCCGTTAAACAGCAAGATCCCACTGATGCCATTTGCGGCTTACTGTGCCACTGCTTTTTCACTAGAGCAAGAAAATCCTCTTCTGTTGCTGAAAATGCCTTCTTTATAACATTTTCGGATATTTCTTGATGCTCAGACACAATTGCTGAATCACAAAAATTAAACTCCATCAGGTATGCTTGATAACCACCATCTCAGCAGATTTTTGTATCAATTAACAGTAAAATTTTTAAGAAGAAAAAATAAAAATTTCAACGTACCTTTAAAGTTGGAGAAAAGATTGTGACAGATAAATCTTGAAGCCTCAGTTCCTGCATGACCATCATATACACCAATAAAAGTCCCCTGAGGACCTGAATTTGCATAGCTCAAGGGTCCAGATTCAAGTTGGCTTTGATCCTCTAGCAAATTGTTGGCCTGAATTACAGCCATTGAAAACTCTCCATAAAGATGGTTACCTAAATCCTTATACCACAATAATCCATCAACCTTTCCAGTGGCATCATCATCAACGCGAGGTCTCCAGCAAAGCTTAACCATTTTCAAAATATATGTCACTTAAATTTATATTTATGTTTATCCAAGTTCTATAATATCCCTAACGATAGGTATATATGTTCATAAGAAGGAAAACCCAAATCACAAATCCAGTTTCTGCTTATGGTCCAATCTCAGAACGAGAATTGCTGAAATTATATAGCCGTTCGAGACAGACAGTACAACAGAGAAATAAAGACCAAATGGGTATGGGCTAAAGTAACTGAGAAGTAAGATATTGAGACAAGAAGGCAATAGTTATCAAGTGAGTTGAAAGGAACATGGAGGTATGCTGGAGGTATGTACCTTGAATCTGGTAGAGTACGTTTGGTCCTTTCATGCATGTCATATTCAAAGAAACAAAGCTTAGCTGTAAAAAGAGGACATGGAGTTTGTATTTGACAGAGTCTGGTCCGAGATGAGAGGGATCAAAGGGAGCAATCAGCAATGGATAAGAGAAGGGTTTGGAGTTTTTTGGCAGAAGATCTTCATTTTTGTTGTCAGATAGAGATCCAAGGATGGGAAATAAAAAGATACAAGTTCAAATCCCTGACGTTGTTGTTCTCTTGTTGTTTTGTCTTTTCTGCTTCTGTGGCCTTGGTGGGGTTTCTAAGTTTTAACTAAGCTTTCCCATTCCATGACTGGTTTTTGTGGGTTTCGTTGACGTGTATGAGCAATAACCCTCTATCTCTGGCAATTTTTTTGCATTTTGCACGGTCCTTTTTGTCTTCATTAATGGAGTGAGTGGAGACGAAACTAGTTCATTTTATTGACGGGAGTAGTAAGTAATCTCAACTACACCTACGATTGAAGCAAATAGTAACTTCTGTAACCCAAAAACACATTATATGTATATGAATTTAGACGAAGAACTCATTTAGGTGCCTTCTGCATGTGGTCAAAAAATAGATGAGCTTGGATCAAACACACGTGAGCTATTATAGTATTGCCATTATCAAATCTCAGTATTATTGTTCTAAAAACAGTCCAAAAAAAGGGCTGAAGGTTAAGCGAATTTGCATTTCAATTGTAAGAAAACAAAATCAATTAGCCTAGTTCATGTGTTGTCCCACATTTTTGTTGGTGTTGCATGGAGCAAATATGGGTCTTCTAATTTCCTCTCTTATCATAATTATTAGAAGAGAAAGAAAGAAAGAGTGAAAGAGTGAGTAGTCCAGGGGGATCAGACAAGGGGACCAATGAGAGGAGAAAGTGGTACATGCACTAAAAACATGGCCACATATTCAAACAGCTAATGCCATATGCTCAGAACACCAACTTGGTCTGCAACTGGCCAACTTATTATCAGTTTGGTTCAGATCATATTTTATACATCTATATGTCTCCACCCAAGAAAATGAAAAAGAAAAAAAATATATTTTTGTAAATTTTATTGTATGGGTTTGAAGAATACAATGATTGTCAATTATGCGGTGGCATTGGTCTCTTCGATATTGTGATATTGTGAAGAGTGAAAAGTCTCGGGTTTGGGTTTGAGTACTCGAACACATTAGTCAGACGGTGGTTGATTTGGTTTGTATCGGAGTATAAAATATTGATATAGTTTGCACGTGCATTTATAGTATTGAATTGATAAAGAATTTACTACTTAGAGATTTGGTAGGCACTTGGGCTTTCATTGGGCCGAAATTGGGCTACTCTGTTTCATTTTATACAGGCTCAGGCTTTCGGCCCATGTAAACCGGAGAAAACAACGAATGGCATTCACGAGGCTTCAAGGACTAATGTTTGCTTAGGTGTAAAAACATAGGATCGGACAGGACAATAATGCATTAACTTTGAGGGCATAATAATTCCAAGCAATCTGAATCATGTGATGGGATGCCTCAATATTCTGTTAAGGTTAAATTCATATTTACCAATAGAAACAAATTCATCCTTCAGTGCCCAAGCCAAAGGCTACTTCCTCCAATGTCTAGGAATTGTTGCCCAATGCCATTTTCCAACTCACCAAAACCCTAATTCATTCTTTTCAAAAAAGAATTACAGATTCTCTTCAAGCAAAAAGTTAAAGAAGAAATTCAACTTGACTAGGTTCATTTAGACCAAAAAAAAAAAAAAGGACACCAAAATTATGGCTTTAGTTAAGTACAAGCTGCAATTAAAGAGAATACTACATTTTAATAATACACCAAACCAACATTTTTTTTTTTAAAATGTTACTCCAGGATCGAGCGTAGATAAGTCTTTTCGCTGACTAGAATCTTAAATTTTTATTTTAGTTGCTATGAGATCTTGGATTCAAATCTAAAAAAGAAGAGCCAATTGAAAAAAAAAAAAAAAAAAAAAAAATTTTATTTTGAGTTTGCTATGAGATCTTGGATTCAAATTAAAAAAGAAGAGCCATTGAAAAAAAAAAAAAAAAAACACCAAAATTGCATATCTAAACAAAAATCAGAGTAACTAGTGGAAAAGAAAAAAAAAAAAAAAAAAAAAACACCAAATTGCATATCTAAACAAAATCAGTAACTAGTGAACCCAAAGATAATATATCATGTGAATGCAGCAGATCACAGGCATCAAGTGACCAAACCCAACTATCACATTAACATTCAATAAGCTTGTATCCAAAAGAAAGTAAAGCATCAAAGAAAATATATAAGGCCATACATTTGGGACCCAGTAAGAAAAGAAAAGGAAAAAAAAAAAAAACAGATCATCTGGACACCATTTTGCAATAATTCCCCACTTCACATGATCTTTTATCAATTTCAATGATCACAGTCACATAACTTTATTACCAATTTAACAATCTAATTAATGTAATACTAACTCTGGGCTTAAGAGCCAAAACGACATCCCTTTATTCTAATGTCCATCTCTGCTAATGTTATGTATTATCTATAACTACCATCATTACTGCTAACTCATATGGATTCAAGTTGGGCCAACCCTAATTATGTCTCTTCTCATCTCCACTGAGCTTTGTATCTTTTCTCTTGCATGTCTTAAAGCATCAAGAACTTCGTTAATGCTTTTGTTAACTATCTTCAACTCACTGGTCTTAGCAATGGGGGATGCTGCTAAACTCACTGGAACTATTGCTAACGAGTCATCCGTAATATACTCTTCATCATCACTCTCTCTTTTTCCATTTCTTTCTATCCCCACCACTGGAGCTTCTAAGTTTGAACAACTGAAAATAATACGTTTTCCATCATTAGCTTAAAGAAATGAAAATAATTTAAATTGGACAATGTAGGTTCATTTGGTTTTACCTCTGAGAATATTCCTTTGGATCTTGACTTCTTGGAGCGGACTGGTGGCAAGATTTGTCGGGGGGAGAATCTAAAGAATCTTTAGTAGTGCTTGAACTTTCTTGAATGGTGTTTTGGACATTTTCTTCCATTTCATGCAAGGTTTGAGACTTGGATACTGATTCTTCAGTGTCCTTCGGGCCTGAAGTACTTGAAGATGATGAGCATGACAACCCACAATTCTCAGATGAGCTTGATTGCTCCAAACCCTCTAATGTAGCAGAAATTTTTAAAGAATCAAACTTTTTCATCAAGAATTTAAGTTTCTTTTCTGCTTTTTGTCTCAATTTGGTTTCTTCTCTCAGTTTGTTCTCTAGCTCTACTAACTGTACAAAAGAAATCCGAGATCTCAAAATGAGTCCACAGCAAATGTCAATTAAGAAGCAGAATACAATGCATGCAGGTACATTAAATCAATTACCCAATGGAATAGAGGAAATTAAAGAACAGACCTTGTTGCCCATGAGCTCTGCTTCCTCTTTGGCAACCCTTGAAGCTTGTCTCTCTGCAAGCAATCTTCCTCTTAGGCAGTCCAGAGTTCTCAAACTATCCTCTCCTTCCATTTTCTTCTTGTCACTGAAAGACACCCCATATGATATCAAAATGTGAGAAATGAGGAGACAGAGAGAGAAAAAAAGGAGAAAGTGACAAGAACCCACCTCCATCCTCTGTCTTCTTTGCCAGTAGCGGTCATTTTCCTTTCCCTTGATGAGTTTAATCAAAACTGCAGAACCCTACCTTTTTTTACCTCCACTGTTTTGTAAAAAATGTATATGAAAAATAAGAGAAGGGACAAATGTGGGTATTTTCTTTTGTTTTAGCAAGAGAATTTTGAACTGGTCTGGTCAATAATAAGTTGTTAGAAACTGAAAGACGTATGCATCAATGTGTTTGTTAAGGAGGAAGAGAAAGTTCTAAAGTGGAAAGTGTGTTTCAGTGTTCATTATATACTTGATGGCTTTAAAATTATGATGACAGAATACCATTCCTCTAGAAAAGTTCACATTAGCAAATTTATTTTGTAAGTTTTAATTTTCGTATGGATGAAGTAAAACTCTGTTTATAACTTAAAAAAGAAAAGAAAAGGGAAGGAAATGTAATTCTTGGAAAGATGGGTGGATAAAAAAATACTATTATTATTATTACCCTGTTTTTAAAATCCAACCAAACACCTCCAAGTGCAAGAATGCCATACCATACTCTGTTCAAGAACCAAGCCAGTGAATGATATCACCGCGTGAGCAGTAGATTCAAATTTTGAAATTGAAAGATAAGATATTTCAAGACTTGGTTTTATTTGTTTTGAATTTTGATGGAGCTTATTCCTGTAGCCTTCACGTGACGTCTCTGACTTCAAGTCGTCATGTTCTTGTTTTTTAAATGCAGAGTTTATTTGTTTTAGATTTGAATTCAGCCTTTCAAAATCAACCCCAAGACTTTTTCCGAGTCTACCATAACAATTAAAATTTAATTCCAAGATAATTGCAATCTTTCATTTCTATTCTGCTGTATTAACGGTGAAATCCGTATTAATATCAAGAAATGGTATATATGCCATTGCTTTGCTTTGGGGATGGAGAAGTTGGAAAATAATTAGAAAATAAAAATAAGAAAAGATGCATCAATTAGTAATAAGTAGCAGCTTGCATTGCATTGCACTCAAAGAAACAAAAAACACATGGAATAATTTTTGCAACTCCAATTAAGTGGGGGCCAGCAGCTTTCGTTGTCTGGATTTTCATTTTGCTTAATTAAGATATCTTGAAGTCTGTCAGAACTCATTGTTGTTCAAAACTCATAAATTTATTTTTTTAAGATTTTAGATAAAAAATGATAGTGTCAAATCCACCTATAAAATCTGATTTGGGCCATGCAATTTATCTCACATTTTATTATTGTGTTGTAGTAAAAGTTTAGCAGTGAGGGCCTTTCTATGGCCCAATCCATTATCATTAGATCCTGCTCGCGGTCCAACAACATAACATCTTTTTTTTTTTTTTTTTTTTTTTTTTTTTTTTGCAGTGAGGGCCTTTCTATGGCCCAATCCCATTATCATAGATCCTGACTGCGGTCCAACAACATAACATCTTTTTTTTTTTTTTTTTTTTTTTTTTTTTTTTTTTTTTTTTTTTTTTTTTTTTTGAGAATAAGCATGCAAACTAAAAAGAAAAAAAATGCAAATTATTATTCAATTATTTCAATTCGGTACAAGTATGCATGGTCGATAAATATAATACAGGAATTGGATTTTTCCTAACTAGCCACTAATTCCCTTTATTTATATCTATACACCTGCTCATATACTTAACCACACGTGTCCCTATCGTCAATAACATGTGATCCTCTACAAGTCTATAGTATCTGTTATATATATGGTCCATGTTTACTTCGACCAGGGGCAGTCAAACAAGTCCGTCTGATTCTGCCACGTCAATCAACCAGCTGTGATCAGACATGTTCAGCACCTCCTTTCTTGATTAGAAGATTCCACAGCCGTTGGATCTCTCCAAACGCATCTTCTGTAGGAAGCTCAAACCTGCAATATGGGCAAGTATTCCTCTTCGTCAACCATGGCAAAATGCACATCCAATGAAACAAATGTTTGCATGGCAATTCACAAACGTCTCTTCCTCGTCTCATATTTTCTTTACATATCCCACACTCTCCACCACCATCACCACCACCACCACCACCTCCTTTAACCTCCACTGTCGGCAGCGCCACCACGGCTGCTGGTGAAGCTGCCACTTCCCTCCCTTCTTTCCCTACACAACCACCCGTTCCATTGACAAACTTCCAACACCGTACTATCATCTCAATATAGGGTAAAAGAACGCCACCATAGTAGACCCCAATGCTAGAATGATCTAACATGATATCAGAGCAACGCTTGCTTAAAACTTCCCGCCATTCTGAACGTGGGGCGGCAAGTATTTCAGGGTTTTCTTGATGAACATCACATAGGAGGAGGAGAAGCAACGCAGCGTCGAGGTCACGGTGTTTGATGGTGGCGGGAAGTGGTTGCGGGTGGAAATGGCGTGTGAGGTGGTTGAGGGAGGAGAGGAGGTGGTTAGCAATAAGTAGGGTTTTGTGAGAGAGGGAAAGGGATTGGAGGTGGTGGATAGCGAGAGAAAAGGAGGAAGGAGAGGAAAGGAGGGAGGAAAGGCGGTGGTGGTGATGGAGGGTTTGCGAGAGGATAGAATGGGTTAGATCTGAAAGTTGGGGAGGAGCTAAGGTGGAGAGTGCAGCAATGATAATGGCATGTTCTTCTTGTTCCATATTACGGGATCGTGAGCCTTAGCTCCGATATGTGGCTTTTTATGCGAATTTCACCCGCTCGAATGACCAAATTCTCCTTTGTATTATTGTTGTTGTTTCAAGTTAATACATATTACGCAAGTACGTACATATATACATATGTGAATAGAGCAACTAAAAAGGTTGGAGAGTTAGAAACCTGAGCTGGAATACTAGAAACTTAAAAGGGTTATACCTGAATTTCAGCTACATTTAGCCCAAGAAAACAATAAAAAAAAAAAAAAAAAAAGGCGCTGTTGGTTACTTTTTGATGAAAAAAAAAAAAAAAAAAAGGCTGTTGGTTACTTTTTGATGTTGAAAATCAGTTAGTGAGAGAGTGATTAACAATCAGACACTCGTTTTAGCAATTTGTTAAGGTTATTCTGAGCCATTTGTAAGATTTGCTATTAGAGCAATTAATGAGCTTTGGACAGAAGAGTCTTTCTAGTTATGTAACAAAGATAAGATGGGACCAGTGATGTAATGTTCTAGCTAAGTTGAAAAGAAGAAAGAAAAAGACACTAACTTGCATTAGGTGATTGAGTTGGCAACGTGGACGAGAGAATGTAGGTTCTTTGTTCACATGTATGTGTCTAGTTTCTATATATATAGTGTATTTGCCTTAACCGAACAACCACAACAGATAAATAATAATTTGACCCATCCTTTTGTCTCCTACAACTCCATTATTGATCATAAAAATTATCCGCCCGCACTAAGCTCCGAGTCTTTGACAATGGCATGCACAGCCCTTTTGTTCTTAAAATATAGGTATGTTTTTGGAATCTGAGTCTCAATACATTGTAAATCACACCGATTGACATTCTCCGATGCCTAATAGGGGACTTCTGGGACAGATTTAGGGGTAAAGCCAATCTTGTTATCTCCTATCCTAACATTGGATTCTGAAGATCTTTTTTTAAACTGGACCCATCACTTTTATTTCAAAGCTGAGAAAGAATTGGGGCCAGGGAAACAAAGCCAAGTCTAGGCACATATATAGTAGAGCATGTCTCATTTTAAGGGAGACAAATGATACGTTTATGGACATTGGAAACCAGTTCATGCATGGACCGGTTCTAGGAAAAATGAGAATAAAATAATGGCAACATTTCCCATTAGTGATGATTAAAAGCCAACACTTTAACCCAGTCAATAGTTGAGCTAAGTTAATTGTTCCAAAAGCTTTTTTGCAACTGATCAACCACAGCATCATGGGAACATGTCAGGAGAAAGATGCATTTAATGTCCAGCACGCCATATTTTCATATCATCATTGCTCAAGTGGCCATCAAGTCATGCAAATTGCCAATGAAATGATAAAATGTACTGTAAATATTAATAGTTGGAAAGGGGGGTTTAGGAAAAACTTGAAGCCAAGGCTTACATAAACAAAATCAAAATATGCTCAGAAAAATAAAATCATCTAACCACGAAGCAGCATGTGTCAAAATCAAAAGGTTAATTTATAACATAGTCCTGCCAACTGTACTCTCAGAAACCCAACAAAGCAAAGAAGCAGTGATTGCAATAGAAAAATATATTGAGCTTGATGCAGCAGTCACCAGAAAAAAAAAAATGTCATTAGAGAATCAGAAAAGCAACACCAGACAGAGTACCCAGAGGAATATAAGCATCAAATATATTAAGATTGTAGAAAGACGATCAATAACATGGTAATTAATGCGAGACAATTCCAAATGCATGCTGTATGGAAGAATATAGCCAATGACATATTTTTTTGCGAACTTAATGTGTCAAACAAATAATTTCACAGTTTTCCAATTCTTTGCCATCCTCAGTACAGATATTTTCATGTCATGATACACTGTGAAACATCCCTAAGGCCCGTCTTGGTAATCAACAAACCAATGCAAGATCAAGCCACAATTACCTGAGGAACAGGAGCTTACATTAACCATCCAGAATTGCTAAAAGCATGAAATACCAAGTTCTTCCCATGCTCCTCTTCCAGCCAATCAGCCAGATGATTCACAAGCAAGTCAATCTCTTGTTCAGCTATCCCACCAAATTAGTGACTAAGAATCTCAGCCATCAGAAAAGTAAAAGTAATGACATGAAATCCCATTGAAGTATACCACTCAGCATATTTCATAAGATGCTTCTGCTTTGATCCTAACCATCCTAACAAAACCATAATTGTCACAGAATTTACTGATGAGCAATAAAAGACCCAGAAACATCAATAGCATCTGGCTCTGGCAAATGCCATCTGTATAAGACATCAGAAGTGAAAGTAGAGATTTATTTGTAAATGCAGTTGGCTTAGGCCCCTTCACCAATTCTGCAGACCGATGAATGCTGAAGAAGTGGAGAAGGTAATATACTCAGACCAATTTCTGAACAGAATTAGGAACTAGGAAGTTAGCATTAGGTACAGGTACAAGAATCCTACTGATGGAGGACAAGTAGGTTAGCTTAGAAACTGATATAGCAGAGACCCATGAAAAGCTTGGTTCTTGTACGGAATAGATAATGGAGAATGGGATTGGAGTGAGCCAGAACAAGTACCAAAAGATTTGAAAGATGGGAGTTTCTCAGAAAGGTCGGTAGAAACAAAAGCCAAGGCCACACTGCAGCTGTCGCTGAAGTATTCCAGATAAGGAACCCAAGGAGGAGATTGAAGCAAAAGATCTCTCACACAGGCAGGCAATTGTCTGCAGCCACAACCCATATATCAAAGTAGGTGAAGAAAATAGAAAGACAGTCTCCTGCACAAAATTGGATCAAATCAAAGATGAGAATTTTTCAAGATGAGAGCAAAAATGAAAAGTTTTATTTTTTTATATTCTGATAAAAATGCAGATATAATCAATCAAATCCAACTGAAAGATAATAGCTGTGACTACTAAAGTAAAATGCAACTTAAGGCAAGGCTCTGAATGCTGAAGCAAGAGACACAAATCACTAAGGAAACATCAAAACAGAATTTACAGTGAATTGCCTGAACCTATTCCTAATTTACAAGTACCCGTATACTGAGAGAATCTATTGTTCAACCAAAAAGGCTATCCTCATGGAGCTCTTCCTGCAAATTCCCTTCATCTCTTATCATCCCAAGCAACCCTTCCAAGATTGCACATATCTCTGCAGAATTTTCACTAGATCTGTCCGTTGCAATAAAGCTTCGTAGCCCTTTACTAGTTTCTATCCAGCTACTTCCCGGTAACTTCTTTAAGCCAACTTTATCCATCCTTTCTCTCACCACATCAGCTTCCTTCCATCTCTCAGCCTGGGAATACAAATTGGCCATGATCACATAAGTCCCAGTATTTTCTGGTTCAATTTCAAATAAATGATCAGAAATGAACTTGCCAAGTTCAACATCACCAGAAACAGAAGCTCCATGAAGCAATGCACCCCAAACTTTTGCACTTGGCTCAATTGGCATTTTGGAAACAAACTCTTTAGCTTCAGAGAGCCTCCCTGACCTGCTCAGAGCACCTACCATGCAAGCATAGTGCTCCACCACGGGCTGAATACCATATTTCTTAAACATGGTCTCAAAGATCTGCCAAGCTTCATCCACCATTCCACAGTGAGCACAAGCTCCCAACACTGCTATGAATGTGACTGAATCTGGCTGAATTCCACTATTCAACATATCATGAAAAAAACTGAGAGCCAAATTAGCATCTCCATGGACAGCATATGCTGAAATTATTGCAGTCCAAATAATCAAGCTCCTTCCTTTGGATTGATCAAAAACACTCTGAGCCCCACTAAGATATCCTGACTTTGCATACATATCAATAATTGCAGTAGAAACATAGATATTTCCCTCAAATCCATTTTTAATGGCGTAAGCATGCGCTTCTTTCCCTCCTTTCAAACTTGAGAAATATGATAAGGTCGGAAGTATGCTTGAGAGCGTCACAGCATTAGGTCTAAAACCAAGCTCCTGCATTTCTCTAACCAAATCTAAAACCCCCTCATGCCGATTATTTTGTACCAAACCTGAAATCACAGCATTCCACGTGCTTAACAATTGATTTTTCATTTCTCTAAAAAGACCCAAACCTTGATCAACATGGCCATGACTCATGAATCCAGATATAATTGCACCGTAAGTAACTTCATCCTTTTCACTCATCTCATCGAACAATTCCCTTGCATAATCCAAACTCCCACATTTCGCATACAAGTCAATCAAAGCATTACAAATCCAAATATCCATTTCAACTTGATTATCAACAATTAATCTATGCACTTCCATTCCAAAAACGAGGTCTTTAGTCTGTCCACATGCTTGCAAAATACAAACCACAGTGACCCCATCAGGCCTAAAACCCGAAAAATCCATCATTTCCCTGAACAGCCTTTTACATTCCTCATAAAACCCCGCTTGAGAATAACCAGCAATCATTGAATTCCACGTCACCAAATCCCTCTCCGTCATTCTATTAAACACCTTCCTTGCTAAGACCAAATCATCACATTTGGAATAATATGTAATCAAAGCATTCTCAACAAATAAATCAGCATCGAACCCTCCTCTCAAAACAAAACTATGAACTTCCTTACCCAATTTAACATCAGTGAACAATAAACTAGAAAGCGACTTCAACAAGCACGTGATTGAGAAATTATCAGGTCTTGCGTTCACTGAACTCGACGAGGATAAGGACGAGAAAAGGTTCAAAACATCAATGTGTTGCTTATGGAGAGAGTAGGTCATGAGCATAGCGTTATAAGAGAAGGTATTCTTATGAGGAATTTTATCGAACACGCGGCAGGCGTCTTTTAGGTTGTTAGTTTTGGAGTAAAGAGTTATAAGTTTGGAACCAAGGTAATTGTCGGGCGGGACAGAGCAGAGTATGAGTCGCGCATGCAGTTGCCTCGCTTGAAGAGGGAGACGATGTTTGGTGAAGTGATGAAGAAGGAGAGCGGATACGCCATAATCGAGCCTGGCGGCGGACCTCAATTGACGGAGGACTTGGCCGTCTAACGATTTTGATATGTTTCTCATTCATCTGCTCGCCAGCGTTTACCTGCTGACTGTTGGCGCCTTTTATGCGAGAGTGTGTTTAAATTTTAACTGCACGACGTCGTATCTTGGCTTGTTACAAAACGGCGCGTTCCAATGCAGCGTGTTTAGTGAGGGTGAGATAGAAAGCAGGGTATTGAATTGAAAGCCCGAAGACAACGAGCTGGGGAACTGTAACCGTCTATTTCAGCTTCATCCCTCCTGGCTTCATTTTCTCTAATAAAGGTTTGCTATTTGATGAAGAAAATAGGTTTTTGAAAGATCCCAAAACTCAAGAGGAAACTGAGAACTTAAGATCAACTAGAAAATGCTGCGAGTTACAACGCTGAATCGTCGTTCATTTATCAGTTCTCATTATATTTCCACTTCTGACTGGTGAGCACTTCCTAAGCTGTTTTCTTTTTTCATCTCCCAAATTTGTGATATTTTTGTGAAATTTGTTTGTTTTAGAATTCTTCAGAAGTGAAGGGTAGAATGCAACTGTTTGCTTACTAAGAACTAGTTGCGCTTGTATTATGTTAGGGTTTTCTTGGCCTTATATCTTCTTTTGCAAGGTTATTATGAATATCCAGAACGGAAAATTTGAATTTAAGGATGATTATGAGAACAATCATCTGAAGTTCTGTTTTCATGGGTAGCTACTTTAATTTCTTTTTTCTCGGTTCTTGAAAGGAGAGTTGGCTGGTAAGCTGTTTTCATTAATTTCTAGGCATGGCTTTATAAGCTAGCTATTTATTTTGGATATATATATATTTATGAATATCCAGAAACGGAAAATTTGAATTTTAAAGGCATGATTATGAGAACAATTCATCTGGAAGTTCTGTTTTTCATGAGCTACTTTAAATTTTCTTTTTTTCTCGGTTCTTGAAAGGGATAGTTGGCTGGTAAGCTGTTTTCATTAATTTCTAGGGCCATGGACTTTATTAAGCTTAGCTATTTATTTTTGGATATAATATAATTATATATATTATATATATTATATTACCACACACACACCACACACACACACACACACACACACAACACACATATATATATATATATATATATATATATATGTGATGTGTGTGTGTGTGTGTGTGTGTGTGTGTGTGTGTCTGAGGAGAATGTATTCATAGGGAGTGGGTGGCTTATGGCAAGTGAATATTCTGTAGCAATCATTGTCAATCAAGATTCAAGCTGGCTAACTTTTTTGGTTGGAAACATGTAGGATTCACAAGAAATCAATTCCATTTGGATGATTTTGAGATTGCTTGGTACTCCTAAAAATGCATTTTCTGTGTTTGGTGGGGAAGCATCAAAGAATCCCTTTCTAAAATGCATTCTCTCGTCATAATCTACTGCAGATTATCTCCTTAGAGGTTGAATGCAGAATTATGAGCACAAATATATTCAAGGAAAGTTAATGTATAACTCACTATTAAAAAAAAAATTCTACAAATTGGGGAAATTGATGTTTAGTGTCAACTCATGATGTTTGAGCACTTTGCTTTGTGCTTATTCTTGTTTCTTCATGCTTTTTGTTTATAGTTAAGATAGCTTAGGCAGTCAAGCTGCTCGTTTTTCTTCTCTCCCTTCCGTTGGTTTGATTGTTTTGGTAGACTTAAATCGTTATCATTGACTTTTAGCTTGATTACTTTGTAGATTGTCAGCTATCTGCATCATTGTGGTCTTTTGGAATGAAATAACCATTTCATCAAGAGAGAGAGAAATCAGAAAGTTGGGAGCAAATTTAGAAGAGAGAAAGGATTAGTGAGAAAATTGAAACATGCCTATATAGCTTTTTCAAAGTACTAAATTAATATTAAGCATATATTAGCTCTCGTCCTTAACTTGAGAATAATAGAGAAGAATCCACAATAACATCTGCATTTTAGGATTCATTGAGGATTTGAATTTTGTACTTTTAGCTTAGGCAAGAGTAGGTAATATAAAATTGATTCTTAGAAAATTTGCATAGATATACATGCCATATTTTGTATGTCTTCTTCTCTGTGTCACTGAGTTCTAGTTTCAATATTTGATTCCTTGATGTACTGTTTGATCTTTCACCTTGCTTCTAGGGAGATAATATAGGGTTACCCTGCAAAAATGGCAACGAGCAACCAGTGCACCTGCAGTAATTAATACAGCATGTTGATTGTGGACACTTTGAAACTTCAACATATACATTTTTTGATTGTCATTTGATGCATGTTTGTCAAGTAGCCTTGGCTCAGAAAAATTTTATGGTTAATTTTTGTGATGTTGCTTTCTCAAAAGACATGACTTTGCCAAATCTTCCTGCAGAGGATATTTTTTGTCAAAGGCTCAGCAGACTTCTTTTTCTCAATCATAGTGATGGAAAGAAGCTTATTAATGAAAATGTAGTTTAAGTTTGATGGAATGATCTTGGAAATAAGAGCATGCTTGAGATTACATGTGCAGTGTTCATATTTCATATGCATACCAATTATTCTTCTCTGGACGTCTCTGGCCCTAATTAATTGCTCAACCTCTGGAGCTTCCAGCTGTCAGATTATATTTGTTGAAGGATTATTGAGACATTCCTTTTATTTTCGAGATTCTTAAACTCCATCCACAAGCTATTCCACAGAGAGCTAGAAATGGAAAATACAATCAAAGGGCCAGTATCAGAGTCTTTAGAGACAGGTGTTTTTGAGTTACCAGGGGAACCTGCTATTGTTATTAATGGGGTGCCAGACATCTCCCCAAGTGATGGCAGTCTTATTCCATCAAGTACTGCTAGTGATGCAGAACAGCAAAGAAACACAAGTCTTGATGCAGAATTTCTTGGAAATACTAATTTTGGTGAATGGTTGGAAGGAAGGGAAGTTCAAAAGTTGTTTGGGGACCAATACTTTACTGGTGCTGTGACTCAATTTGACAAGGAAACTGGTTGGTACAGAGTGGTATATGAAGATGGCGATTTCGAAGATCTTGAATGGCATGAGTTGGAAGCTGTTCTTGTGCCTTTGGATATTACAGTTCCATTGAAATCATTGGCACTGAAAGTCATCAAGAAGAGCCAGAAAACTGAAAATGGGAGAAGTGCATTTGGGCCCAACATTGGAAAAGCTAAAAGCTTAGCAAGTAAAGAGACTGAAGATTGAGTCGCACAAAGAAATTTCACTGCAAGGTCAAGGGATGGTGAATACTGATCTCTGACTCTATGAAGGATGTACAATTTGTAAAACCAATTAGTAAGATAAAGATGAATCAAACCTGAGAATGTTGTCTTTTTCATAGTAAAACTGTTTTACATTTCTTGTATATATCATGTGATGTCAACAAGAACCTTATATGTGATTGCATAGTTATAAGAAAAACCATTATCTTTTGTGTTTCTGCAATTTAAGAAGTGATTATCAAATATAAGCAAAGCCAATGCAAGACAAATTCCATTCTGCAACTAGTATCATGTAATCTAACACAAATAAGTTGAACTTATAAAGGATATTATTAAAGAAGTATTATAAAAAGATGATTAAAATCCTTTCTTTTTTCAATAGTTTCCACCCTCTTTAAGCCAAGGATGGTCGTTTGAAACGCTAGGAAACCATTGTCTATTAGAAAACTTGTTCGCCGATGGGAAGAATTTTGGTCAAGCATGAATGTTACTTTGCTTGGAGGCAGTGTAAGGAACAAACTTCTCCATACTCTATCACATATTAGGAGTTTCTCAGATCACAAACTTAGACACACAACACCAACCAAGCGTCTAGACAAGGCACTCAGAGTTCTTGATATCATAACCCCAAAAACAGGTGCCAGAATCCGCCAAAGCCACCTTCGCCTCATTCAGGACTTTCTACAAACTAATTCGAATCAAGACAGCGAACCATACTTTCGCTGTGACTTCATTTCCTGTAGGTCAGTAGAGGGAATCTCGAATGTGCTTGATAAAATAATTGAATCTTCTCCTCCAAACGACCAAGTGTCTGATGCTAGCTGTTTCAGATATGATGCCGGTTCTTTGTCCAATGCAGTAAGTTGGTGTGCTTCCTCGCGTGATCTTCGAGCTGGGATTCAGTATCATTGCTTAGCAATAAATATTGGGTTTGATGCCAATGCCTATGTAGGCAGTTCGCTGATCACCTTGTATTGCAAATGCGGGGAATTGGATAATGCGTATAAAGTGTTTTACGAAATGCCTGTGAGAAATGTGGTATCATGGACGGCTATCATTTCTGGGTTTGCACAGGAATGGCAAATTGATGTATGTCTGGAGCTGTTCTCTGCGATGAGAAATTCAACATTAGTACCTAATGATTTCACATTTACGAGTCTTTTGAGTGCTTGTACTGGTAGTGGGGCTCTTGGGCAAGGGAGAAGTGCTCACTGTCAAATAATTCAAATGGGTTTGGATTCCCATTTACACATTGCCAATGCTCTTATATCAATGTATTGCAAGTGTGGAAGCGTTCAAGATGCATTATTCATATTTGATAACATGTATACTAAGGATATTGTCTCGTGGAATTCGATGATAAGTGGGTATGCACAGCATGGGTTGACAGTGCAGGCAATTGAGCTTTTCGAAAAGATGAAGAAGCTAGGCACAAAACCTGACTCCATAACTTTTCTTGGTGTTCTATCTTCATGTCGCCATGCAGGTTTTGTTGAAGCAGGAAGAGGCTATTTCAATTCAATGGTTGAATATGGTGTAAGACCAGAACTAGACCACTATTCATGTCTGGTTGATCTTCTTGGTCGTGCAGGATTAACAGAGGAAGCTCGTGATATTATTTTAAGGATGCCTTTACCTCCCAACGCCATTATATGGGGCTCACTATTATCCTCCTGCAGACTTCATGGGAATGTTTGGATTGGTATACAAGCTGCAGAAAGTAGGCTCTTGCTAGAACCAGATTGTGCTGCCACCCACCTGCAATTGGCAAATTTATATGCAAGTGCAGGGTGCTGGGATCAAGCAGCGAGAGCGAGGAAATTGATGAAAGATAGAGGACTTAAAACAAATCCTGGCTATAGCTGGATTGAGATCAAGAACAAGTTTTACAGATTTAAAGCAGAAGATGGGTCCAACACCAGAGTTAGTGAAATGCTTATCGTATTGGATTGCCTTGTAGACCACATGATAACTTTAGGATATGCGCCTGAAATACAGGAGGTCAGTGATGTTGTGTAAGAGTTTTGAGTCGTCTAGATTAGCAGCTTGAATCATGCAAAATGAAATATTCCAATTGTAAGTCAATATAAGATCTACTTTGCAATACACACGAGATGTAGCAGTGAAATTGAAACGTTAAGATTGATTCGAGGAGAAAACTTTTCATGCCATTTATCGCTTCAGAAAATTGATTTCCAAAATGAAGGTTGGGACTTCAATCTTGCATAGAGAAGCAGAAGTAGCCAGAAATTTAGTGACTATACCAAACATAACGCCCTGCCTGTTCTTCCAGTAAGAAGAAGAAGAAGAAGAAGAAGAAGAAGAAGAAGAAGAAAATAGATGGGAAATAAGAAAAAGAATAAGAGGGTAAAGCAAAGGTAGAAAGCATCTAAAGTATTATGATAATTCACATCTAATTATCCACTTGAAGTTATAACACAGCTACAATAGTCATTCTCATGCTTTTCCAACTATCAGAACATCACAACAGCTAATCCTTTAAGGAAAACATGAAGATTTAACATGTTCTAAGCAAATTTGAGAATCCAAATCTCTTGGTATACTGAGGCTGAGATAAATAGAGTCCAACTAATTGAAATATCTATCGCAAAACTTGATCTTGAAGTGAGAGGATCCCAAACAAAGTAGCCGGGGCAAAGTAACAAATAAGCTTTACTGGAGAACTCGAACTGAGATTTGACTATTGAGACAAAAGGCTCGGTTCTTTGTAATCAATGCATTCATTGCCTCGGTCCTTGTATAAAAACGTATCAGGGCAATTTTAGTAGGTTCTGGAAATCCTTGCCTGCAATTATATTTTAACCAATGACCTTTTCAATTTACAAAAATACCATAACAATTTAACCTCAAAACAAATTGGCTGACACCAACCTTGGAAACAGCTGTAAGGAGGATGGATCATATTCACAATCAGACAGGAAGCGTTCTACATCTTCAGGGACCACATTTCTAGGGAGTCCTTGGAGTAAAAGCTGATAAAAGCATTCAAATATCAAATTGTATCAGCTTAGAAATGTTATCAACAAAGTGCATGTGATAAATAAGTTGGAATTGAAGAGCCAGCAGTATTTAGTTTTCAAAATAAACAATCTGCAAAATACAAAGTACAACCCAAAGGGGAGAGGAAAAAGTATAATCTCCAACAGTAAACAAAACCTCTGAATATTTGTTACATATTTTCTCCAGTGGCAACAAAAACTAATGTTGATGCGAAAGATATATAGTAGAGACCCTGAGGTTCAATGCTTATGCATATGAATATAAACAAATCAAATAGCCAAACTGCAGCATGATACCAAAATATTCTGCAGTAATTCAAACCCTTGCAGAAGTCTAGAAATTGATCCATATAACAATATATGACCCAACAGAAACAGATAACCATTAGAGCATCGTCAACCAAAAAGTTGTCTCAGTCACAGTGTCAACTCTCATTGATCATTACATGTGAAGCTTTAAATAACACTAATGAAAGATTATGTAAGCTTTGGTTTTGCGAAGCCCTGAATTTTTAGATAATTCATGACCTTAAAATAAAGAAATAACAATCATATAGAATATAGCTTACAAGATAATTCACATAAGAGAGTATGAGAGTAGCTTGAATATTGAAATCACAATTTGTGGTCTTCACTCAATGACACATTGCATCATTGTGATGCTTTAAGTTCTATTTCAAATGATTTAAGATACTCAACAGATGCTGCAAAGTCACACTGCCATCATAACAACCAAAAGTTGCAAAATATAGAACTCAAAAGCTAACTGGGATTAACTAGCACTATCAAAATGAATTACTTCACTTACAGTTTTCCCATCATAAGGCATAAGAATATCCCACTGAGAACGGTCACTCTGAAAATCATTGAGAAAAGTCAAAAACATTCTTAGAAATAGAAAATTTTCAAATAGAAAAGGAATGCAGTTAATTGAATCTCATAGACAAGTTTTTATTGCAACATTACCCTATCCAACTTGTAAAAGCGACCCTTTTTTCTCATCGCCTTATATGCATTATCAAATGCAGAATAAGAAGGGAATTGTAGCATCCTGGCAAAACAACTAACAGCTCAATACCGAACCTTGAAGTTTCTCAACAAAAGTAACCGTATTAGCAGCGACAGAAATGATAATAGAGCAGAAATGATAACTGAACTAAACCTATTCCCAAACAGAACATAAACAAACGGCACATTCGATGTTACAAGCAAGCAACTTACGAACAGGTTGTTTAATTACAGAGTTTCTACTTGTTTCACTTCCGTACAAAGAAACATGGACATATCAAGTGCAAAGTAAGAAAGCTTTGATATTCCAATGCAAAGAAAAGAGGAGGAAGAAAATTACATTCCAACAGGCATAAAGTCGCGGTTGTAGCTGACTTTAATATCATCAGGGGTCAAATTACTCCCATCAAGCATATTGATAATGTCAGTCTTCAATGTGTTTTTTGTGATGCCAAACAACTTGGCATAAACCGTACCTAAGCCACACAAAAATACAGGGAGTGCTTGCGTGTTATTACTATGTCATAAAAAGGAAGGCTAACCATTGAATTGGGGAAATTAATTTCAGTATAATAATAGTATAAATAGAAACAGTTCAATTCCCAATTAAAAAAAATCTGTTGTCTCATAATAATCATAATAAACGAAACTAAACATCTGAAAGATTACAAACAAGGGAAAAGCATAAATAGAATCGCATTTCAAAAGAAAAATAAAATGCAAGTGAGAGTACCAGCGCCGGTAGTTCGGAGAAAAGGATGTTCTGATGAATCCTGTGGAAGTGGTGGTTGCTCCGCTTCAGTGGATAAATGCTTGGACGAATGGCGGAGGCAGAAAGAAATTGCATGGTTTGGCTTAAAAGCGCTGACATTGAAGTTGGATCTGATTGAGTTTCTTACTAAGCTCATTTTGGGATTTTCGGAGGATTACGGGGTTTTGGAGAAAAGGATGTTCTGATGAATCCTGTGGAAGTGGTGGTTGCTCCGCTTCAGTGGATAAATGCTTGGACGAATGGCGGAGGCAGAAAGAAATTGCATGGTTTGGCTTAAAAGCGCTGACATTGAAGTTGGATCTGATTGAGTTTCTTACTAAGCTCATTTTGGGATTTTCGGAGGATTACGGGGTTTTCTTCGAGCTTCCTGGCCGGGTGAAGTGATGATGCCGCCGCAAGCAGAAGTGCGTGGGAAGATGCAGGTAGTAATCAGGCGGCGTCGTTTGTGTTTGGGAAGCACTAAAATTGGGCTTCTAATAGGGCCTCAAATGGAATAAGGTCAAGGCCCATTAAATTAGTCTATTTTGAAAGATTGGACAGGTGGGCTTTATTTTGGTGGACAGTGGACTATACAAAAAAAAGGCAAGCTCCAGATAAAGTAATATGAGACTAAAGTTTGGAATCCATAAAAATTTGCCAGTTGGGTCAGTGAGTGAGTGGAGAGTGGTCCAAGCATTGAACATGTTTTTCCTCATTTGTTGCTGTTTTAACTCTTAATGGTTGGAATGAGGATTTAATTGCCAGACTGTTCCTTCTAGAGGAGGTGTCACAGGTTCTATCTATCCCGTTTACTCGGGCTACCCAGGCAGATACACTAATATGGAACTTCTCTACTTCAGGGGAATATCTTGTTAAATCAGGCTACAAGCTTGTCCTGCCTAATTTTGTGGAACCTGAAGCAACTGCAACTTCGCCAATTTGGGCTAAATTATGGCAATTAGATTCCCCACCGAAGGTTAAGCACTGGCTGTGGCGAGCGTGCCGAAATATTCTACCAACGAAATCTATACTATTTGATTACAGAGGATGACCATTGCCCTTTTTTGCGGTTGAAAATCGAGACAAACAAATGCACGTGCTATTCCCACTGTGAGGAAAGCTCGACTGTGTTGGACGTTTAACAGGCGATTCCGTTGGATGGAATCAACACTATTTTATGATACTTTACTGGGGTTTATGATCGCGCAAGTACGAGTAACGACCAATGCTTGTTATTCGGTGTCTTGTGCTACTTTCTCTGGTTTGATAGAATCGCGAGTATGGCAACCAAACTAATATTGCTCCTTTACAACATTTGTCACGTTGCTACCAGTTTTCAGAGAATGGCAGAAACGCGAGATTGAACGAGCAATCCCTCTGTATCGTCGGCTTCAGTTCCGACATGGGCTCCCTCCTCCGACTGGGATTTGTCTAAATGTAACGTTGAGCAGCTGTCCCATGATGACTGAGGGGTCGCTTCATCGTTATCTTGGCCTTGTCGAAATGAAGCTGGGACAGTTCTTGGTAGCTTTGAAGGTCATTTTACGGGAGTATTAAAACCTTCACATTCGCTTGAAGCCATCGGCCCTTAGGGGAGGTTTATCTTGGTGCTATGAGATCTATAGTAGGGTCTAGTGGAAACAGATTGTTTGCTGCCTGTTCAAGCTGTAACTACCAGGTTTGATTATTATTCCGACTGGCACCAGTGCTAGCAGGAAGATTTAAACAATTGCTGTTCTCAAAATACCATTTAGTGGAATTGGTTTGGGTTAGGAGGCAAGGTAACAAGCCTTTGCACATGCTCCTTGCCTCGTGTGACATGTTTAAGTCCTTGTTTCCGTTCTATGGGACTCGAACTCCCCATGTTATTGCAACTCTTTATTCTGAGAATTAATTCAATATATAATGCTAACCTCTATATATATACTCTTGCTTCTTTCTAATACAAAAAACAAAAAAAATCAAAAACTGCTCACTTGGCTGACGTTTAGGAACTAACATATTTCTACCAATAAAATAGTAATTTTTATTCTATAAAAATGGGATCTTAATTTTAGGATGAGATGTCAACTGATATTGGGAGGTTGGGCGTATAACCTGGTTCGAATTAAGAAATCTTTCGATGCCAAAAGGGATAACAGGTCAGTCGGTGTCCTTAGCTTTGGACGGTCGCATGAGTAGTACTATCAATATCTATTTATCTAAGCATATATATCCATACATTATGCTCTTATTTGCTTTCAAAAAAAAAAACTCTTGCTGACGTTATAATTATTTACAATATATAATTTTTATTAAAAATGGGATTTTATTTTAGGATGAGAATGGGAGGTGGAAATTAGAAATTTGCAAGGTGTCGTGTCCTTGCTTGGACCTGGACAAGATCACATACAATTTGGAAGGCTTTCTCGTACTCATATAGCATATATTAATAATTAATAATTAATAATTATAATTATAATGATAACCGGTGCAGCTTATATAGGAGTATCATATCAAATTAATTATATTTAATTAAAGAAGACGAATTAATTACGGTAGTGGACATGTGCAAATATATTCCAAGCGTTTTGCTTTTTTTGCGATAAGAGATCATGCATTTGGATCTACAGGGAATAGAATAGTGATGATCCAGGTAAAGCAAGGCTAGTTGTAACCTTCCTTCCTGCACTCACTCCTAGTCAATTCTTGAGAGAGACATACATTCCTTTATTTCATATCATCCACCACAATTGGGTTTCATTTCCATTATAAAAATCTTTTTGTAATGAATTATATTTTGAATACACCCTATCATAGAGACGTAGAAATTTTTATCATCTTCGAGAATAAATAGAGGGATTGAAGTCGTTTATCATTTTAACTACAATATTGTTATTATTTTTTTTAAAATTTAATTTTTGATTTATGTTCTTCTTGCTTTTTTTAAATTAAAAAAAAAACAAAAAGAATAACGGTTTAATTTATTTGATTCAACGACGGAAAGAAGAATCCAAGCATAAGTACAACCGTAGGGATGGCCACGTCAAATTGCAGTAGATGTGGACCCTCAGGGACAGACTTTCTTTCTCGCAAGTTCGTATCAAATCGTACGTGAAGTCATTTGCGGGATTTATGATTAAAATAATAATAATAATGAACAGGAAAGAAAAAGACCATACCCAGATCTTTTCCACCTTAAAAAGGTTATCCTACAAGCCACCCAACGGTTCCCCTCATCAAAATAGGAACTCCACGACAAATCTAAGTTACATCCGGGGAAGGTCGTTTCTTTATCACAATAGTAACACCAGACCTACCATTCGATCATACAACTTTTATTCTCTCCCAGTCTATTAGGAATGACTTTTCAGTTACTTGATCTGGTAGTTTACGACTTTTCAGCAATAGATATGGGGTGGCTACTTGAGTTTCTTACGGGTATGATAAAGCCGGTGGCTGCCCTTGCGGTGGTGCTGATGGCGGTCTCACTATCCTTTATGCAAAAGTTAGGTTTGGAAGGAGAGATGATCTATTCTATATTTCGGGCGTTTCTTCAGTTATCAATTATTGGATTTGTTTTGCAATTCATTTTCAGTCAGGATCGTAGCATTTGGATCATTCTTGCTTATTTTTTCATGGTTAGTGTTCCTCTTTATTTCTAACTTATCTTGTTTAACTTCTCGCTCTGTGTGAAACAGGGGATATAGACCGTTGACATTTTTTTATGTTTCTGTGAGAAATTAGAAATATAAATTAGTTTTTTCTGTGCAGTTACTTCCTAGAACTAGCATATCTAACTAATTAAAACCAGCTATTGGCTTCATTTTGGTGGGTTTTTGACATTTTAAGTTTTGAAAATCCCCTGTAGGTCTGTGTTGCTGGTTATACAGCTGGTCAACGTGCTAAGCATGTTCCTAGAGGAAAGTATGTGGCGGGGATTTCTATCCTGGCTGGAACTGCAGTGACGATGTTCCTTCTTGTTATTCTCAACGTTTTCCCCTTCACTCCGCGATACATCATCCCTGTTGCAGGAATGATGGTTGGCAATGCAATGACTGTCACCGGCGTTACAATGAAACGACTCCGTGATGACATCAAAGTGCAGATTAGCCTGGTATATTTGTAACTTGTAAAATAAAACCCTCAAAGTTTGATTCTTTAAGCTCCATTTGTTAAGTGCTTGCCTATTTGAGTACTGCAGGTAGAGACGGCATTGGCACTTGGCGCAACTCCTCGCCAGGCCACACTTCAACAGGTGAAAAGGGCTTTAGTAATTGCTCTTTCTCCTGTTTTAGATAATGCTAAAACAGTGGGTCTCATTTCTCTTCCTGGTGCAATGACTGGTCTTATAATGGGAGGAGCTTCTCCACTAGAGGCCATTCAATTACAGATTGTGGTAATGAACATGCTTGTTGGCGCATCAACTGTTAGTAGCATCATGTCAACGTACCTATGTTGGCCTGCATTCTTCACCCCTGCTTATCAATTAGAAACTAAAGTCTTCAACTCAGATTGATGGCTGAAGATCGCTAATGTAGATTTTGTTTCCTCCTAGCTACAGCTAGTTGCCATTTTCAACGAATTCCTTAAAAAGGTTGATTGGCACGTAGAAATCAATCCACTAGTTATCTTACCTTTATATATATCTGGATTGTATATGGTGTATCGAGTATTTCCGTTTTTGCTATGATTTGATTTAGTGGAATCACATCCATAATAAACTGGAAACAGGGCAATATACAAATGACAGAAGAAATTATTAAAAAGAACTACTATGAGAATTACAAAAACTCCAGAAAAGCACATATAAATAAGGAAAAGTGCTGGATAAACACATGCTTTCTTAATTTAGAAGGAAGGAAATAATATTTGATTAATACATAAGGATTAATAATATAACGCTGCCGGGACAGAGCACGACAGGTGCCCAGAGAGAGGAAGAAAGAGAGCTGTTGCAAAAGCAAAATCGATGTTATAAATAACTAGGGAGGACTTACAATAGATTTGCTAAACTGACCACCGAAGGGACCCTCATGGTAAATATTCCCAGGCGGATCGTAAGAGCAAACGTAGAGAAAGCCTTTACCAGCGTTGCACTCAACGCGAGCGCAACCTACCTTTTTGGTATCATGCCATATAACCTGAGTATAATGACCACAAATGCGGCCGTTGGTGCACTGGTTTGTGCTCCGATCGTAATAGGGCTTTTCGTCAACCCATTCTTTAACAACGGCGGCCGGAGTCCAGTGGGGTTTTAAACTCCAGAACATGTTCTCGCCGTAGGGGCTTTGAGGATTGTGTTTCAATGCGCAGTCGTCAGTCCGCTGATTGGCCCACCGCCGAGCATATTTGGCCAATTTTCTGTCCCAGAGCAGAGGTTTCATTCCCATAGATATCCTGACGGCATTGTGGGAAACGATGAACTCGTGAGACAGTAGCGCTTTACTTATTTGTCTACCTATGCCGCCGCCCAAGTTTATACCCAGTCTAGTACAAGACCCGGAACCTAGGAGTGTGGCGGAGACGGCCAGGAAGAGAATGGCAGAGTAGATTCGAAATTCCGACATGCTTGACGATTTTTTATTATCAAATGTCGCTCCCAGCAATTGAGAGGGAGCAGGAAGGAGGGAAAAGAAATGTGTTTTATCTCATTTCTGTCGTCAACCTTAATCCTCCTATATTTAGATATCTATGTCTTGTCTTACTATACTATATTTGGGCACCTAATGTCGTGGAGCCCGTTGTTTTGCTCATATTGTTTTTTCATGGCCAGAAATTCCCTATTTTTATCTTACAATTCACAAACATCCACACAAAAAAAAATATAAGGTGCTTATCAAATTCAATTCCAATGACAACTTAATTACCCAAAAGAAAAATATGCTTATAAAATCAATATAGAAAGTTTCTAATACTTACTGTTTTTTTTTAGCAAATAAATAATTAATACTAATTTTAATATTTTTTTTTGAAATAAATTCTAATTCAAATGAAACCATCTTTAAAAAAAAATTCTAAGAATTGCCCATTTAATATAACTAATTAATATGTTGTAATTAATTAAATTTATTATGTTGAATAACATTTTAAAATTTTTTTAAAAGATCTATTATGTTAAATTATAACTTTTAAATCACCTTAAACTTCGGCATTCATGAATATAACTTTTTTGTAAAAATTTTTAATAATGATTGATCATATCCTTAAAGATGCTTATTCATAAGAAAAATTATAATTTAAAAAATACGAGGGGTATTAGGATATTATTAAATTAAAATTTTAAAATCTTAAAGTAATAGTAATAAAAAAAGAAAACTATTAGGAGCATTAGTGAAATCATAAAACATCTTTTATGGTCCAAAAAACCATTAAAACAGCAATAGTAAACCATTCGATCGATGATCATGGTAATATGATTAAGGAACAAGAATATTGACCAAAAAACTAATTCAAAGAATTTATAATTATATAAAAAAAAAGTTCTAGAACGTTGGAAAAAAATGGATATATATTTATAATTATATAAAAAAAAAGTTCTAGAACGTTGGAAAAAAATGGAGATATATATATATATATATAATATATATATATATATATATTATATATATATTATATATATATAGTAATATATATAATATATATATATATATATATCATTGATTAATTAAAAACAGCACCGTTGATCCCACCCTTTTGTCTTGGCAGCGTAATTTAGATATTGTTCCTCCTGACGTATATATCATTGATAATAAAACAGCACCGTTGGATCCACCCTTTTTCTTGGCACGTAATTAATATTTCCTCCTGACGTGGCAACAACTATATATTATAATATATTAACATATTTTTGGTGGTGCAAACTGCGCATCCAAGCGTACTTTGGAGGCCAACTCCGTTCATAACGCGCAGCGGGAACTAGTCAGCTGCCATCTTCGCAAGCAAACGAACGCAATCAATCCAATTTTCCAAACCGCCATTTGAAGAAACGTCAAATCTCATCGCCGTCGTCAGGGTTATTGATTCTCCGGTTCCCCTTTCTAATCAAAGTAAAAGCTCGCCATGTCGGTTTGGTATCTGCTATTCCTGAGCTGTTTTCCAGGTAAAATAAATATTTCTTCATTTCATAAAATTGAATTAATAGAAATCGTGTTTAATTCTAATCGATTAGGGCATGGGTCTGTTTTGCAGGATTTGTATTATCAGCTGTGGTGACTCTTGATTCTATTACAATTTATAATACGCACGAGTGGCTGAAGACTTTGAAGCCAACGGTATATTTCTCTTGTAAGGGAGAGAACGGGACCGAATTGCCTGATGTCAAGGAGGTGAATGTCTCTTATGCTTTCAAAGGCGAAGAATCTTGGCAGGTGCATGTCTTTAATAATTCAATTCTCTCTTCATTTTGATGGTGGTCATAAGTTCAGGCAATGAAATCTCTTTTAATTTCTCAGCCTCTGACGGAACTTACGAGTTCGAAATGCAAGAGGTGTGGATTCTTTGAGAAGGATAAGTTCAAATCGGACGATGTATATGATGAATGGGAATTTTGCGCTTCTGATTTTGAGGATTCTGATGGGAAATACAGGAGAATCAAGGAGAAAGAATTTGATGCTACGTTCTTGTGTCCAGACTGTGTATCTTTAGGCGCTGGTAAGTGGTTTCTTATTTTCCTTTATCTAAACATATTCTAATATTGATTGCTATTAATTTCTTTTTATTTGTCTTCTGTATGATTAACTGGTTACTTTAGGGGCTTGAAGTTCTAATCCCATTTGCGAAAAGTTGTATCTTGCTGACTGAACCTCAATAGGTTGCATAACGACTATTTTCATCCAAATAGGTTCCTGTACTCTTATGTTGCTGAAGGTAGGATATGTTTGACAGCGTATTACTTGAATGGATGATTGTTAGGCATTGTCCCAGAAAACCAGAGAGATATATTTGGTGGTGGCAGAAACTGGTTTTGGTCTTGTTTAACAGATGACAATAGTTTTGAACTTTTAGTTGTGTTGGATGACTCTGATTGTGTGAATGTTTACAACTTTGCCTGATCCTGCTGCACTAAAGTCTCATCCATAATGTTTTCATGCTCTTGATATTTTGCTGACTATCTTAATCAAGTTGTTGCATGTTTTTTTACACTGATTGCATTGGTAAAGCATCCTTTTACATCGTTGGATTAAGAAGGCCTTGAAAATTTCTTTCTGTAATGTTCTCGCTTGCGATATGTATATTAATATGTTAGATTGTATATAAATTTTTGTCTTCCGCGTTCAAAGTTAGAGATACAATCTTTTTTTTTTTTTTTTTTTGTTCAAAGTTAGAATACATCTTTTTTTTTTTTTTTGTTTAAGAACGATGGTTTATTGGTTTGTTTCTCTCTGTGATTGTCAGATATCGTCACATAATGCCTCAGGCTCACATAATAGGAAAGGGTATCTGCATGTTGCTTGTGATAATATTGCATGTCAGTGACCCTGGTGTCAGTTGTCATTTATTTCTATGGCGGTGGTTGTGGAGCGTTACTCAAATACTGGTTACAGAAGAAAAAGGCAGCAAGATCAAAGCTCGGTTTCTTGAAGCTATTTGAATGATGGAGATGACATTGAGGATGAACTAGGGCCTTGGCAATTAAATAATGATAGGCAATTATTTAACTTGTAGATCATTCTGTTACAGTTTTTTTTTTTTTAACTTCATATAAAAGTGCTCCAAAAGAATGAAAAATTATACTTTTAGTTTACATTTAGAAGCATTACGTTGGTCGATTAGAAAGAAATTAGTTGATTATAGCAGAGGGTATAAGCGTTGTACACACGTTTGTCATATTGTTCATATGTCGTCGGAGGTGGTTTACCCATTATTTCATTTTCCCTTGTGTCTCTTTCGAATACAGCACAAAACCACTCTTGTTTGGTCTACTTTGGTTTCTACAGGCAAGTAAAAATTACCAGGACAATTAAGATGAGGAGTTACAGGCGTATTTGGACGCTTAGGATCACGTGGGATACAATCTTTTTTTTTTTTTTTGTTTAGAAACATGGTTATGGTTTGTTTCTCTCTGTGATTGTAGATTTAACCTCTGCCTCAGGCTCACATAATAGAGGGAAGGGTATGCATGTTGCTGTGATAATATTGATCAGTGCCCTGGTGTCAGTTGTATTTATTCTTGGGGTGGTGGGGGCGTACAAATACTGGTTACAGAAGAAAAGGCAGCAAGATCAAGCTCGGTTCTTGAAGCTATTTGAAGATGGAGATGACATTGAGGATGAACTAGGCCTTGGCAATGTAATATGATAGGCAATATTTAACTTGGTAATCATCTGTACAGTTTTTTTTTTTTTAACTTCATATAAAACGTGCTCCAAAAGAATGAAAAATTATACTTAGTTTACTATTAGAAGATTACTTGGTCGATAGAAAGAAATTAGTTGAGATAGCAAGAGTATAAGCAGTTGTTACACACGTTGTTGTTCATCGTTGGTCGATGTTTACCCTATTCATTTCCCTTGTGTCCTAATACAGCACAAACCATCTTGTTTGGTTCTATTGGTTCTACAGGCAAGTAAAATTTACCAGGACAATAAGATGAGAGTACAGGGTATTTTGGACGTTAGACACGTGGCAACTGAAAAACACAGATAAACTTCGTATATAAGTACCACATTCTTTACTTAATAGTTGCAGGAGAAGGGTTTTATTGAACGCTGCCTCCAAAACATATTTTGGTTCTAGGCTTTAATGCCCACTGATAGACCTGAAACATACAAAATCAGTAATCAAAAATACTTTGAAAAAGCTCCCCTTCGTCAGGACTGCAGTTATAAGCATAGTAATAGGAATCATCCTCCCCCAGATATCCAAACCAAGATTCATATGCAGGCCAAATACCATCATCATAAGAAAGCTGGTTTTCTGCGTTGTCATGATGACCGACACCAGTGTCTCGATGTTCATTTTGAGGCCAATCTTGTGCCGTCTCTAGTGCATTTTCATACTTATATGTAGCAGCATCAACTTCATAGCCAGTGAACGCGAAGCAAGAGTCATATTCGCCGTCCCAATTCCTCCAGCTGCTGTATGGCAGTTGGTTTCTCTCATATGGTAAACAGGTGTAGTCGTCGAGGAAAGCATCCTCTCGGTAAGGAGAGTATGAGTCTATTGATACTGGATGAAGGTAGGTAATAGCTTCTAATAATGTTGGTACATCAGACATGTTAGCAGAATCAGAACTATGACTAAGCAGAGTAAAATAAGCAGAAGAGGTCATGGCAGAGATTGCACAAACTTAGTAGTTGAGACTATAGATTTGTAGTTGCAAATGAAGGGAAGAGAAATGGCTATTTAGCAGTAGCATTTTGGCCAGCGCCGAAAGCATAATCTAGCACCGCCCATGTATGGATAAGATTCTGTTTTTACGAATTCCGTTGGTTCACATAACCGAGCATCATTATAGACTTTCAGGATGTTAATATGTTCTTTTGGCAGGGAAAAGATTTACCACAAAAAGAAAGAGGGTATTGCCAGAAAGAGCACCTTGTGCAGCTTCTTTCCATCTCCATTTTAACAGAATCAAATGATTCCAAAGAAAAACGATAGACATACATATACTTTTTGTTTTTTGGCACTATTAGTTTATACGGTCTTTTTCAATATGCAGATACAAAATTTACATGGTCAATAAGCATTAGTCCGCTTAGCGAACAAATTACAGAAAAGAAGGTAAAAGACCAGAAAGCAAGAAAGGGAGAATTTAAGCAGAAGTCAGAGTGGTTCTAGGAGCGATTGAAATGATCCAACTCCTCCAACGACAATGAATAAGAACAAGAATGATGGGCTAAGCGCACCCTAAAAAGTCCAAAAAAGAAAAAGAAGAGGTTTATTGGAAGTTAGAACCTGCAAGTCTACTGATTGAATTTCTTCTTCTGATTGCCAAAGAGTGCCAGAAGTATGGACGATCTTTGACAGAAAAAAGGAAAAATGCACAAATACATCGTAAACTTTGCTAAAAAAACTCGTCAGTACTCCAAATTTTACGAGGGACCTGTTATACTTACTAAGTTACGAATTTTAATAATATTATATCCCTTTTTATACCAGCAACAACATTTTCTTGGTGTTTTTAGCATTTATATGTAAGATATTCACTTATTGTGTATGTGGTTAATATAATCTTTAGAACAATAATATCCATATTTTTCAATTAACTAATAAGTGTTTAATCTTATTTTAAAAGTTTGGGTATACAATATAATAATTTTTCACATTTTTAAGACCATAATATTTCATCGATTGACCTGTAGGAAGCATTGGAATAAAGCTCAGTCATTCCATGCCGGAGCTTTCGAGTTCAAAAATCCAAAGGTCTACCCCTTTGGTTTAAAAAGTCATATTTTAGAGTTGATATCTTTTGTACATTTGACTGACAGCTCATGTAAAGTCTTTTGGGTGATGGGATCTCTTGGTCAGCTTGACATGCCTATCTCGCATGCTCGATGCATAATTAAGAAATGCATATGTAATGTACATTCATGTACAAAATCCGTGTCACTCTAGAAGCATTCAACAGTTTTGGCCCAATATCTCTCTCGTTGCTTTACATTCATTTTGAGACCATAATATTTCGTTATTGACCTGTACAAAGCATTAAAATCAAATTTGGGTCATTCCATCCTGAAGCTTCCAGACCCAAATATCCAAAGGTATACCCCTTGGTCGAAAAAGCCTTGTTCCGGAGTCGATATCTTTTGGAATAGGGTTTCATTGACTAAAGGGGTATACTTTTGAATTTTTGGGCCCGAAAGCTCCGACACAGAATAATCCATAAATGATTTCAATGCTTCCTACGGGTCAATAGATGAAATCTTAATGTCTTAATGTCTTAATACATGACAAATATTGAACGTTGCAATGCCTTAATGTCTGAAGGGTCAGCGGGTGCTTATTTAGGTATATCGAAGGAGAAACCTCCACCATAGCTGCCCCTTCCTCTTTCCACCAAACCCCCTTTCGTTCCTATCATCCTTCCTTCTTCTCCGTGTCACCAAATCCAAATTTCGTTCCTATCATCCTTTCTTCTCCGTTTCACCAAATCCAAGATCCAAATCATTTCGTTTTGTGTCGTTCTTTAGGACGCCCGCTCCACAAATGCTTAGGAAGCATAACCAGGGCATGGTCGACATTTTCTTATGTTAAATTTCAGATACAGACAACTCGCAAAAATTAATTACAGTAGCGTTTTTCGATTCCTAGCGTAACCCTTTATGAATACAGGCGATACTTCAACCATTTACCTCAACTTTAAATCATCACTGCTTAAAGCAGGCAGATCGTCATTTATAAAATTAGGCCCCTTTATTTTGCGTAGATATTCAGCAAAATAGTTGATCATATGCATGCCATAACCCAATCAAATCAAAAAATCAAATCTATAACACCCTGATTCATTATCTTACCATACGCATCCATCAAAATCAAAACAACAAACATTATCAAATTAATCAGCTAATAGAAAATTCAAAATATGCTTCCTTGATCCAAGTTTTTTGAGAACACTTCCTAAATCCAAAGCATATTGAATAATTACGAGTTCTTTAAGTAAAGCAAGTAAACACATGGTCTTAAAGATGACAAGGCACAAATGGGCTACCCCCAGTTCCATTCGAGGCTGCACTTCTACGGTGACTCACTGCCTCTAGGGGAGCGGCGGTTGTCCTCGTAATCATCATCAACAGGGCTCCTATCATCCCTGGGACTGGGGCTGCGGCTGCGGCCATTAGTTTGAGCTGGACTTTCATACCTCCCATCTGCAGGGCTCTGTCTTTCAGGGCTTCTGCTCCTCCTCCTTGGGCTACCACTATATGATCTATCTTGCTGATCATCCACTTTCCGAACTTTGGGAGAAGGGCGTGGGCTACCATTATCAGGCGTTGGGCTGCGCTTCCTGCTCTTGGAGGGGAGACCATTCTTTGGCTCATGGCTTGGGGACCTGTCTTCAATATCAACACTTCGGTCTCTCTTTGGTGGCGGAGATCTTGATCGGCTGATAAGAACAGGAGAATCAGTTGTTGCAATAAACAAGTAAAAGACAAAGGAGGATAAATCATTTGTTTGATAGGAGAGCCAGTGACAAGTTCAACAAACCTGTAGCTACGACCTCTGCTGTAACTTGGGCTACGGCTCCTTCCACGGCGAGGAGAGTGTGACCTAGCTGGTGATCGGGAGTAACTCCGCCCGCGTCTGCACAATAGACACAGAGCATATAATAAGCAAATAAATGTGTTTGCATAATTGAATTTCTACAGCACATGATTTCTTGCAAAATCCACAAAAGCATCAACAGTACAGTGCCAGAAAAATGCACATAATATCTAATTACTTGAGCTTCTTGGGACTGTTCTTGCAGTTCCTCTCTATATGGCCTCTTTCTCCACACCGATAACACTTGTTTTTCCAATCTCCAGCTTTGCAATCTCGAGCCCAATGGCCATCTATGCCACAATTAAAACAGCGTCCAGATCCTGGGGGAGGACCTCTGCCCAAATATTCTCGAGAACCACGAGGTACCTAGTCAAATAGCCACAAAACAAGAAACAGATTTTTCAGTAGGTTAATTGGTATGTAGAATCCTCTTAATTGGAAGAGCAAGGACAAACATGCAACTCAAACTTTAGTATTGAAGCTTCCGTAATGATGATTGAAAAACAACAAAAATAAGAGACCGTTACAAGTGTCCCTACTACTAACTATTCCTTAAATGTGACAAACTTTGGCAACTCCAATCTTACAATTGCATGATCCCATAAAACAAATATTTTAATTGAAAAAAGATCAACTTCCATAAACTTACCCCTTTCGCGAATTCCACAATGATACGGCTTCCATCAAAATCCTTACCATCCAAGTGATATCGTGCATCATCAGCATCTCGAGGATCACTAAATTCCTGTTTAAGAAACGACAACACAAACCAACAATGCACACCATATTTGTACAACATATTCATATAAAAATAAAAATAATCAAGCAAATGGAAACCAACACAGGAAACACATAAGAAGAACAGAAAAACACTTACAACAAATGCATAGTCACGCTTCATATCCACATCTCGTACTCTGCGAAACGGTTGCCACAAACAGTAAGGCCATCATTACTTAAGTACTGCATGTATGATACTTCACCCCTCATAGACGAACTAAACACCAGTTTGAGATTGTTGCCAATTCCAATAAAACACGCAATAACATAATAGAAAGTATCGCCAAAATCTCCTATAACTCGGCAAGAATTTCCACCAATTCCACCATGGCAACCCTCTCACCAAGGCCTCCAGGTTAGGCAAAAGCCCAGAAACCTTCAACAAGATCATTCACGTTAAAAAAAAAACATGACACCTAGGGCCACAAGATTCCCACACAGATAACGTGATAGTTAACAGAAATCCACGCAAAAAACAAGCTTCTGAGGACCTATTTGTCCCCAAGTATTGCAGGGAGGCAAACTGCACAACCTATGACCAATATTTGATAATTCAACGAATTACTAAGTTAAAAGAAATGAGCAGATACATAATGATCAGTGCCCACTGCAAGGATGAAAAGACAGACTTCAACTGATGTTGGTGGTTAATTCAACGGATTGAGGAAAGCTATGGAGCACGTGGAAAGGATATGCAACCCTATGCAACCCGTTAATAAATAAAATACTTGCCCTATTCCATGGAACAGGCACAAATCAACAAATACTAGTTGGATCGACATCCCGAGATCACAATTTCATACTTTCCCAAAATTTAAACAATAAGCCTAAAGTTACCTTCCATATTTGCTGAACAGGTATTCAAGATCACGAGATCGTGTTCGAGAAGCCAGGTGACCAACATAGAGTCGTGTATTAGCGTAGCGATCATCATATCGCGGCATTTTCAAACTGCATCCAGTAAATATTTCCATCAACTTCAGATAACATGGGCAAGTGAAGTTTACAGTTTTCTTCAATTTTAAAACCAGCAAAGGCTGTATGGTTAAAAATTTGAAACTAAAGGCAATTTAAACATGGACTTCCCCATGAATAAGTAAATGTGGAACACAAATAAACATTAATATCTCCAACCAAACTTAAAAAATATATCCCAGCCAATTGAATGTAAATGAATTTTGGCACTGTTCTCAGAAGACACATATTGGTGGGTAAAAATATAAAAAACATATATGCCAATACGCATCAAGGGTTATCACGAAGAAGTAGAACAGATCTATCTATGAAGGCCTCAACAGTAAAAATATTAAAGCAGCAGCTATTATGCATCAAAACCCCGATATAAAGAACGAAACGAATATGGAAAAAAAAAAAAGACAAAGAAACAGACTTTTCAAGCATCAATTCAAAGAGAATCATGAAAAATCGAATCAGCTCCCAAAAGACATAACAAAAGAAGAAAACTAGAAATTCAAATTCGAAACAAAGAAACAAAAACTATACGAGCTAATTAAACGAAAATATTGGAAAGGGAGAGGCAATCTGCGAAGTCGCTACCTGGAAACGTGAAAGCCCCAAAATACGATTAAGGCCTCCGGAGGCTAAGGTCTTCTCTGCGAAAAACGTTAGGTGAGATTTGCGATTTTCAGATTTATTGGCCCTAACAAACCGACAGGTTTTAATATCGCTCCTAAAAGGTTCAGACGGCTACGATACGTTTATGATAATCCAAGGGTTAGAAATACACGAGGAAAATTGATGAGCCGACCGCTAGTTCGGTTTTTCTTTCGGCCGCGTTTTGCTGTGGATGATTGGGCTCAACTTTGAATGTAGCTTTTAGCCCAATAAGATATGGACTACATTACAATTTAGAATTATGTAGATCCACTTTTTTGTTAGGCTGGTCCAATAGCATATTTTAGAATATATATATATATATATATAATATCTTTCACAATTCGAAACAAGGATATGTATTAAAAAACTATACTCGAGCTAATTAACCGAAAATATTGGAAAGGAGAGGCAAATCTGCTCGAAGTCGCTACCTGAGAACGTGATAAGCCCAAATACTACCGATTAAGGCGTCCGGAGGTAAGGTCTCTCTGGCTGAAAAACGGTTAGGTGAGTTTTGCGATCTTTTTCAGATTTATTGGCTCACCCTAACAAACGACAGTGTTTTTATATATATCGCATCCTAAAAGGTTCAGACGGCTACGATAATATATAATGATATCCAAGGGTTAGAATATCACGAGGAAAATTTGATGAGCCGACACGCAGTATTCGTGTCTCCTCTCTCTCGGCCAGCGTATATTAGCTGTGGAATGATTGGGCTCAAACTTTTGAATGTAGCTATTTATGCCCAATAAGATATGGAGTTACATTTACAATTTTAGAATTATGTAGATCCACTTTTTGTTAGGGCCTTGGTCCAATAGGATATTTTAGAGGGAATATATATATTATAATAATATATAATATCTTTTTTTATTATATTATCTTTTTTTATTATATGATATGACATGTGTTTTACGTCGTAATTGCTAAAATGGGGCTCTGCAATCATTATAATTTTTATTACCATTTTATATTATAATTTTTAAAAATAATAAAATAAATATATTCACATGTATGATATCCATATCTTCTATCGTCCATACAGACATTTTTCTAAAATGCTCAATAATTCCTCTAAGGAAATTTCTTACCTAGGCTCGAAAATAATTCCTCTTCCTATGGAATAATTAATTGTTTTGAACTAGAAGGGATTAAATGGATTGATATGCACTTCCATTTTTCTTAAAAATTTATTCAATTTGCTGCCATTCCAGCAAGCAATTAGGATATGCAGAATAATATGTTATACATATAAAGTGAAATACCACCCCAGGCCAAAAATTAATAATTCTTTTTTTTTTTTTTTTTTTTTTTTTTTTTTTTTTTTTACCTTCTTCCTGTTCTTTGCAGGCTCTCACACACAAAGTTAATTTTTTTTTTTTTTTTTTTTTTTTTTTACCTTCTCCTGTTCTTGCTTCCCACCAACAAAGTAAAGTAAAACAAGACCCTGAAGAAAAAACCCCAAGCAACAGTGATCCATAAGCAACTCCATTTACTTAAATCTGTGATCCCTTGTGCCCTCAGAATATCTGGTCCAGTCACAATACAAGTGCTGCTTGTAATGTTCCTGCCTAGGGTGCTGCTCAGGCTCTTCAACAGTTTGAGTTTAAGCGGGAGTGGCACTGCATTTAATGGCGTGTTATCAAACATCTGCACGCCTCTTACAAAGCATTTTGTCGGATCCTGGAATTCATTTTGTAAAGCTCCTTCGTATGGATATTTCACTAGAGACAGATAGTGAAACCATATCCAGTATGGAGGAATCCGATCCCGAGATATAAAAAATCCACTAAACAGAAGGAAGTATGCTAATATGGCAACCACTATTGTGAAACCAAGCATTACATGAGAAACAACGCCTGAAAGGAAGGTTACGAATGAGCTTCCCGCCCAAAATGCTGATAATACCGTGAAGAAGAAGAATAAGAAGCCTGAAACTCCACCCGCAAGCCCTACTGTCCAGTAGGTAGTAGCAGCAAAAGCAAAAGAGAGTACAATTAGAGAGGGAATTGAAATTATCGAGTGAGCAAGAACGTAGGAAGATCGGCGGTACGCATTGTAGGCAGTTTCTCTCATGAAAATATAACGTTCTTGTAAAAATGCAGGGATGGATTCTGCGCATGTGTAGTAAGTGGTGGACATGGCAAAAGCAAAGAATCCTAATCTTTCTTGAGCACCTCTTGGAGAGTTGTCGAGATGCCAAAAAATGGTTGCTAAGATTAGTGCTGTAACGAAAACAGCACCGAAGCGAATTCCAAACAGTTCGGGCATTCTTCTTGAGTTTATGATTGATCTTTTTGCTATCACTAACATTTCAATCCAAAATGGATTGGCGAATGTTGGAACTGAAGATGACAAGTTGGTGGAGTCATTTGTGGCTCCAGAAACTAGTTTGCCTTTGGAAACACTTGCGCTTATTGCATCTTTAAGGGAAACCTTTGATGAATTGCTTAAGTTTTGATTTCTTGAAATCTTCGTGGCTTGAGCTTGCCATGACCTGTTGAATTCAACTAAGGTTGTGGTTCCACCTGGAATTTCTTCAAGCTCTCGAATCAAATCAAGAGCAAATTCAGTTCTGTTTTCATTCTCTGGAATTGGATGACCAAACTCTGCAAAGAATTGTGGAACACCGGCTGGTGGGCCAGCATAGACTGTTTGACCATGCGAAAGGAAGATCAAACGGTCAAGTAAGCTCAAGATTCTGTAACTGGGTTGGTGTATGGACATAATAACAATGCTTCCACTCTGTGCAATTCGTTGTAAAACCTTAACAACCATAAAAGCACTGGTGGAATCAAGTCCCGAAGTTGGTTCATCAAGAAACAAAAGAATTGGGTCATGAACTATGTCAATGCCAATAGAAACTCTTCTTCTTTCACCACCTGAAACACCTCTATGTCCTTCGTCTCCTATCACAGTCTTGGCCGCATTACGCAGGCCTAATTGATCAATCAAGGCTTGAACTCTTGCTTTCTTTTTGGATTTGGAAAGAGAACGAGGAAGCCTGAATTCAGCAGAGAACATTAATGTCTCTTCCACAGTTAACATTGGAAATAGAAGATCATCTTGCATGACATAAGCAGATATCACTTTCAAAAGCCTCGACTCCAAGACCTCACCATTCAAACTCACAGACCCTTTTAAGCTTTCTTTCGAAATCCGGTCTGCAAGCGCATCAATCAACGTTGATTTTCCAGATCCACTAGCACCAAGAACGGCCATGATTTCTCCTTCTCTGGCCTCTCCAGATATATCATTCAACAAAACCTTCATGCCCCCTCCGGAAGAATCAAAAGAGTGGCTTCCACAAAATGGAAATGACATTTTTTGACCAACTTTAACGCTGTAAGATAAATGATTAAAAGAAAGAACAAAAGGGTTTAAAGGAGGCATAGAGCTGCAAGCATAGCCAAGCTCCAGGGCGTGATGGGGAACAGGAGTGCTATAAATGGAATTGTCACTCTGAGAATCTTCAACACGCTTTAGAAGCTCCGCAAGGGTAGGAGAGAGAGAAGGCTTAGATCTCCTAGGATATTTTTGGAGCTCCATTTGGTGTGGAAGAGCAGAAGCATTTCCCAGCTGCTGCTGCTTCGACATGTTGGAATGTTCTAAAGCTACATCGACATGAGACATTTGTGAAGGTTTTTATTGTTGGTGTTTAGTTGCAACACTCTTTTGCGAAGAATTTATAAAAAAAAGAGAAGAGTAAGTACGTTTGGTGAATCTAAAATTTAATCTCAGTGTACGTAGTAGGTGGGGGGAGTTGTGCGGATATTCAGTTTGTTAGCTCTACACTCTACTACACTTTTTCCATATTACCAAGTCCTAAAAGAAAGATGGTCTTTGATCTACTTATATTAGGAATCTACTGACCTGCTACTCTTCAACTTCAGTTTCATGTTATTAATGCATATTTATGAAGATAATAAATTGTTTTGCATGACTAATTTGGTGGGCTGTGAGAATCAAAATGCATGTCTTCATTAAGGAAAGCGCAAAATGTATCCATTAAAAGTCAAAGTCTAAAAGCACAAACTTGCTGTTGATTAGCATGAATTAGCAAACTCCACTGTTGTTATTTTAAAATTAATCAGTTTCGTGTATTTTGCAAATTTTACAAATATATTTGTTGTTTTATGGTTAGACTTGAAGCGCCTGAGATGGTGGCTGAGTATTACCTACATTTCCTAATCTGTGCATTCTATTCACCACACACGCCTTCATTCCCTCACGAAACCCCAATCAATATTCTTATATAAATAAATAGACTGCAATCGGATTGGTTGGTGCGGGTGTTATATCTTCTGTGGACTAACCTCAATGCAAATGTAAAGTAGAACAAGAAATAGATTGTGTTTGTGCGTGTTGCAGTAACTTAGACAAGTGGGTTTTGATAAACAAAACTCAAAGAGAAGCTGGGGCACACTACACAATATGTCATTTCAAGAAATCTCCCCCCATAGGCTGTAGCACTATCAATAAGTTTTCCATATAAATGAAGAAAATCACGTATCAATTGGAATCATTTAATAGCCTCAAAGCATGCATATGCTAGTCTTGTCTTGTTTGCTTCAATTTAATTAACAAGAGCAAGTGGTCTTTATTTTCTGGATTTAGCTAGCATATTATTCATAGCACTAATTGAGAAAACCACATATCCATTTATTATTTATCTCTCCCTTAACCTCAACATATATTGATATTGGTAAGTTTGACAGGGAAAAATTTATCTAGATTGGGTCCATATAATCTCAATTATTGATCAAATCAAAAAATTAAGGATTTTTATCGAAACGAGAATGTTTCTGACTATACAATAAAAAAGGATAAAGTGAGAATATTTTTTAAAAAATCTTTAATTTTATTTGTTTGGTCTATAAGTGGAGTCATGAACTGAGTCTACAAGTATTTTTCAAGCTCTATATCACTATTTTGTGTTTTTACAAACTATAAAATACTTATTTAGACCAAATCTATGATCCCAATTATAGACGAAACCAATAAAAATAAAAATTTTTTAAAAATTATTGCGACTTTATTTTTTATTTTTTTTTGTCCAATATAGTCAGAAATACAATTATTGATTATTGCTACTTTTCTCTTTTTTCTTTTTTTTCTTTTTTTCTAACGAAAGACCAGAATTATTGATTGCCAAATACATTTAGGTGTAGACAGAAAACGGCAAAAATAAATTTGGGCCTGGTCAAATAGATGGGACATTGGCTATGTCATTATCTTCTCTTGTAAGCATAAGCATAAATGGCATTATTTGACTTGTGCACATTCTGTTTCTGAAACTCAAATGTTCACATGGAGAGAAGACTTGGTCAAAAGTTAAGAGAGATTAGGTGAGACTTATTCTGTACATACTGAATGGAGTTGGATGGACCATATTGAGGGCCTTGTCCCGCTTAGTCCAATTACTGGGTTCGTTTAAATGCACTTAGACCCAAATATTCATGCTGGACTTGGACAAACCAGGATACGATCAGGCCACAACAAAAAGAATATCTCCCCTTCGGTATTGGAATTATTACTCCTATACAAGCAAACATGTGCTGCCATGTCCCAATCGTCTCTCAGCTGCGGTGTTTTTAAGGTTAACAACAAAAACATATTGTCTAATCTGCAACAAACTGAAGCCATATACATAGCAAATGAAGAACATGATTCTATTTCCTTATTTTCATATTATTTTCAAGTTTGTCATTTATTTTCATGATTAGGTTGAATATTTGATTTGGGTTAGAAAATTTTGATAATATTAATGATTAGTATATATATATTTTTTTTTTCATTTATTGATCGCCTAACCTCTCTCAAAAATGGAGAAAAAGAATCCAATTGAAAGTTTAAATTATATTCAAATTTCACTAAATTATCCCTAACTGATAAACGAGTAGCTCTTAGGATATTCTTGTTGATTCAAAATATACCATCCATCCATCCATGATTATCTGCCATGATTAATTGTATCAAACGAAGAAAATTACGTACAATGACAATCCCAATTAGAGTTCGTGCACTCTTTTATAAACAAAAGAATTGCACATGACATAGAACTCCTCCCATCTTCAAATATCTTTGTCAATGTAGTATTCTTTTCCCTATATATTTGTATATACTGTATCTCAACGTAGACATTAATGCACTGCACAATGTCTTTTTCCAAGCTTTCATTGTTTTTATTTTTCATTCTATGCAGTTTGTTTGAAACGCCAGCTTTTGCTGTCAAAAAGGTACGTAAAAATGGACGTCCATCCCCTGAGCATTATAATATCCACGGATTTATATATCTAGATAAATTCTTTTAAGCACGCTAATTAATTAATGTAATCACATTTGTACTGTATAAAAGTCTTATGTAGTGTACTTGGGATCTCATTCCCATGCACCCGATGCACAACTCTCTGAGGCTGATCTTCATGCAGTTACCAACTCTCATCACCAGTTTCTCGGCTCCTTTCTTGGCAGGTACGATTATCCTATTCATCATTTAGGTTATATATATATATATACACTATATATGATCGCCTTACAAATACAATTTGAACTCATGTGCAGTACCGAGGAGGCTAGACATGCAATTTTCTACTCTTACCAAAGGCATATCAACGGATTTTCTGCTCTTCTTGAAGAGGAAGTGGCAGCTGAGATTGCAAGTAATTAAGATTAATATTTAATTCCGATGGTACCATATTCTGTCTTTTCTCAGAAACCGATAATATTAAGTAGTAGTTTATATTAATTGCAGAGCACCCAAAAGTGGTATCGGTCTTCTTGAACCAAGCAAGAAAGCTACACACAACACGCTCATGGGAGTTTATGCTGCTAGAAAAGAATGGCGTGATACATCCTTCTTCCTTGTGGAAGAAAGCAAGATTTGGTGAAGATGTGATTATAGCTAATCTTGACACTGGTACATTTATATGTTTATATGTTATATAGATATTGCTATCAATCATCTTTTTGATTGATTAAAAATGATATGTGGTTTTTCTAGGTGTGTGGCCCGAATCAAAAAGTTTTAGCGATGAAGGTTACGGACCCATACCTTCAAGGTGGAAAGGGACATGCCAGAATGACACCACCTTCTCTTGTAACAGGTTATATTATACGCATATTTACATATAAACAGTAAAGAATAATGTTTCTTTTTGCAAATATACAATATTTAACTATTGATGCAATTGCAGGAAGTTAATTGGAGCTAGACACTTCAATAAAGGGTTTTTAACTGCTCATCAACTACCCCTCTCTCCCTTCTACAACACTACTCGTGACTATATAGGCCATGGAACTCACACACTGTCAACAGCTGCCGGAAACTTTGTCCCTGGAACCACTGTGTTTAGTGTAGGAAATGGAACTGCTAAAGGAGGTGCTCCCAAAGCTAGAGTCGCTACTTACAAGATTTGTTGGCCTCCAGTACGGGAGCACAAAGGTGGATGCTATGATTCTGATATTGTTGCAGCATTTGAAGCTGCCATACATGACGGGGTTGATGTCATCTCGCTCTCTGTTGGTGGAGGTCCTAAGAATTATTTCAGTGATGGGATTGCAATTGGTTCATTCCATGCTATACAAAAAGGTATTGTGGTAGTTTGCTCTGCAGGAAATGATGGACCTCAAAGTGGAACTGTCGCAAATATTGCCCCTTGGTTGTTTACTGTTGGAGCTAGCACCATAGGCCGACAGTTCCCGAATGTCGTTGAACTCGGAAACGGCCTCCGCCTTAAGGTTCTTTTTAATCTTTTTTTTCTTTTCTTTTCTATACAAATTACAATTTATCTCTAATATTATAATTCCATATTCTGAATTCTGATTTTCAGGGTTCAAGCATTTCTGAACCCTTGCCTGAAGATAGATTATATCCGCTTATTAGTTCCTTACAGGCCAAGGCTGCTAATGCATCTGCTCTTGATGCGTAAGAAGAAATAATATTTCATTTTCCAATTCCTCAACCACATGCACGTGTGTTCGATTTATTTATTACCATAAATCTATGCAGTGAGCAGTGTCTGGCAGGAAGCTTGGATCCTGCCAAGGTGAAGGGCAAAATCTTGGCTTGTCTGAGGGGAGGTAGTGACAGAATGGAAAAAGGTCAGCAAGCTGCTCTGGCCGGTGCAGTTGGATTTATTCTTTCCAATGATAAAAGCTTTGGAGATGAAATCTCGCAGGATCTCCATATGTTGCCTGCTTCACATATCAACTACAGAGATGGCCTTGCTCTCTATTCTTACATCAATAGCACCGAGTACTCATACTCATTCTCTGTCTACCTCTCTTCTTCTCTTGCATTCAATTAGTCCATCAGTTTCTTATCAATCAATAATCCGTAATTGACAGTGATCCTGTAGCTTTTATCACGCCTACCTCTGAAATGCTTGCTGGGCCTGCTCCGTTCATGGCTGACTTTTCCTCTGTTGGACCAAATATTATTACACCTGAGATCCTCAAGGTTAGTTTAAAACTAAACGTGTCTTAGTTATAATCAAGCATATAGCCATTGTTATTAAATTAAAAAAAAAAAAAAAGCTAAATTGCAGCCTGACGTTACTGCACCGGGGGTGAATATCATAGCCGCCTTCTCTGAAGCAGCAAGCCCATCTGAATCTTACTTTGATAAGCGTCGTACTGCTTTCAACCTTAATTCTGGTACATCTATGTCCTGCCCCCACGTTGCTGGAGTTGTGGCCCTTCTCAAGACCCTCTACCCTTACTGGAGTCCTGCTGCAATTAGATCAGCAATCATGACAACTGGTAATATTTTTTTACTAGTATTAGTATTAGAAGCAGCCATTGTTTAACTTCTCTTTCTAATTTAATTATTAATTTAATTATCTACACTACAGCGAGAACGAGAGATAATACTATTCATCCAATGCGTGATGGATATTCTAAGAAGGCAACGCCATTCCATTATGGATCCGGACATATGAGACCAAACCGTGCCATGAATCCAGGACTGGTTTATGACTTATCTGTGAATGATTACTTGGACTTCCTTTGTGCTATCGGCTACAACCAAACTTTGATTCATGCGTTCTCTGTTGGTCACAAATGTCCTAAATCGGCCAGCCTTTTGGAATTCAACTACCCTTCAATTGCAGTCCTTAAACTATCAGGCTCGGTAACTGTGAGTAGGAAATTGAAGAATGTTGGTTCGCCAGGCAAATATGCAGTTCGTATCAAAGAACCATATGGAATTTCAGTCTCCGTAGAGCCAAGAGTCTTGACATTTGACAAGAATGGAGAAGAGAAGAGCTTTAAGGCCACTTTTACAGCTAAGTGGGAAGGTGCAGCTAAAGAATACGAATTTGGAGGTCTAATATGGACAGATGGTCTCCACTATGTTAGGAGTCCAATTGTAGTTTCTGCGGCTTAGATACGTAATTGGTTGGGACAATTTGATAGAAGGTTGATTTTTCATTTTCTTTAGAGGTAGTTCTAGTTTTTTTGAAGAGGGTAGTTCTAGTTAGGTTCTCTTTTGTTTTTTCATTTCTTGATACAAACAGTGGTTTAAGTCAGATCGTTATGTTATGATAGGCACTTCAAAGTAATTAGACTAGAAGGAAATACCATATTACGCACTATGGCTTTTGCATACTCGCATTGTAATTTGTTAATGATCTAAATAAAACAAGAAAGAAAATTCTAGTTGTTTTGGCTTTCCAATTCTTGTTCCTGGATATTAGGTGGTTTCCTTGCCAAGTATTAATAAATTCTGTATCAATACAGAAATATAACAATCTGTATTATGGCCCCAAATGCAGGAACCTATCCCAGGTTCATAACTCTGTGGCCTTGGGCTGAGATAAGAATCGGTTCACAAATATACAAAAACGGGGGGGAAAAGTTTCCCTGTGGTTCACTCACATGGAAGAGATGAAAAACATTCCTTTTTTCTACAATGGTGCAGAAAGACTGGAAATTTGCAAGAAAATTTATCAAGAGATATATATTCAACTTGCTGGTTTAATTAATGCTAGATTCATGATTGGATTATAATATATTCTTTTTCACAACAAAATTATTAGCTAGCCTGACTTTGAGTTGGGCAGGAACTTTTGTTTTGATTTCAATTTTATTGTTAATTGTTAGAATCAATCATTACAATAAAAATGATAATTGAACACTCTATTTTTAGAAACAGAGATTGCCTTTTGTCTTTCATTTATAATTTCTGATTTTTAATTCTTTGCTCTGCTCTGCTACTGCAGCAAGAACCAGAGACAACATTTTCCACCCAATGCCTGATGGCGATTCTGAAAAGGCAACCCATTTAGTTTAGGTTCCGGTCATGTTAGACCAAACCGTGCCATGGATCCAGGCTTGGTCTATGACTTGTCTGTCGATGATTGCTTGGGACTTCCTTTCTTCTCTTGGCTACAACCAATCCATGATTGACATTTTCTTTCTTGGCCACAAATGTCCTGAATCAGATTTCAAGATTTCTTCAATTACAACACCTGAACTAACTTGGACAGATGGTGTTCACAATGTTAGGAGTCAATGCATTAGGGATATATAAACAAGGATTAGAACAAGGATTAATTTGTTTCCTCTTTCAGTAGATATTATAGATGAAATAAAAGATATTTTAGATAAAAGGAAACACTTTAAATTTGTTTTTTCTTTTTTGGAAAATAGAGGTTGTTACCTAATCAAATGCATTGAATATTATTCAATCCCTTTAAAACCGGTTGGATGATCTTCTACTATAAAAGAATTGCATATATCATAGGATTCTGAGATATCTATATATCTCTCTGTCTCTCAAATATATACTAATCTGAGTTCTGAGCAATCTGAGCAATCTGAGCAATGGCAAGGATGTGGTTCCCAAAGCTTTCAATTTCAGTAGTGTTTTTATTTTTGACTCTTTGCAGTTTGTTTGAAACGCCCGCTTTGGCTATCAAAAAGAAGTCATACATAGTGTACTTGGGATCTCATGAACACAATTCTCAAGTTTCTGAGGCTCATCTTCATGCAGTTACAAATTCCCATTATGAGTTTCTCTCCTCCTTTCTGGGAAGGTATCAAATTTCCTCCTTTATGACTTTAGTTCCTAAAATGGTTATATATGTATGGTATAATAATATCTGCTCCTCGCAGTACTGAGAAAGCTAAAGATGCAATTTTCTACTCTTACCAAAGAAACATCAATGGATTTGCTGCCTTTCTTGAGGAGGAAGAGGCAGCTGAAATTGCAAGTAATTTGAGATTTTTAATAATACCATTTGTTTTTGGTTGATGATTAACCGTTTCATCAAAAAGATAATAATAATTTACATTAACTGCAGAGCATCCAAAAGTGGTATCCGTCTTCTTGAACCGAGCACGACAGCTACACACAACACACTCATGGGAATTTATGTTGCTAGAAAAGAGTGGCGTGATCCATCCTTCTTCCCTGTGGAAGAAAGCCAGATTTGGTGAAGACACCATTATAGCTAATCTTGACACCGGTACTTTCGTGTTCCGTATATGTAATACTTGGTATTGCTTGTGCTATGACTAGTTATTATTTCATAACACACTGATCTTGTTAGGTGTTTGGCCCGAATCAAAGAGCTTTAGTGATGAAGAATTTGGCCCCGTACCTTCAAGATGGAAAGGCATATGCGAGAATGGCACCACCTCTGGAGTCCCTTGTAACAGGTTACTTGCATACATATTATTGCACCTTAAGTTCGTTAAAAGCTTTGAAGTTTATGTATTGTGTATTTTGGTTTGTAGTTTGTTTTATCAAATTTTTATCTTACGTAAAATCCATTTGATAACTAAATAATAACTGAGTAATTAACTGTTTTAGGAAGTTAATTGGAGCTAGATACTTCAACAAAGGTTATATAGAGGAATACAAGTTGAAAGTAGGTCGTTGGGATCCATCTCTCAACACTCCTCGAGACATTGAAGGTCACGGAACTCATACCCTGTCAACGGCTGCTGGTAACTTTGTCCCAAAAGCCAGTGTGGTTGGTATAGGAAGTGGAACTGCCAAAGGCGGTGCTCCTAAAGCTAGAGTGGCTGCTTACAAGGTGTGCTGGTCTGCAGTAGAGGACAAGGATATCGACGGATGCTATGATGCTGATATAATAGAAGGATTTGATGCTGCCATCCATGATGGAGTCGATGTTCTTTCAGTCTCTCTTGGTGGGGACCAGACGGATTATTTTAATGATGGCATTGCAATTGGTTCATTCCATGCTGTCAAGAAGGGTATTGTCGTTGTCGTCTCAGCAGGAAATTCTGGGCCAGAACCTGGAACTGTGTCAAATGTTGCCCCTTGGATGATAACTGTTGGAGCTAGCACTATAGACCGAAAGATTCAGACTATTGTTGAACTTGGCAATGGCCACCACCTTAAGGTTCCTCATCCCAGCTTTAGTTTTTATTAGTTCTTTCTTATCATCTGGATTTTTGTCTCTTCTCATTTCCGATTCTGATTTCAGGGAACAAGCATTTCTAAAGCAATGCCTGAAAATAAATTGTATCCACTTATTAGTTCAGTGCAGGCCAAGGCTGCTAATGCATCCGTTAAAGATGCGTAAGATAAAAAAGCTTTTCATTTCCCAACTCCACAACATGCAATTTCTCTACCCATTCATTCAAATTCCCTTATGGTTGTATATGTATGCAGTGAACTATGTCTGCCAGGAACCTTGGATCCTGCCAAGGTGAAAGGTAAGATCTTGGCTTGTCTGAGGGGAGAAACTGCTAGAGTAGATAAAGGTGCACAAGCTGCTTTGGCTGGTGCAGTAGGGATGATCCTTTGCAACGATGAGAGTGATGGGGATTCAATCAATACCGATGCTCATTTGCTGCCGGCATCGCATATCACTTACAAAGATGGCCTTGCTCTCTTTTCATACATTAACTCTACTCGGTGTGTGTTCAATTCTCTCTTTCCCCCTTTTTATTTGTTGTTCAGTTCATCAGTTTCTTATCCATATCAAATAACAACAGTGATCCTCTGGGATTTATTACGCCTACATCGGAAATTTTTGGCACAAAGCCTGCTCCGTTCATGGCTGCATTTTCCTCTGTGGGGCCAAACACTGTTACACCTCAGATTCTCAAGGTTTGAATGTGAATCTGTAATTTATAATCAGTCAAAACCAATGGGTTTTTATTTATTGATGTCTCTTAACTGTTGTAGCCTGACATTACTGCACCTGGAGTGGATATCATAGCCTCTTACACAGGATCATCAAGCCCCACGGGTCTAGACTTTGACAAGCGCAGGACGCCTTTTATCACTATGTCTGGCACTTCAATGTCTTGCCCTCATGTTGCTGGGGTTGTTGCCCTTCTGAAAACACTCCATCCTGAATGGAGTCCTGCTGCAATTAAATCAGCCATTATGACAACTGGTAATTAAACATTGTATGTCCTTTTCTAATTAATATCTGATCCTAATTTAATGCTCTGCTACCGCAGCAAGAACAAGAGACAACACACCCCAGCCATTGCTTGATGGATCATCTGTAAAGGCAACCCCATTCAATTACGGTTCTGGACATATCAGGCCAAACCGTGCCATGAATCCAGGGCTTGTTTATGACTTATCTGTGAATGATTACTTGGACTTCCTTTGTGCTATTGGCTACAACCAATCATCGATTGATGCTTTTTCTGCTGATCACAAATGTCCTAAATCAGCCAGTCTTCTAGACTTCAACTACCCTTCAATTACAATCCCTAAACTATCAGGCTCAGTAACTGTGAGTCGGAAATTGAAGAATGTTGGTTCGGCAGGCAAATATGCAGTTCGTATCAAAGAACCATATGGAATTTCAGTTTCAGTGGAGCCAAGTGCGTTAACATTTGAAAAGACAGGAGAAGAAAAGAGCTTTAAGGCAACTTTCAAAGCTAAGTGGGAAGGAGCAGCTAAAAACTATGAATTTGGCGGACTAACATGGACTGATGGTGTCCACTATGTTAGAAGTCCAATTGTAGTTTCCACAGTTCAGATATGACAAGGAAAGACTATTTTAGCATGTAGCTGTTAGGATTTTTTTTTTTTTTTTAAATTTTCTCCACACATTTAGGAAGTAAATTATGGTTTAGGAAGTAAATGTCTTAAATTCCTTGTGATTCTGGTTTGAATTTTTTTAATAAAAACATAAATTTACATGCCAAGCTTCAGATCTCAAAAGAAAGACTTTATTAGTATACTCAAGGATACTGTTCCTTTATGTCATTTCATGGGCAAGTTGTAAGGGCATATTTGTCCAGAAAAAAATGAGAGGATGTTTAAATTTCAAAGAAGATTGAAAAAGACAGTGCATTTTAAAGTAGATATGGAAGGTAAATGTGGCCAATAATAAGCAAAGGTTATGTTTTTTTCATTCTTTTTGTTTTTTTCATTTTTCCCCGATCAAAATACGCCTTATACATAAATTCTGCAGGTCTCTTCTCTACCTTAATGCATTCTTGAATCTTAACCATCATGGCTCATATCACTATGAACATGAGTATGAATGTGATGAGCATGGATATTAGTTCTAGGTTGTCTAGGCCTAATTCTCGCCTCTCCACATCATTTTTAACACCTTTTCATTTCCAGGCTCAAAGTCTGAGTCTTTTCTCTCATAAGTCTCTGCTGAGTCTAAGTAGGACTAGTAAAACCAATATATGGAGGCACTCCATGTTTATCAGTACTAAACCTGTTCTGAAAGATGGGACTCTTAGTATTAATGGCAAGGATGCATTGAATGAAGTTCCTGACAATGTCTTCTTGACACCATTGACCGATTCATCTGCTTACCTGGGGGCTACTTCCACTGAGAGCAGTTCCCGACATGTTTTCAAGCTTGGAGCTATTCGGTAATCAAGCTGGCGGGATCTCCCCACTGCATTATTTTTATGTTTTATATATTTTTTTCCTAGCTCATGGTTCATATATATGGATGCAGGAATGTCAGACTATTATCTTTGTTTAGATTCAAACTGTGGTGGATGATTCCTAGAGTCGGGTATTCAGGAAGCGACATTCCTGTTGAAACTCAGATGTTGCTTATGGAAGATACTAAAGGACCATCTAAGGCTTCTCCTTCTTATGTTGTTTTCTTGCCTCTGCTAGATGGTGAATTTAGGACCAGCTTGCAGGGAAATTCATCTGATGAACTTGAATTCTGTGTCGAAAGTGGTATGTAAACGAAATTCAAACATCTGCTTAATCCATCAGTCTATGTCTATGGTTATTATATTGTAAATTTCAATTCCACTGGAAATTTACCTATTACCAATAAAAATTCTGATAGATGTTAAAAACTTGCATGATAGCACAGGTTATATTAAAGGCTGACGGTAATTATTGGCTCACAAAAGTTTCTTGCTTCTTATATAATGGTCATATTCTCATCTATTTCCTTTATTTTCCTAGACTAATATAACGATAATGAAGTCTTGTTTACCTTGATAGGTGACCCTGCTGTAGTTACTTCAGAATGCCTAAAAGCAGTTTTTGTGAATTATGGAAACCATCCGTTTGATCTGATGAAGGAAACCATGAAGTAGGTCAGCTTTCTGAGCAAAATTTTCAGTTTCAATCTTAGGGAAATATCAGTAGTTAGTTACGGCACTAGTTTCATGTCACTGAAGCGTGTCAGCTAATTTCTGGTGAGAATTTAAGCAGCATATATAACATATAATTAATTTACGCGATCATAACTGAAATCTAGCTACTTGGGTTGTCAATTTAGCTTTAAGATAGGCCTCTTACTTTCCTTGTCCTGTCTCACGTGTTTTGCAACATATGCAGGATTTTGGAGGAGCAGACTGGAACCTTTACAGTTCGTGAAAAAAAACAGGCAATGCCTACCATTATATTGTCTTGTGGGAATATGAAAAAAAAAGCGAAAAAAAAAATTTAATTCAGTTCTCTTATTCTTTCTGATGCAGATGCCAGGAATGTTAGATTGTTTTGGTTGGTGCACTTGGGATGCATTTTACCACCAAGTAAATCCTCAAGGAATAAAAGAAGGTCTAAGAAGGTTGACATAATTCTTTCTAACATTTGTACGCCAAACGTAATGGGGTATTGACTTTTGCTCCAAATAATTCTATCTGTTTCATTCTGATAGTTTATCCCAAGGAGGCACGCCAGCAAAGTTTTTGATAATAGATGATGGTTGGCAAGATACGACTAATGAGTTCCAAAAGGAAGGGGAGCCATATATTGAAGGGTCACAGTAAGTTCATCCAACTTTTCATATTGTACTAATTGCTAATCCCATCACATGTAAACCTCTTAATTTCATTCACTTTACAGGTTTGGTGGCAGATTAGCCAGTATTGAGGAGAACAACAAATTTCGTAGAACCAATGAAGCTCAAAGTGATGCTCCAATTGATCTAAAGCATTTTGTTTCTGATATTAAGAGCACTTTTGGCCTTAAGTATGCCATATCCTAATGTTCTTGAATTTCTTTTCTTGAATATGCTCTCTACTCATCTAAATATCCTTCATATATATATATATGACTAATGAGTTCAAAAGGGAAGGGGAGCCCATAATATATGAAGGGGAGGATAGTTCATCCACTTTTCAATATTGTTACTAATTGGCTTAAAATCCCATCACATGTAAACCTCTTTAATTTCATTCACTTTACAGGTTTGGTGGCAGATAGCCAAGTATTGAGGAGAACAACAAATTTCGTAGAACCAATGAAGCTTCAAAGTGATGCTCCAATTGATCTATTTTTATAGTTATTATTGATATTAAGAGCACTTTTGGTCCAAGTATGATCCTAATGTTCTTAGGGAATTTCTTTTCTTGATATGCTTCTCTCACTCATCTAAATATCCTTCATATATATATTAATTATTTATTTTTGTTTTATATATATATATATATATATATTGTTCCTCTTCTAATTTTCAGGTACGTCTATGTATGGCATGCCTTGATGGGATATTGGGGAGGGCTTGTTCCAGATGCAGAAGGGACTAAAAAATATAGTCCAAAATTAACATATCCAGTGCAGTCACCAGGGAACTTGGCAAATATGAGGGATATCTCAATGGACTGCATGGAGAAGTATGGTGTTGGCGCTATTGATCCTGCAAGAATATCTGAATTCTTTCATGATCTTCATAGTTATCTTGTTGCACAAAATGTGGATGGGGTTAAGGTTGATGTTCAGAACATACTGGAAACAATCGCAACTGGCTTGGGAGGTCGAGTCTCACTTACCAGACATTTCCAACAGGCACTTGAGGAGTCTATAGCCACTAATTTCCATGACAACAGCATTATCTGCTGCATGGGGCAGAGCACAGACTCCATTTACCAGTTAGTATATATGTGTTTGTGTATGGCCTCCAATTATGTTTCCAAGAGGTAATTGATAACATTTATTTTTTGGCTTTATTGTAGTTCAAAGCAAAGTGCCATAACTAGAGCATCTGATGATTACTACCCAGAAAATCCAACCACACAGACACTGCATATAGTTGCTGTAGCTTTTAACAGCATATTCCTTGGTGAAGTAGTAGTCCCTGATTGGGACATGTTCTATGTATGTCATAGGCTTTTCTCACAATTAATTTTTTTCTCCTTTATTAAATTGGTTATGAGAATCAGTGAAATTTGCCTGACAACTTGCAGAGCCTACATGATGCAGCTGAATTTCATGCTGTTGCTAGAGCTGTCGGAGGGTGCGGAGTGTATGTTAGGTAGGGATTTTTGTACATCCATTCGAGTTGGAAAGGTTAATACTTAATATATATATTATATGTGGGAATTGTGTTATCAGTGATAAACCAGGCCACCATGATTTCAACATTCTGAAAAGGCTTGTACTTACTGATGGATCAGTACTTAGAGCTAAATATCCAGGAAGACCTTCAAGAGATTGTTTATTCAGTGATCCAGTAATGGATGGGAAGAGGTACTGACTATTGCTCTCCTTCTTGCTTGAATTATGAGATTTGATTTAATTCTCTCATGAGGCATGACCCTTTTTATAATTTTCTTTTCCTAGTCTTATGAAGATCTGGAACCTGAACGAATGTAGTGGAGTCCTTGGTGTTTTCAATTGCCAAGGAGAAGGAAGCTGGCCTTGTTTGAAAGACACACAGTCACAACAGAAACAAGAGAGGGCAGAAATACATGGACGGGTATCTCCTGCTGATGTTGAGTATTTTGAAGAGGTTTCAGGGAAACTGTGGACTGGAGATTGTGCAATTTATTCTTTCAAGACAGGTGTTTGCTATTTCTCTACATTTTGAACGATAATAATTATTTCCTTGAATGAAACTCTTACATCCTCACGTTTTGTTTGTTTTTACAAATTTTCAGGATCAATGTTGCGATTAGAGAAGGAAGAAACTTTTGATGTCACATTAAAAACTCTGGAATGTGATGTATTTACTATATCACCTATCAAGGTTAGCTAACTGTGACTAGTTTTTTCAGGTTCATAATGCAAGTGAACTGTCAATTTTTTCCTGATATGTTCTCTGCAGGTTTACTATGAAAATGTCGAGTTTGCACCAATTGGATTAGTAAACATGTATAACTCTGGAGGAGCAATGGAATCAGTTCAACAGTGTAGAGATTCTTCTGGTCTTAGAACAATAAGCATCAAAGGAAGAGGGGGAGGCATCTTTGGAGCATTCTCCACTGTGAAGCCCAAGTCCTGCACTGTAAATTCCAAAGGAGAGGAAGTTATATTCAGAGAAGAGGACAATCTTTTGACAGTAACAGTTCCCTTTGGAACCTCTGCTTGGGACATTCACATTTCTTTTTGATGTCTGAAATTTTGGTTAGAGCTTCCTTTGTATATAATATGACTGCTTCAGCATCAGCTATCAAGTGATAATTGTTTTTATTTGTACAATTTCCAAATTCTTTATATTTGCAACTAAAATAGGCAAGAATTTATAAGGAAATTAACATATTACAATCATTGTTTTAACCAATTAAAATAGACTAAAAGATTACTCGACCGTTATAATTAGTGAGATAGTGTGAGTCATAGGCTAGACAGAGCAACAATTTATAATGTAGCAGTTAATGTTTCCAAGCTTTTATTATTTATAGTATAGTTGCGTGGCATTTATACTGTATTATAGAAAAATAAATAAATAATGGACATTGTTTTCTTTTTTTTAAAAACTATTCGGGTCTTAAAGCCCAAAGGAATTGGGGGCCCAGAAAGAGGACGGGTGAATAGAAAATGACAGCGAGGACGCAACTCATACAAATACAATACACACGAGACGTATTTGCTTCGCTGTAACGGGATTCGCAAAAGCAATACATAGCAAGTTAACAACTCAATTAAGTTAACAAAGTCCCAATTTCCAAACTATTTTAAATAATTTTCAGTTTTCTGTTTTCCTTGGCGTCGGTTCTTCTTCTTATACTTGTTTTTTTTTTTTTTTTTAAATTGTTAATCTAGACGTATACACACGGCTGTATTCATACGAATGCTAACTCTTCTCCAAAAAAAATTTCGTTGTTGTTAAGAACCAAATTCCAATTTCGAAGCACTTCCTCTCCAGCGAGATCTGATAAAAAGACAGAAAAAATGTCATACGCTTACCTTTTCAAATACATCATCATCGGTGATACCGGTAATCTCTCTCTCCTTCTTCTTCTTCTCCATAGATTGATCCATGTTCTCTTTAATCTTACTGTTGCTTGCTTCAATTTCTAGGAGTCGGAAAATCATGCCTTCTGCTTCAGTTCACGGACAAGAGGTTCCAGCCGGTTCACGACCTCACCATAGGTGTCGAATTTGGGGCTCGGATGATCACCATCGACAACAAACCCATCAAGCTCCAAATTTGGGACACGGTCTCCTTTTCCTCCTTTTTCTTAACTTTACACTTGAACTTCCAATTCTCCTAACCTTTTTTGTTCATCTATTCAATTTCAAAATATTAACTTATTAGATGCTGTAATTTCTCCACGTTATCACAGGCGGGTCAAGAGTCCTTTCGATCCATTACCAGGTCCTATTACAGAGGGGCTGCTGGTGCTTTGCTTGTCTATGACATCACCAGGTACTTATAGTCATCAGGTGCTATATATATATATATTAGAATCATGCTTCCATCACGCGACTCTCAGATAGATTAGGACTTCTCTACTATGTTTGTGTGAAAAATTATACTTTTTGATACTTTAGCCACTTTAACACACTTACTAAAATCTGGATTCTATTTAAAATATCATAGTTTTTGTATTGTTTCTTCATATGCTTTCCTTAAAACTTACTATGTGTAAATATTTATACTTTTGATACTTTTAGGCCACTTAATACGCTCACCTAAAATCATATATATATACTTCATCACGCGAGTCTCTCGATAGATTAGGGCTTCTCTACTATGTGTGAAAAATTATACTTTTGATACTTTAGCCACTTTAATACGCTCACTAAAATCTGGATTCTATTTAAATATCATAGTTTTGGTATTGTTTCTTCATATGCTTTCCTTAAAACTATTATTGCCTAAGGGACCTCTATTTAGGAACTAGTTTAATTTGTAGTATCATGAGACAGTGTAGTGTGATGACGGGCAAGCCTTGGCCAGGTTGAAAGTCACAAACTACATATGACATGTGCTCTCCATAGTGTGGTAAAGCTTGATGTCTGCTTGTGCTGTTTCACAGGAGGGAAACTTTTAATCACTTGGCTAGCTGGCTAGAGGATGCTAGGCAGCATGCAAATGCTAACATGACTATTATGCTCATTGGTAATAAGTGTGATCTTGCTCATAGAAGGGCTGTGAGCACAGAGGAAGGAGAGCAGTTTGCTAAGGAGAATGGTTTAATCTTCATGGAGGCCTCTGCAAAAACTGCTCAAAATGTTGAAGAGGTAAAGAAACACAGTACCTATATGAGATAGAGCATGTTCTGTAACAAATTTTATCTTTTCATATGGTAGCTCTTCTAATAGCAAGATTCTTTGTGCAGGCATTTATCAAAACAGCTGCAACAATATATAAGAAGATTCAAGATGGAGTTTTTGACGTATCAAATGAGGTTTTTTTTTTTATTTTTTAGTTTTCATGGTCATCTCACTTGTTTTCTAATTTTGTTTCAGCATATTATCTTTTAGTAAAGCATATTTGTTATAAAAATTTTGAAGTTTGCCTGCCAGTTGAAGTTGGCTCAATTGGTTGGTACATGTACGGGTCATCCCACGTTAGAGTTATGGGTTATGAAAAACTGGCAAAGAGTTAGCTATTTGTTTTGGTTGCTATGATGATGCTCTTTTTTATATTCTTCTCATGAAAAGATCCGACGGACTTTTTGTTAGTGGCAGGCACAGTCCTTTATCGGAGTGTTTATAAGGAAAAAGGGGGAAAAAAGGCAAGATTACATATAAGAATAAAAGGAGAAAAGACGAACCATCTGGAAAAATCCAAAAATAATTTAGTATCCAAACAGCTCCCACTGCCCAATACATTCTTTCCTTGCTATTTATACTAGCTTTGCTGAATTATGAAATGTGAAATATGGAAATGGCTCACTACATAAGACTTGTTAAGTACACTACATCAGCAAACTAACTTCAGTAACCGCTAACAACATTGCCTGGACTAGTCCACCTCATCAATCATGTACTGCCTCCCTCATCCTTGATGCAATGCATTCTGTACATAATGGTTTGTGCCAAGAGAATTAGTGGCTAAGGTGTGCTTATTGATCTTCATGTTGTTGCTATCCAAGAGCTTAATCGTTTACAACTCATGAATTTACCTGTATTGACATTGTTCTTACGAAAAGATAAAAAGTGATGTTGGTTAATTCCATAAAAATTTTGTATGAAGGATTCTCAAACCTTCAAGGTTTTGCTTATTGATCCCATTTTTCATGATCTCAATTTGTTTGCAACCAAGTCTGAAGCATGTTTGTAGAGGCATGCATGTGCACTTCATGTAATATTGTTGGATGAGAGTTTTAGATGTTGCTGATACTCTGTTTTGGTTCTCTTCAGTCTTACGGAATAAAAGTTGGATATGGTGGAATTCCAGGGCCATCAGGAGGCAGAGATGGTTCTTCTTCTCAAGCAGGAGGCTGCTGCGGTTGAAATTCACACTCATTTGATATACTGAATACAACCAGTTTATGATTCTTGTGCCTTTTGGAACTGAATATTATGACTGTTTTTGGTATGTGGGGATTTGGGGCATGTGATCCTTGTATAATCCACTTTGGTGTCATGTCTATTGATTGTAAATTCATCAGATGTTATAGTTTCTTTAACTTTCTTCTCCTCTTTCTTTTGTTGGATTGTATTAGTTTTATTCTTCTTTGCCACTGCTGAAGGAAACTCTGAATTGTGAAAAGCAGAAAGTCTCATTAAACTTGATGTGTTATGTGTTAACATATGATGTTCACAAGCTGAATTCAGTGGGATTCTATGTGTATTTTGGATCCAATCTGTAAACTCCCTCTGCCTCCTTCAACTTTATGATATAATAAGTATACCTTGGAATGTTGGATACTGTTTCTCTCGCTTGTACCCAGAACATTAATTTTGATTAAGCAGTCGAATTATTGGTTCCCATTTGGTTGATCAAGAAAATTAAATCTTTGGAGAAGCTTTTTAATAACATGGACGTGCTAACTTCTGCTCTTTCGCAAGTTCTTTATGATTAGAACGACATTGAAACAATTATCTAAGGTGGATCAAAGAAACTGAGACGCCGATATGGCAAAACGCAGAGGAGCCCCAAAAGATGCGAACTTGGGTTACGTGTAGCAGCTACAGCTGGGAGTAGCTATGCATGTCTGCCTCTGGAGGTGACATAAATAGAAGAGGACGATGAATACAATTATTTAATAGTATTAGATAAGAAAAAATAATAATAATTTAATAATAAAACTAGTAGTTGCCTTAGAAATTAATTAAATAAAAAATTCCACTCTCCGTTAGTCTCATCTCTCTGTTCTGTTGTCCGTCGCCGTCAGTTTACTGTTTGTTCATCTAGGAGAAGACTCATTTTTAATTTTACCGGCGTTATGTTTTGTATTATTTTATACTATCAAATAAAAACTCTCTCAACTTTCACTCGCCTTCCACTTTCGGTCGAGACGAGACAGAGACAGGGACAGAAACAGAAACGGAGACGAGAAAGAAAGCCGCAGAGAGAGAGAGAGAGAGAGAGAGAGAGAGAGAAAGGGAGTGGAGATTCAATTTAAGGAGAATCTGAAATCCATCCAATCTCCATTTCTGATCTGAAATGAATCAAAATCAGCGGATCCATTGAATTATTTTGCGTAAGCTTCAAAATCTATCTCTGTCTCTTCTCTCGCCTTATATATAAATCCGTAATCAATCAATCAATCAACCTAATTAATCTCAATTAAAAGATCACTTATAGTTGCAGTTATTTTTTAATGGCTTCACCTGGTAATCCTCCAAATCAAGGAGGTGGAGGCGGAGGTGGTGCTTTTGATGTGAATAAGCTGTTCAAGCCATCTTCGAGCCCTATGAACATGAATTTGAATAATATGAATATGATGCAACCATCACCACAGCAACAGCAGCAGCCTCCTCTCAGTCCTAGCCACTCAAACCCAGCTACTGGCAATCTCACAACTTCTCCTTCCTTTCCTCTTCCTTCTTCACTCCCTTCCTCTTCTCCTCCTTATTTGACTCCGTCTTCCTCTTATCCTCCTCCCACCGGGCCTTACCACCCTTATAATCCTCACTATCTCTCTCCTTATCCACCTCCACCTCCTCCACAACTTCAACAGCATCACAATCAGTTCCTCACTAACATGCACCACCAGAATAGACCTCAGCCCATTTCTTCTTTTCCTTCTCCTTCTGCTGCTGCCTCTGCTTCTTCCACTCCTCCATCGCCTCCTCCATTCTCGCCTAATAACCCTAACCCCGGTGGTGTATTGATGGACATCCTCAACAATCAGAATCAGCAGCAGCAACAACCTCCTCCCTCTAATCTGACTATGCCATTCTCTTCGCCATCTTCTTCATCAGCTGTATCCAGCTTCAATGCTCCTGCCCCTTCTGCTCCGCCTGTCAGTTTGGCATCTCCAACTCATCAGCTGCAGCAGCCCAGCCCAACTCCTATGAGAATGCTCAGCAGCAAGCTCCCCAAAGGGCGCCATTTAATTGGCAACCATGTTGTGTATGATATTGATGTCAGATTGCAAGGAGAGGTGCAGCCACAACTTGAAGTCACTCCCATTACCAAGTATGTCTCTGATCCTGGCCTTGTACTTGGTCGTCAGATTGCAGTCAATAGAAATTACATTTGCTATGGACTCAAGCCTGGAGCTATCCGCATTCTCAATATCAATACTGCCTTGAGATCTTTGCTTCGTGGTCATAATCAGGTTAGTCATTTCTTCTAGAAAAGCTATTCCTATCTCGTTGGGTAAAGTGATTTTTAATTTCGTCCCATGAAAGTATGTACCTTTAGTTTTGTTGTAAAAGTAAGAAGAATCTGAAGAATATTTGTTATAGACTCATCCCATGGAGTTGAAATGTAAGAGCTGCAAAAGTTTTTACCTCTATGTAACTAGATAGTGATTTTCCATTTATTTCACATAACCATTCACAATTCCAATATGGGCATGCCAAATACCTCAACGAATAATTTGGATCCATTATCTCTTTATAAATATCTTCCTAAGATTTGGTAATTTCTTGATTCTAACTTGATGAACTTTGTGAGGCCGTCTTGTCCATTTGATATATGAGCAAATCTACTCTTGCTGATTATCGTCCATTCTTATTTTCCCCTATCAATTGCTAATAGGTTTTCCACTGCTTAACGTGGTTTGAAAAGATGGGTAAGTTTCCCAACCAGATGGAATTCTAGTTTGGGCACTCTTACATTCTGTCTATAGTGATTTCACTTATTAAAAAGTAAAAAGAAGAGAATTGTTGCGATATTGCTTTCTATGGCAGAGACTTAATTTGCAAACGTTTTCCACTGCTTACTGTTTTGCATATAGTTCTAGTCAATTATAGTATTTGAACTCTAGACAGATAAACTCGTTATAATTTCATTGTTTTGGTTGGCTGAAATTCTTGCCTCTTAAGTGAGGACCACAACTGGCTAAATTTTTGTGTATTTTACTTTCCTTTTTGTCTGATAATTATTTGTTAGCTGTTAAGTGCTAGATTATATTCTTGTAATTATCATTTATCTTGAAACATGTTTAGGCTTTCTTGTTTTTTAATCATATTGTAATTGTGATGCCATATACAGCATGCAATATTTAAACTTCCATATCTCTCTCTCTCTCTCTCTCTCTCTCTCTCTCTCTCTCTCTGAGTCATTTACAGGCACTTTTTTGTTTTTCTAAATGTAGAAAGTAACAGATATGGTGTTCTTTGCTGAGGATGTCCACCTTCTGGCCAGGTAATTTTTTGTGTTGTTAAAAATTTAAAAATGCATAACATAAGTGAAATGTACTAACTTTAATTCCTGCAGTGCATGCATTGATGGGCGGGTATTCATACGGAAGATCAGTGAGGGGCCAGATGAGGAAGAGAAACCTCAAATTTTTGAAAGAATTGTTCTTGCCCTTCAGATAATAGTAGAGGGAGGGCCGGTGCATCCACGAGTGTGTTGGCATCCTCACAAACAAGTAAGAATCGATTTTGTTATTCGTTTTATCCATAAGTTATCACAGCACTGGTTTGATACTGTTTTGTTATCTTTTCTCAACTTTTTGATTTGGTTTGGGTTTATGATTCTTAGTTTTAAATAAACTCTTTATGGTCTAAATCAATTACAGGAAATTTTGATGGTTGCAATTGGAAATCATATCCTAAAAATTGATACTCTTAAAGTTGGAAAAGGTGAAGGGCTTTCAGCAGAGAAACCTCTTAATTGTCCCATTGAAAAGTTAACTGATGGGGTCCAGCTTGCTGGTAAGCATGATGGTGAAATTACTGAGTTGTCAATGTGTCAATGGATGACCACCCGTTTAGCTTCAGCTTCGGCAGATGGCACGGTTTGTTTTGTCCTTTTCACCTTGTATATGTCCTTTTGAATAGTTAAACATTGTCTAGTTTTTGGCAAGCACTTGATCTCCACTTTTCTCCATATTTGGCAGATCTGTGTCTGTGGCAGTGATAGTGCCATAAGGACTTGAATATTTCAGTTCATGTTTGAGAAAATTATTCACAAGCCTTGGTTACGGTTGATATGTGGCAGTGAGAGTAGTTCATTCCTTTATTCTCTTTTTGTGCTCATTAGCAGTTATTTTCCTCTGCAGGTTAAAATTTGGGAAGATCGTAAGGCAGTGCCACTAGCAATATTGAGACCACATGATGGTAACCCTGTAAATTCTGTGGCATTCTTGACTGCCCCTCACCGCCCTGATCATATTGTCCTTATCACTGGGGTAGGCCCTAGCCTTTCTCTTTCAGTGAAAGATGGTGCAAACATACTGGACCGGTTGGAGGTCCATGGAATAGTTTGTTATGCAACTTGAGTGGTGTTTTACTTTGAATCACACAAATGAACTAGTAACATGGCCTGATGGCAATAGTAATTTAGTGTTTGCATTCTCATGTATATTGGTTCTTTCTTTATATAGCGTTCTTCTTGTGTTTTGAATTAAACCTTTATTAAATGCATCCTTTGCAGGGCCCACTAAACCAGGAAGTGAAGATTTGGGCCTCTGCAGGTGAGGAGGGTTGGCTTTTGCCCAGTGATGCTGAGTCATGGCAGTGTAGTCAGACATTGACCTTAAAGAGTTCTGCTGAATCTAGTGCTGATGGTGCATTTTTTAATCAAGTTGTAGCACTTCCCCGTGCTGGCTTATTTTTGTTGGCAAATGCCAAGAAGAATGCTATTTATGCAATACATATTGAATATGGATCTTGTCCAGCTGCAACCCGCATGGATTACATAGCTGAGTTTACTGTAACAATGCCTATTTTGAGTCTTACTGGAACTAGTGATGTTTTGCCAAATGGAGAACATATTGTTCAGGTTTATTGTGTCCAAACACAAGCTATTCAGCAGTATGCATTGGATTTGTCACAGTGCTTGCCACCACCACTGGAGAACATGGAGTTGGAGAAAACAGAATCCAATGTTTCTCGTGCTTTTGATGCTGCTAATTCTGATGGTTCCAATATCATGGAATCATCTCATGGAAGCAAAGCAACAAAGGTTTCCATAGGTAAAGGGACTTCCACACCACCTATGGTGTCGAGTGTTTCTGAAAGTGCTCCCAAAGCAAGCCAACCTGAAAGCTTGGTTTCTTCTGAGATCACTAGCTTACCAGATATTGCTGCTTCAGGTGTAGAGTCTAAGGCTAGTGCTTTGCCTTCTCATAACAGTATCGAAAATCTCAATACCATGTCTCCTCCACTTCCTTTGAGTCCACAGTTATCTCAAACGTTGTCGGGTTTCCAAGGTCCATCAAATAACGCTGAATCGAGCATGCAACTCAATGATCATGTAGTTGACCAGCCTGTTCTGGATTATTTGGTTGAGCATAGAATGGAAACAGCAAAGGACAACTTAGCTGATAGCCCCTCCTCAGGTGACAATCTGGGGAAGGGTGAGAAAAACATTGCACAAACTGACATCTCCGTAGTTCCTGAACCTCCTGTAATTTTTAAACACCCAACCCATCTTATAACCCCATCAGAGATACTATCAAGGGCTACCTCATCTTCTGAGAATTTTCAAATTAGTCAGGGCCTGAATATAGGAGAGGCAAAGGTGCAGGATGTGGTTGTCAACAATGATGCGGAAAGTGTTGAGTTAGAGGTTAAAGTTGTTGGCGAGACAGGAACCCCTCAGAATAACGCCTTCGACTTGCCTAGAGAATTCCATGTCACTGTGCCAGAGAAGAAGGAAAAATCTTTTTACTCTCAGGCTTCAGATCTAAGTCTTCAGATGGCCAGAGATTGTTGCGTGGAAGCTTATAGTTTTGCTGGGATTCGGCAGTCTGGTGAAGTTGGTGTTGCTGAGGTACCAGAAAGACCTAGTAATAATGGTGAGGATGAAGAGCAAGATGTGAGAAAAGACATACCAGGTAAGATTCGTGAACTGGAAACCCCCATGGTAGTTCCACAGTCCGCAGCCCCATCTGCAAAAGCAAAAAAGCAGAGGGGAAAAAGCTCTCAATTATTGGGTCTGTCTTCCCCTTCCCCAAGTCCTTTCAACTCTACGGATTCATCCAATGAACCAGGTTGCAGTTCAGGTGCCCAATCAAGTGATGCTGCTCTATCTCAATTGTCAGCAATGCAGGATATGCTTGATCAGGTGATTGAAGTTTAGAAATTGAATTGTTCTGAATATGTGCTTTGCCATTCTGCATATATGTACTCTTGAGTTCTATGAAATATTCTTTTATATCAGTTTGCTTCCATGAATTGACTTGTCTGAGTGGCCTATTGTTGAAGACTTTTGCTTGACACATTGGTTGCTGTATCTCCTGATCTTGAGAAGGTCCCCAGTTATTCTTGAATGTCAGAGATTTGAGCCAAATATCTGTTGCTCGTTTCTCTAGAAAACTTTCCCTCTCCTCTCTTTTCAAGGGTGGGAGAAGTGGTTGTGGAGATATAGTTACGGTATCGAGAGAATAGGTAATTGGGTGATCAGAGATGGTAATAATACTGAATCATACCGGTCATAAATATAGGTGGTTGGTTGTATTGCTATGTTTTGTGAAATGGCATTGGACATGGTTGTTTATAACACTTCCATCCTTGATATTATGCATCTCCATTTTTATGCCTAAGTTAATTATAGGATTAGGTGCAAATTCGTAAATCAATGCAGGATTTGCATGCTGAATGTAAGTTCTGGATCTTTTCTACTGAAAGCCAATTGTTGCACTCAAATCTGATTCCAAACTTCTTAAATTTGCTAAAAATGTCATTATTTGGTTTTCTCCTCGTCTCTTCTTGATATGAAATATTAGGCTTATGTTTTGCTGCTGTACACATGTATGTCTTAACCGAAAGACAAGAACTAATGATTTGTTTTAATCTCATAGTTACTGAGTACACAGAAAGACATGCAAAAGCAGATGAATATGATGATTTCTGTTCCAATTTCCAAAGAAGGTAAAAGGCTAGAGGCATCCTTGGGGCGGAGTATTGAGAAAGTTGTTAAGGCTAATACAGATGCTCTATGGGCTCGTTTTCAAGAAGAAAACACAAAGCATGAAAAGTTAGAACGGGAACGTATGCAGCTGTTGACAAATTTGATTACAAATTGTGTAAATAAGGATTTGCCAAGCACTTTAGAGAAAACTTTGAAGAAGGAGATAGCTGCAGTTGGACCTGCTGTAGCTCGTGCAATTACTCCCACCCTGGAGAAAAGCATATCATCAGCTATTACAGAGTCATTCCAGGTTAAATGTTAAAGCTTTTCAGCTATCAAGAATGCTGGTCTTATTTTGTTTTTCTTACTGAGTCACAAAAGTCAATTTTGTTCTTTGTAACATTTTGAATCAAGGTACTTCTTTTAGGTTTCCTATTAACTTAAGATACCCCACTTTAATATCTTCAATGCCAGAACCCATTGATCCTACTTTTATTTGCAATCTCAGCTTTCCAACCAGTAATTCCTTTGCCTATAGACTTGATATAATGATTACTTTCTGAAATGCAACAGAACCTTCCAATTCTCATGGTCCATTAAAACGTAACTTAATAGTTTGTAGGCTATAATATATTTCCACTGACTGAAGCTTCATCGTGTGTATTTGCAGAAAGGGGTGGGGGAGAAGGCAGTGAATCAACTAGAGAAATCAGTCAGCTCGAAACTTGAAGGTGCAGTAGCCAGGCAAATCCAATCACAATTTCAAACTTCTGGAAAGCAAGTTCTTCAGGTTATTTGAAGTTAACTACGAAGCAGTTCTTTTAAACATTTTTTTTAACTGGCACAAGCCTTTTTGTTCATTAGTTGTATATCGAGTAGAGCTATGTGGAAAACCACTGTTAGGATCTTAAAGGACCCTTTTTTGCCCACATTTTATTATTTGTTTACTATTACTAATATTTTATTATTATTTACTTGGATAGCTTGAGGGAGGTTTCAGTTGTTCATTGCTGGTACAGTGCCATGCTCCATATGCATCTGTGGAACTATCTTTTTCTTCCTTGCTTATTCTTTTCGATTTATACTTGCAGGATGCACTAAGATCTAGTTTGGAAGCTGCAATTATTCCTGCATTTGAGATGTCATGCAAATCTATGTTTGATCAAATTGATGCCACATTTCAGAAAGGACTTATTAATCATATAACTGCCACTCAACAGCAATTTGACTCAACACATTCTCACCTGGCCATTGCTCTTAGGGTGAGTGTAGTTGTGATTCCGCAGATACCGATTAAACATCCCTTTATATCTTACTGTTTGCTATAATTTTGTTTCTTAGTGCATTGAGCATAATTCCGCTGATAGAGTCCCTTGGATTTTAAAAACCATGCATGTGTACTTTTCTTCTCTGTGTGGGCTTAGGCAGATTTAACCACCCATACATGTTTCTCTATGATGTTTCTGCTTGACCTTTTGGCAAAAATCTATATTTAGTATCTATACTCCGCATGAAAGTCATGAAGTATTAACACTTTAGACAAAAGTATCTCTCATATATTTGCAGGTCTCTAAAATAATCTTGGTTATTTATAAATTATGACATTCCAGAATTACTCATGATGGGTTTTAGAAACAGTAATTGTTTTCACAAATATCTGGCAGAATTATTCAAAGGAGCTAATGCATACAACAGTTTCTTAGTATGAGTGGAACTAAAAGCTTTATCAAAAAAAGGAGTCGCTTACACTATTTAGATTTAATTTAAGCTAATTATGAAGGAAACAATGAACTTAAGATAAATTCATGTGCATTGGACATGAATAACAGCGCCATCCAATAATTGAACAGTTTGATAATACAAGAAAGTACTTGGTTTTTCTAATACTGTTATAGCAGGGGATATCATGGGAAATGGATAACATTGGGATTGACTGAGCATTTAATCCATGTTGCACTGCTATTATTGAACTGTTTCATAAACCTGTTGAAGCACTGGTGTCTTAATGTAGTTCGTGTATTTTGCATTATTTCATGTTTTTCTAGATTCAAGATGTTAAAATGTTCAATTGCATGCTCTATAGCATTTAGCAACTACCTTTTAGGCACTGTATCCTGTAGTGAACGTAGAACCAAGATGGTTCAGAATTTACTTTTTGTGAGCCCAGCAGGTTTGTGGTTAATATCGCGTTTTGTGTTTACAATTATATGTTATTGAAATTGAATATAAATTGGGATGCTCTGACAATTGCAGGATGCTATCAATTCAGCATCGTCAATCACTCAGACTCTAAGTGGAGAATTAGCTGAGGGCCAACGCAAGCTATTAGCTATTGCGGCTGCAGGTGCAAACTCAAAAGTTGGAAATCCGTCTTTGAGTAATGGACCATTAGCTGGTTCACATGAGATGGTATGCTTTTTGAGCATCATTGAGGTTATAATACATAGTTTTACTTGCAGAGAGCGATAATCTACTGTAGTTTCAAGTTGTAAAGAATTTCTCATTTCTCTGACTTGTCTTCTGCTTGTATTAACAGGCTGAAGCACCTTTCGATCCAACAAAAGAATTGTCCAGATTGATAACTGAACGTAAATTTGAGGAAGCATTCACAGTAGCGCTTCAGAGAAGTGATGTGTCAATAGTTTCCTGGTTATGTTCTCAGGTATTGTTTGCCATTACTTGTGCACACACATAGTTTGATAAGTAGTTATGATCTAAATCGGAGTCCATATAAAGTGATTCACATGTTAAGCCTTGTGGAAGTGCGTCCCTAGGGACTGGTAAACTTTGCCTATGAATTAAAAGCCACATGTAAGTGCTGAATCTTATATATAATGTGTTCAAATCAGTAATGAGAAATGGAGGCGGAAGAGGAAATTGAACCATCTATCTAACTTGGGACAAGTTATATGACAAAGGTTTTCATCTGAAATCCTAGATATAGCTTTTTGGATATTTCCTTCCCACATTATCCATGATCTTCATGAGCAAAGCTGTTCTTGTAGACTGTCAATTTGAACCAAATTGTTAGATAACAGGGTTGACACCACTTGAGAATTGAGAACAGCCAAGTAATGCCAATAACAGACAAACTCATGGTTATGCATTTGTGAAGTTTTACCAAGTTTCTCATACCGGTTTTACTTGTATAAAATTACAAGTTTCTATATGCTTTGTCTGCAAATTTTTCCACATGGCCAATTTGTCAGATAGACCAAGTCAACTGGCAGTGGAAAACTTTGGTTGTGGCATCTGTCTAATAACTTAAATTGATTGTGGTTGGAGGATCAAATTGAATTGATATATTTAAGTGAATGGTTGAGAAATCAAATTAAATTGCTGCTGCTCACTTTGTTGGGAATTAAGCTGCTCTTTGACAACACTATGTCATGCACAGTTGACCAATTCCCAGTTCATATTTTCCCTCTTTCACCAGGTTGATCTACAGGGGATTTTGTCCATGGTACCACTACCCTTAAGCCAAGGAGTACTACTGGCTCTTCTACAGCAATTGGCTTGCGATATCAGCAATGATACTTCTAAAAAGCTGGCATGGATGACAGATGTGGCTGTTGCTATAAACCCTGCAGATCCTGTGATCGCAGTGCACGTGAGACCAATATTTGATCAGGTCTATCAGATATTGAGCCATCAAAGGAACCTGCCTATTACATCTGCTTCAGAATCTGCCAGTATACGTCTTCTTATGCATGTTATAAATTCTGTGCTAATGAGCTGTAAATGATTCTTCCCTCGTCCCTACGTCTGTGCAAATATGTAAGATAAACTTTTGGTTTGTATAGGAAATCTAGGAAGTTTCAGGGGATTGTCATTATTACAATTTGTATGAATTAGTCAAAGTACCTCTTTTTTTTTTTCCGCGTTTGCTATTGTTGAAACAGTGTATTTCAATGCATGCCCAGTTAAATTGAGGTTGCATATGATTTGCTATCCTTTATAGTATCTTTTCGTTGCCATAAAAGTGTGAAAAGTAAAGGCTTAACTTGTGTATGGTAATGGATGCAAGGAAAAAGATGCTGTTTGGTTTGAGAAGGTAAAAGGGTGCTTCAAAAAGGAGAAGCTAAGAGGTTTGGAAATGGATAGTTGAGTTTGCAGTTATAACTTACAAAAGGTAGGGAGAGGCAGTGGCCAGCAGGCGCGGCCAACCTTTTCGGCTTGAAGTTGGAAGCTCATGGTGGTTGAAACCCCTGTTTTGTTATCTTTTTGTGCAGAAATTGCGAAATGTGTGTACGACTACACTGCCACTGCCACTCAATCGAATTATCGTGTTTGATAATAAGAAAAGTTTTTCAAACAAGTAACATAACTATAAATTTAAAACATTTTAATTGGATGTAATTTTCTCACCATTTGAGACAGGGTAAGACTTTTTCATATACATGAGGAGTATAAATGTGGCTTATGTATTCTTAAATTTAGGAGTATTTCTGAAAAGGTACCAATCAAATACGAAAATCTAACTTTTTCAATATGCCCGCAACGAAACACGTCATTCACCAAATCATTAAAGCTACTAAAATAACCAACAAAAATCTCCAATCTAATGCCAGACTGACCATAGCCCAAATTCAACCATCCCCATTGCTCTCCAGGTGACTGATTCACTGAAAAGCGAAACTGGTATTTTGCTCCCTTCTGTTTTTGTCGAAGACCCAGATGGAAATGGTTTTCCTTTCTTTAAAAAAAATTGCCAGGGAGCTTATTGCGATACTACCAGTTGTGGCGCTCAATCACCATTGATGACCTTCAATTTGACAATTGATCCACGGTTCCCAAATTCCCAAATGGAGACTAGAGCCGTACAAGGATGAAGAAAAGGGAGAAAGAGGAGCGCATATATCAAATGGGGCAGATGATTGATCTATTTTTATTACTTATTACTATGTATGCAAAAACTGGAATAAAAGCTGTAGCTTTTTTTTTTTTTTTTTTATATTTGTTAGCTTTTGTTTTTTTTTTTTTTATATTTATATATTGAAGGCTTTTTTTTTTTTTTTTTATATTTATATATTGAAGCGTCATAATTCTTGTTCTGTATCTCAAATTATGGCCAATAATAACATCTTACTTCTGTTTTCAAAACACAGATGGAAATCTATTGGGAAATTACTCATTTTTGCTTCACAGTTTTCCATCCGGAGATTTGGACAAAAAAAGAACTGACTAATTCGGGAACAGGCCTTCATGTTCTTTATTTCATCTACTGTGGTTCTTTGGTATCCGATAGAACTCTTTATCATTTGTTGCTAAAAAGAATTACCCATTTCAACAAACTCAATGCTCTGTTTAAAAATGACCTTGTTATGCAACATACCATTCTTAATGTGTATTCCAGGCGTAGAATTCTGAATGATGCTCGTATGGTGTTCTACGAAATGCCTAATAAAGCTGCAAAATTTGGACTGCGTTGCGTGCTCACAACATGCAAAATTTGGACAACGGTATAGTCTTATAATAGCGATTGCTAAAAACTAGATTGAAATTCCTCCTTTGGTCGTGGGAGTTAATCATGCATATTGTTCAAGAATGAGAGGCAAAATGCAAGTTGGTGCAAATAGACAAGCACAATAAGAGTTGAGTTGATTTGTATTGTACTGTACTGTATTGGTGAAAAAGCGTAATAAAAACTGCATTGAGAAGATGAGAAGCAAATATAATGGGCAGAGTATTCTTGTTAACGCGGAAAAATGATGTGACCAAACGAGTGGAGCAAGCAAAGCAAAGCGTTAGTTTACAAGTAGAAGAGAATAGAAAACGTGAAAACTGCAAGAAAGGTGGTGGTAGAGGAGGAGGCCCCTTAATTAGCACTAAAAATAGAGTATTAAATGGAGGCAAGAAAGGATCAAGAGAAAGAAAGGAACGCAAAATCAGGAACCAACCCTCATCTCGTTTCATTCTTTGCCGTTGCTAGAAAGAGAGAGAGAATGAAAACAAAAGCAAAAGGGCAAACACAGGGTAAATGGCGTGACACAAGAGAGAGTGTGTATGTGTATTGAGACGGTTTAGCTTAAAATCGCGTAGCGTGAGAGCAAAGCTTAATCATTTTACATATATCATTCTTCAACACCCATCACATAATCCTCCCTGCCATTTCCATCTTGCGAACAAAACACAGATAAGGTAAGCATCAACTAATCTTATTTCTTTCAAAAAGAAATTATTTTTGGATTTGATTCTGTTGTCTTGTCTGAACAGATCAGAAAGAAAGAAAATAAGCAGATCAAAAGAATAAAAATGGAGATGGAGGAGAACAGCAAGAAGAGAGGAAGAGATGTGCAAGAGGCCAATAAAGAGTTGTTGCAGAAGAACTCGAAAAGGCAATATCATAATGATGAATCAGAATCGGCAGAAAATTATTTGGGGTTTGGAGTATTCGATTTTCCATGGCTGAAAGAAGGAACGTTCTCAAAATCAGAGGAGTGGCATTTTGAGGACACATTTTCGATATCTCTGCATGAAAATGTTGAGAATAGTTACATAACAGCAGCAGCAGCGGGTGATTTTTCCTGTCAATGCTTGTTTGAAACAACAGAAAAAGAAAAGTGCGTAGATACTCATATTCCATTAGACAAGTTTGAGGAGATCGTGTGGTGGGATTGCACCACCTTGGGCTCCATGCTTGCACAAGATCAACATCAAGAGCAAGAGGCTGCCTAATTCAATTAAATTATTTTGATTTTTGACCGTATATCATATTATGTACATTTCCCCCGTTTCTTTAATTTCTTGTTTCAATGCACATTAAATTAATTAATTAGGAACCAACAGGACAGGTGAAATTTACTTTTCAATTTGCTTTTCTTGTCAAATTTATATTTGCAGTTAACTATAATTAAAGCGATGCCGCAGACAACCGAAGCATTAGAAGATTGAGGGATGAGGTAATAATTTACTCATTCACACATTGAGCTTTTCAAATATTAGCAGCACAAGATAATTAATTAGGTTACTTGCATTGACCAATTCTAAAATCTCCTGTTCATTACACTCTATCTTTGATTTCCTCTATGTTATTATTTTCTTTTTTTGGGGTAAGAATTTGGGTAAATTTATCCATCTCATGAAGTTATGTGTTGAATTGATGAAAAAGGTTATTATTGATCAAATTGAATATCTCACATAAGCTCATGGGAAAAATGAGCATTATTCCTTAAAAAAATGCTAATTATTCCAAAATTATGAATTTATATGTAGTTTTTCTTATCATCATCATCATTTTCTCCGAATGCACATGTATGTTATAAAAGAACCCGATCTGCACAACTTGACTAAATTCAAACGACTCTTCAATTTGAATGATTCAATATAGCAAACGATCTATCCAATCCAATATATTTTTATTTTTTATTAAATGGTCGCATTTCATTTAAAAATCGAGATGGAAATATTTTAGAGGTTAAAGATAAAAATTTTGTGAGAAGAAAACCCATTTCAAATAAAATCCAAAATAAAAAAAAAATTGTATATCAATTATGATATTTAAATTTAAGGTTAAAGACAATTAATTACTTCAATATATCTTGAGAGTGAGTGAGGAGCAGCAATCAACCAAGTTGAGCCTAACTGTGGATTGGAGTGGACGAGGCCTTATTGACCGTTGTGCCGACACTTTGGCTTTCCAAAATCGCACATACATCATTAATATGTGATGTGTAGAGATTACCGGCACTATTTTTGGGGCAGGTGGGGTGCCCCAAAAGATATATACACTATTTTTGGGCAGGTGGGGTGCCCCAAAAGATTATATATATATATTATATATTTATACATATATTATATATATTTATATATATTTTTAATATTCAAAGAAAATGGGGGCTCGTATTCATTCTGCGGTCAATCAAATTCATTAATATTCACATGAAAAAAAAAAAAAAAAACTATAACATTATTATAGAGGGGAACATTTTAAATAGAAAAAAAAAAGATAAATTTATTATTTTTTATTTTTATATAATTACACATGATAGATTTTTATTTTAAAAAAAAAAAAAAAACTATAACATGTATGTATAAGAGGAACATTTTAAATAGAAAAAAAAAGATAAATTTATTTATTTTTATTTTTATATAATTAACACATGATAGATTTTTATTTTTAAACACTAATTATAAATTCATTAAATTATGATTCTGTTAACATTTTTAAAGAGAATAACTAAAGTATTAATGAAATCAAAATTTAGAAACATTATAATCTTTTTTTTTTATGTTTTTTTCAATCTTTAATGGTGTATAATAAATTTTATGATTGCCAAATTATTAATAACTCTAAATAAATTAAGAATGCTAATGCTAAAAAGGGTACCGTTAAAATAGCTTGCACGTTGTAGCAGTTTTTTCGGTTAATTTGTTGATCTCGGTTTGGACTTTGGATGAGGGAGCCGCTGGTTACGCCTCTTGTATTGTCAATCTATTTATAAATTCTAAGAGATGGAATAAATTAATTCCAGGTATTTATTATTATAATTATTATTATATAGTTTGGGAAATTAAGTCCTCGTTAAAGGAAAAACAGATAAGATGAATCCAAATTTACTGTTTCAGTTTCATCATGCATTGCATATACTATCCAACATGCAAGTGTTGACTATAAAATTAATTCACTTTTTTTTTTTTCAACGGAGACTGCAAATGCTGAAATAGTATTATAGATTACACTTACGAAGATTTCGTTTATTCTGTAAAATAACTTACTAAAAAATATTTTTATAAAAATTAAAAATATTTTTCAAATTATTTATTTTTCTTGAAAAATTATTATTACTATTTACAGATGCAATATGAATAAATTTTATAATTTTTGAGTTAAGTGACAGACAGAAAAAGTATATAGGCTGTAAATTTATATATTTAGACCTAACAAAAAAGTCAAATACAGTAACAGTAATAAACGGTGACAATGTAATTTTAGTTGAAAGATACAAACAAATATATTTTAAGTTGCAAGTAGTAATAGTAAAAATAAAAAGGATAAAAGAGGGTAAAATAGACAAGTAGTATTTGAACAGAAAGTAAAATCAATAGGAGGACCCAAAATTCATGTCTCCCGGTCTCAATCTACGACGCGTGGCTTTTTTTTTTTGGGAAAAGCGCGATTCCTTTTCATTAATGAGTTTTAACTTTTAATTAATTGGATTTTCTTTTAAATTAAAACAAATAAAACATCGGCTTATCTGTCAGTCATTCATCATCGCCTTCGCCGCACTCTCTTTCCTCTCTTCTGTGCTGCTTTTGCTCTGCTTCTTCTTCTTCTTCCCTGTTTTTGATCTTGCATCACAATGCTTTTATTAATCGCTGCCTGATCATTTCGAAAGGAAAAGAAAAAAGGGGAATTCCTTTCCTTGAATGGAGGACACTGTTCTCTAGGTGCTTTCCTTCTTCACAAACTGAAATCGAGATTTAATCACAGGAATAACATCGAAAACAAGATGATGCTCAGGAATTTGGTGGTTGGGATGCTATTTGTCACCGTAATTGCTCCGATTGTCCTCTACACTGATAGATTCGCTGCCTTCAAGGCTTCCTCCTGTAACTTGTTCATTCTTTCGTTTCCTCCTTTTCCTTTTGCTTCTTCTGTTCTCTCTTCTTAACTTTTTCTTGTTTATTACGAATCTGCAGCTAGAGCTGAATTTCTTGAAGACGTCACGTCTTTTGTAAGTGCTCTTTTTATTTTTATTTTTTCTACTTTTCCAATAATACGTATATTCTAAATCTCACAATCTGAACAATTTTTACTGTCTTCTCAGACTCTTTCCGGTGATACAAGGGAGCATCTCAATGTGTTACCCCAGGCAATCTTTTTTTCTTTGTTTAATTTTTATTTTAAATTTAAAAGAACTGCTCTTTTTGCCTGTGCTGAATTCCAGATCTCACTCTCCTGTTGAATTCTTTGGCTGCAGGAGGCTGCAGCTCTGAAAGAGCCCATTGGGATTGTATATTCCGATAACTTTACCAATTCAGCTTCAGACAACTTCACCATTCAAATTCTAGATTCATCACCTAAAGGTATGACGTGTATATTTTTTTTTAAAACTTTTTTCTGCGACAAATATGACCAACTTTCACTAATCTATTACGCTAGATTTGCATTTACCAGATACAAGAGAACATAAATCTGCTAGAGTATTGTCCGCCACCGACGATGGACATCAATCCCAAACTGGTAATACCATCAGACAAGTCACTGACACCACTAATCAAGACGGAAGTCAGAATGATGCTGGAGATGCAAAGAAAAAGGACGGAGTGTCGGACAATTCCCCTCGAAATCTGGTACTTCATCAATTTCTTTTTAATTTCCTTTCCATTTATTTTATTTCTGTATTGGATCAAGGGTATGCGTGCTTTGCTCAAAAGTCGTCTCCCTTTTAGGTTTGAAATGTATTTTTCAACTCTTTTCATGACGACCATTTGATTTTGATGTTTGTTTGTGATTTTCAGTATTTTATTTTCCGCTATAAGTCTACTCTTTTCTTGGAAATAGTCATATTCATCTCAAAAGGCTCATAGTTCTTGTCAATTTATCAGATTTAACTCTACTAACTTGAATAGATGCGTAAAGATTATTCCTCTAGTGGGTCACAGTTCCTTGCGATAGAAGTGCAGTCAGAATAACAAATTCTCTCACTTAAGATCGGCTTAAATCTCTGTTGTAAAATTTAGATAAATCTATTGAGTGGATAATGGGGCTGATCAATATTGATTATCCAGTGAAGTTGAGATTCGTTCTTATTATTTTAAGGACATTCATAGTTATTCACGACAATCTATGATTTCAAATTAGTAGGTTGTTTGTTAGATTGCCTTCAGGTCAGAATAGACAAGCGTGGACTGTTATAGAAATTTTAAATACACTGGAGGTCTAAAAAGTTTTTCTTTTTATTTTTTTGCTAGCTTAAGCAGCAATCTGCTCTAATTTCTGGAATGGTCAATGAGAAAGACTCCCCCAAGCCAAAAATTGATAAACAGATATTTCAGACACCTTTTCCAGATGCTCGAGTGCGGCAACTCAGGGATCAACTTATTAGGGCAAGGGTATACCTGTCTCTTCCAGCAACAAAGAACAATCCGCAATTAACAAGGGAGCTTCGATTGCGGATAAAGGAAGTTCAACGTGTACTTGGAGACGCAACTAAAGATTCTGATCTGCCAAAGAAGTAAGTTTCTATTTCAATGCATCACCCTTGCTTGCTAACAAAACTTTTGTTTATTTTTTCCATTTCTTTTCTTTGAATGTTTTATTGTGCGTGCGTGTATTCTGTTTGGTACACAATCTTGCAATTTCTTTAATATCTATGTTAATTTAACTCTCAAATTTTACACATGAATATCGTATTAAATAATGCAGTGCCAATGAGAAATTGAAGGCCATGGATCAATCATTGGCGAAAGGCAAGCAGATGCAGGATGACTGTGCTACTGTGGTTAAGAAGCTTCGGGCTATGCTCCACTCAACTGAAGAGCAGCTCCGAGTGCATAAGAAGCAGTCCATGTTTTTGACCCAATTAACAGCAAAAACACTTCCTAAAGGTCTACATTGTCTTCCACTACGCTTGACTACTGAGTACTATAGCTTGAATTCTTCTGCGCAACAATTTCCAAATCAAGAGAGATTAGAAGACCCTCGGTTGTATCATTATGCATTATTCTCTGATAATGTTCTGGCAGCAGCTGTTGTTGTGAACTCCACAATTACCCATGCTAAGGTTGACAATTTTCTTTCAAAGGCTTATTTATTTATGCTTGGGGTTTGCTTTAGTTGACATCCTCAAACTTATTTGATCGACTTTAATCATTTGCAGGACCCTTCAAAACATGTTTTCCACATTGTTACTGATAGACTCAATTATGCAGCAATGAGAATGTGGTTTCTAGTGAATCCACCAGGCAGAGCCGCTATTCAGGTTCAGAATATTGAAGAGTTTACATGGTTAAATTCAAGTTATAGTCCTGTTCTCAAGCAGTTGGGTTCTCAGTCTATGATAGATTATTACTTTAGGGCTCATCGTGCTAATTCTGATTCTAATTTGAAGTACCGAAACCCAAAGTACTTATCCATCCTGAACCATCTACGCTTTTACCTGCCTGAGATCTTCCCAAAGCTCAACAAAGTGCTGTTCTTAGATGATGATATAGTGGTACAGAAGGATCTTACAGGCCTTTGGTCCCTTGATATGAAGGGTAATGTTAATGGCGCTGTAGAGACTTGTGGTGAGAACTTTCATCGTTTTGATCGATATCTTAACTTCTCAAATCCTCTTATTTCAAAGAATTTTGATCCTCGTGCTTGTGGATGGGCATATGGAATGAATATCTTTGATTTGAAGGAATGGAGGAGACAAAACATCACTGATGTATATCATAATTGGCAGAAGCTGGTAAGTGATGTACTCGAATAAGTGTTTTCATTCTTTTCTTTTTTTTTTTGTGTGAATAATGTGGGATCCAAATATTATTGGAATTCCTAAATTGGTGATAACTAATGCTATGTGGAATTCTGTTTAGAACTTTGGGATATGAATTCATTTGCATTAGTTATTCTTAAAAATGCATGTATGTCACTTAGTAACTCCATCATTTTGTGCTGGAGAATTTTACTTTACTTGCTTTATATTGTTTTACTGTTTCTGGTTGTGAAGCAAGCTCTGTTTATGTGCAGAATCATGACAGAACATTGTGGAAGTTGGGGACCCTTCCACCTGGCCTCATTACTTTCTGGAAATGGACTTATTCCCTTGAACGTTCTTGGCATGTGTTGGGCCTTGGCTATAACCCCAGTTTGAACCAAAGAGAAATTGAACGAGCCGCTGTTATACACTACAATGGCAACATGAAACCATGGCTTGAGATAGGCATACCAAAGTACCGCAACTACTGGTCGAAATATGTAGATTATGATCATGTGTATTTGAGAGAATGCAATATTAACCCCTAGAAGGGACCTCTTGGTACGCCAATCATAGAGCTCCACTGCATGCCTCATGTGGCCAAATATTTTTACAGGTCTGCATCACTCTGTCTAGGTTCTTTTGCTAGGTTGAAGCTTCTAGCTCAATTCTTTCCGTACACAATTTTTTCCTCTCCTTATGGCATGGTAGTTAATTTTGGGACTCTTAATTATATATCTGCAAATTGGCAGTTGTATTTGTAAATGATTGCTGAGTGCTTACATTTTTTTGGCTGTAATATTAGTGTCAACATTCTGTGCATAGTCGTCTCTTAGTGTCACAATTTAAAGACTGCTTCCTCATTTGGCATCTGCTAGCTGGTGTTAGGTTAGGTTAACGTTAAAGTTATCTTTATCTTCCAAATTCATGTGGCATGTGTAAGACTCCCATTTCAGATTGGCTATTCTGAATTCTGATTTAGTGAGCTGGTGTTAGGTTAGGTTAACGTTAAAGTTATCTTTATCTTCCAAATTCATGTGGCATGTGTAAGACTCCCATTTCAGATTGGCTATTCTGAATTCTGATTTAGTGAGCTGGTGTTAGGTTAGGTTAACGTTAAAGTTATCTTTATCTTCCAAATTCATGTGGCATGTGTAAGACTCCCATTTCAGATTGGCTATTCTGAATTCTGATTTAGTGAGCTGGTGTTAGGTTAGGTTAACGTTAAAGTTATCTTTATCTTCCAAATTCATGTGGCATGTGTAAGACTCCCATTTCAGATTGGCTATTCTGAATTCTGATTTAGTGAGCTGGTGTTAGGTTAGGTTAACGTTAAAGTTATCTTTATCTTCCAAATTCATGTGGCATGTGTAAGACTCCCATTTCAGATTGGCTATTCTGAATTCTGATTTAGTGAGCTGGTGTTAGGTTAGGTTAACGTTAAAGTTATCTTTATCTTCCAAATTCATGTGGCATGTGTAAGACTCCCATTTCAGATTGGCTATTCTGAATTCTGATTTAGTGAGCTGGTGTTAGGTTAGGTTAACGTTAAAGTTATCTTTATCTTCCAAATTCATGTGGCATGTGTAAGACTCCCATTTCAGATTGGCTATTCTGAATTCTGATTTAGTGAGCTGGTGTTAGGTTAGGTTAACGTTAAAGTTATCTTTATCTTCCAAATTCATGTGGCATGTGTAAGACTCCCATTTCAGATTGGCTATTCTGAATTCTGATTTAGTGAGTCTGAAATTTGTGCAATTGTTGATAAAATTATTTACTGGACCACCACCTTTGTGATTAATTGTTTTGTTTAAAGAAGTATTGATTGCTTACAACGAACTCCTGGAATTTGTTGAATCAATTCTTAAGGTCGAAATTGAAAATTAAAATTAAAAAAGGCAAACGTTCAGACTTTTTTTTGACTGTTATGCAGAAAAGAAAATGTAAGCTTTCCAAATTATGTATTATCAGCAAGACGGTAACTTTTAATGTAGATGAAGATAGTCAAAACCAAAAGCAAAGGGGGTTGCCTATATTTTTCTAACTTCAGCATCATTTTTTTTTGGACACAATCTCCTCTGTCTCTGCTTGCAAAATATTCTAAGACAGACCATGTTAAAACTAACACTATACACCTCAGTCGGGGTTTTGCCTTGGAAGTAAAAACACAATTGGCTTTCTCTTTATTAAAAAATTCCTAATTAAATTCAACTTATTGAGTTAATATCTTTAATTAAATTAATATTTATTATTTATTGGCATTAATAAATGGACAAAATTTCTCTCTTATATGTATTGTAGATATAATATGGTACTGCTTGCACGTGACTTTTGTTTCTGATAATTAATAGCCCAATACGACAGACTTTGCTTGAGAGTCGAGAGTTACAAATTCCTTCACTGGAAATCAAGCTCAGAATCAAGACTATGACTCACTCTCTCTTCTTCCTCTCCGTCTTGCTTCTTCTCACACTCCTCCACAGTCCATCCGATGCCGCCACCAAACTGGTGGACAAGGTCTGCAAACAAACATGGAACTATTCCTTCTGTGTGGAGTCTCTATACTCCGACTCACGCGCCGGACAAGCTGATGAATACACACTTGCCTTCATTTCGGTCGGATTGGCATACACGAATGCGACCGACACCCGAGACCTAATCTCAAAGTTGCTCATCAACAAAGGCAAATCCGAGCCTCTCGAGACATGCTTCCGCGATTACAAGAAGGCCGTTTCGTCTCTTGAAGTTGCTTACAATGATCTCAACTCCGAGACCTTCTTCGTCATCGCTAATTTGACAACCCAAGCCGCTCGCTCCGCTAATCATTGCGAAACGGCTTTCAAGGGAAACGAATGGAGGCCATTGGGAAACCGGAATAAGGATTTAATGGGTCTCTGTGAAATTTGTGGAATTGTTGCAGAGTTATTTACTGGACCAGCACCTTTGTAATTATTGAATTAGTTGTTTTGTTTTGTTTTGTTCTGTTCTGTTCAGTTCTGTTCTGTTCTGCTCTGTAATTGTGAACCATAAAAAAAAAAAATTAAATGAAAGAAGCAAAGCATTGATTTGATTGCATTGACAACAAGTCAACAACTGGAACTTGTTGGATCGATCCTTAAAGCCGAACTGCGGGGGCCCACTCCATGCTTCATGTGATTCTACAGTTTTTTCTCGTATTGATAGAATATACTAATTTTAACGTAGTTTGAAGTCCAAAATCGCATGTATTGATACGCTGTCTGCAAGGCGAGGCCCAACCCAAAATATAATGTCAGACAAGGCCCATGGCCCAATTGAAAATAGCAATGGCCTCTGTTGTTCAATTATATGTCGTTCATTTTTTCAACATTCAAACTCTTGAAAGTTGATACAGTACAGCTTTGGCCTTTTAGATCTTGTAGGTAAGCATGGAAAGTTCTGGTCATAAGCCCTCGTGATTGGGACATCACATTACAGATTTTAAGGAGCAAGTAGCCTTAAATTAAATATTAAACGCTGAATAAAGAATCTTTGATCAAATAAACACAAACAAACCTCAAACAAGACAAAGGCAATGATACAAGCAAGTGTGTTTTTAAGTTTTTAAGAAACAAAACAAGTTTGAAATGGTCAAATAGGATGAGGACTGAAAAGAAAAGTGAGGACAACACTAATAATGAATAGTGATCAAGCTTGCTTTCCTCTTTTACTTCTTTTGATGATCATTCAAAAGCCATTCCACTTGTCAGTCACTAAAGAAGAGATTCTAAAACATCTCAATACTGTCAATGCCACCCTTTATATTCATCTGTCCTTTTCCTACTTGTGGGAAATTGTTCTCTTCTTTTAGTTTCTGTGAATTCATTAGACTTCAATCAACCCATTTTTTCAATTATAACAACATGATTAGACAGAGACATTAGTTGACTAATCTGGGATTAATTAAAACTTATCAGCCTGTAATGGTTGAACAACCCTTTCAAGAACAAACTCAATCCATATTAAAAATTAAATTTGTCTTCAGCTGCAAATCATCAGATTGGTAGGTAGGCTGTAATTGTTTCCATATCACTAATAACTCCCTTGCTATTAGTTAGATTGTCTAATCAGAATCAACATCGAGTTCTTATATGTTAGACAGTCTTCTGATGTGTAATGGACCATATTCAGTGCACATCCATGCATTAATTATATTTCTAGAACAAACAAGCTTATACCATTGATCATATATATACATTAACAACCAAAAGCCAAATATTTTAGACAAACCAATCCTAAAATGAGGCTGAATGTTGCTTTCTTGGTTGTTAGACGTTCAAACCTAAAGATTTCCGTTATCTGTATATATATTTTTTGTGGTAAAAATTATTATCAAGGTGCAGGGAACTCGAAACCTTTTTGAAGGGGGAGCTGGCTAATTATTTTTATGGACATAAGCAAGTTGAAATTAAGCATGTGGCTAAGATGCTGAGATGGAATACAATGAGTGAAAGCAAATTTTTGTTTTTCTTTTTTTTCCCTAAAAGCCAAAGGCCCCAAGCCATCATAGAGTTTGATCTCTTTTGCTCAACTTGAAGTTCTTTAAATTCAAATCTAACGGTCTTTTCTTTACTTCTTCTCCTACTTTTCTCAAGAAATTTGGACTTGGCAGCATTTTGGCTGAAAAATGTGGCACTAAAGTGTCATCAAAGGAGGGAAAAATCTAGTTTTGAACAATTAATAGACAGATCTAAACAGCAAACATAGTTAATATTGACAGCCAAGTGAGCAGAGATGGGTATAGAAATACAAATACAAATTTGGAAGGGAAGTGATGGGTAAAATATTAGCCGCACGTTGGATTTGGGGTAATACAAAGGATAATAGAAGAGAGTGGACAGCGTCACAGTGGAGGGACATGTAAAAACAAATTTTAGTCAGGTTGGTCCCCTCTGGCCCTCTCCTCACCTTTCCCTTCTTCGTACTGTTACTCTCCATCTAATATTTGCGTTTTTGCCTTTCTTGTCCTTCTATTTATCATTTGTTATTATGTTGAGCTTCTAATTTTACGGTGTTCAATTAAGTAGATTCATTCAGTTTTAATATTTTTGTATACAATTCGCGTTTTGGTTACATTAAATCTACTTGTGTTATGTGCATTATTTTTTGAAATTCTTCAACAAAAAATTCTACTATTTTTGGTAAATAGTTTTAGAAAACACTATTTTGGTAAAGATTTTACAGAACACTGTCATACACCCAAAAAGATGGTAGACTTACCTTTATTTTTCTTTTTGGCAATGGAATCAGTTTAAGACACCATCCCAATAACAAGTAATTCCCTTTATTATCATTCTCTACCTACAGATATAAAGCAAAAGCACAAATGGGATTTTGAATCTGTGTTTAAAAAAATGATTGCAGATAAAATTAGTATTAAACAATGTTTTACATTAAAATAAAAACAGAAGAATATGACAGTGTATGGCAGCAGAAAACTGAAGTTTTCAGTTAAATCCAAGAAAGGAAAACGTAATCGAGTAATATAATAAAGAATAGAAAAAGGATAAAAAGAAAAAGAAAAAGACCATAAAATAATAAAGAAGGCAGAGAAAGAAAGAAAGGAAAGAAAGAAAGAGAGAGGAGGTAGTAAAAACCAAAAAGTAGTTTCGAAGGGTATTATTCAACTTCTAGTGAGAGAGTAAAGCAGCAGCAGTAGTAATAGCATATGAATATGTTATGTTATATGATAGGAGAGTGAGGGACTGAAGCCTGAAGGCCAGACTTTTGAAAGGGATAGAGAGTGTCACAGTGAGTGCTATAAATATTAAATTAAATTAAATCAAACTTGAAGTGCGAAAGATCAGAGAAGGAACGGAAGAGAAGAGAAAAGAAAGGATTAGAATTCAAAAAAAAAAAAAAAAAAAAAAGAAAAAAAATAATAAAAGAAGGCAGAAGAACAGCAAAGAAAGAGAAAAGAAAAGAAAGAGAGAACGGTAGTAAAAACCAAAAAAGTAGTTTCGAAGGGTATTTATTTCAAACTTCTAGTAGAGAGTAAAGCAGCAGCAGTAGAAGTCAATGCATAAGAATATGTTATGTTCAATAGTATGATAGGAGAGTTGAGGGACATGAAGCCTGAAGTCCAAGACTTTTTGAAAGGGATTAGAGAGAGTTGTCACAGTGAGCTGCTCAATAAATATTAAATTAAATTAAATCAAACTTGGTAAGATATGTCGATAGATCGAGAGAAGGAAACGGATAGAGATAGAGGAAAAGAGAAGGATTAGAATCAAAAAAAAACAAAAAGAAAAGAAAAGCAGAGGCAGGGCTAAGTGCTGATACAGAAATTGCAACCTTGTATCTGCCCTTTTTGTTCAGCTCCTTATATTGTCCACTCACTCTCATAGGCAATCTTCTATTCTCTTCTTCAGTAGAGATAAAGAATAACATTTGAAGAAGGGAGGAGTGAAGAAGAAGAAGAAGAGAATAGAAGAAGAGGAAGAAAGGAAACGAGTAAGAATGGGGGTGGGAGAAAGACGTCCTCAAAGCTTAAAAAGCAGCTAGGAAAAAAAAAAAAAAAAAAAAAGAAAAGAAAAGCAAGCGGCAAGTGCTGAAGAAATTGCAGAACCTTGTCTGCACTTTTTTCAGCTCCTTATATGTCACTCACTCTCTAGGCTTCTTCTATTCCTTTCTTCATAGGATAAAGAAATAAAATTTGAAGAAGGAGGAGAAGAAGAAGAAGAAGAAGAAGAAGAAGAAGAAGAAGAGAAATGGGGGTGGGAGAAGCGTCCTCAAAGCTTAAAAAGGCAGCTAGGAAAATGGTGGTTGCTGCCTGCGCTTCCTTCTCCTCTAGAAAGCCTCCTGCTCTTGGGGATCCCCTTTCCATTGACAACTCCATCAATGTAAGTCTTTCTTTTCTTTGTCAATATATATATATATATATATAATCCAAGATTGGAGTTAGACAGTATAGCATTCATTCTTTCTTGTTTTTCTTAATTTCCCAATACTATCTCATTTCTGGTTATTTCCCCTGTTTCTTTACCAAAAGCTTAAAGATTTCTCTTCTTAAGAAATCAATCAATCAGTCATTAACGAAGCAATCCAGAAAGACAAATTTCCCTTTTCATTTCTCTTCACTTCAACAGTCCCAACTTTACTCTCATTCCCTTCCCCACTTCTTTTCCTCTCCGTTTCCTTTTCTTTTTAATTTCCTTAGTAAAGCTTATGATATTGATTGATGATAACCAATTTTTTCTTGATTTCTTGCGAAATTAAAAACCCATTATCATTTTGTGTAAAAATATGAATGAAAGACTAAGAAAGGGCTAACATCTGTAAACTAAATTATGATTGTCAATGCAGGGGTCGGATTCTACGGTTATTTCTCCTACAAAGCCAAAGAATACCTTAGAGGAAACAGAATCCACCGCCATCGACAATGACAATAGCGTGGCTTCTAAGGTAGGCTAGGTTTGGCTTCAGAATTCAAAAAGATAAAAAATTATCTGTGATTTTTAATTGGAAGCATTCAGAGCCGTTGCATTTACTTTTGGAATCCAATGTTCCTCAACTCTCAACAGTTTCATGTTTATTTGTGCTATGCTTTTGCCTCTTTTGTCCATTTCTAATTTGAATATTTATATCTGATAATTCAAATTTCAAGTTTCAAATCCGCCATACTTGAGAACGCCAAAAAGGTCGACACCAATCATTTTAGGTATGAACAGAAATTGCAGTTCTCATATAGTTTACTCTTTAATTAAGCATATAATGCCACATTACAAATTCCCATCATGACATATCCTACTGCTTAAGGTCCCCTCTACGCACCAGGTATTATGCCATCACATGATTTCATGTCTCTGTTAACAACTTCAAATAATTTTGTTCCCCCTTTCCTACTGTCTTATTTTCAGTTCGATTTTAAATCTTGGCTTGAGAGATTTGAGTTTCAAGATTTCCTGACCTAGTTCGCTTTAAAATCAACAGCCTTATCTAAGTATCACGATGTTGCTAAATCATTCACAATAATGACCCTATTTGTCAAACCGCAGCTAACTTTGTTTTTCTTTCATTTAAAAGTTTGTATCTTTTATGCTGTAATTAATAATAATTGTTCGGTTGCAATGGTTGCTATTTAACAATAATAACATACATGAACCTTCTAGAGTACTTTCTAACATTCACGCAGCATAGAGCAGCAATTGGATGTAGATCAAATTCTGATGTGTGTAATTCTCAAGTTGGCCATGTAGGACATCTAGATCTCCCATGGTTTTTTAGTTATACTTCTCCAAGAGCTTCACAGGGCAATAGCAGTAACTGATGCAGTTGCTGCTGATTTAACACATTTTTTGAAGCATGTTCACGAGTCACGAGGGGTTCTTAGTTGGGTAATGTATCTAATCCTTTTGATGTTGCTTCATTTTGTGCAGCAGAACTTGTGCGCAATATGCCTGGAAGCTCTGACTTACAGCACGGGGAACAGCCCGGGCCAGGCTATATTCACAGCTCAGTGCTCTCATGCATTCCACTTTGCTTGCATCTCATCCAATGTGCGTCATGGTAGTGTCACCTGCCCCATCTGCCGTGCCCATTGGACCCAGCTCCCCCGCAACCTAAACCCACCTTGTTCTCTCCAAAATGACCCCATTTTTCGAATCCTTGATGACTCCATTGCCACTTTCAGGGTTCATAGACGCTCCTTTCTACGGTCTGCTCGTTACAATGACGATGACCCTATTGAGCCTGATGACACCTCCAATCATCCACGCCTTGACTTCTCTCTCGTGCCCATACCACCAACAATCTTTCGTCATCCATACACACAACGAACTAGTCATGGCTCACACTACAACCCTCCCCATCACATAACAGCCTTCTCCCCTTCAATATTTTACCCTCCATCTCCTTACACATGCTCCTCCTCAAATAGAAGACCTGCTGCTGCCTATCTCTCTGTAAAATCAACACATCAAAGAGCAAAAGACTTGGTTCTGGTTGCAAGCCCCAATGGAGCGCATTTGAGACTTCTCAAGCAGTCCATGGCATTAGTGGTATTTTCTCTCCGCTCCATTGATCGTCTGGCTATTGTGACTTACTCTTCCTCTGCAGCCCGTGTCTTCCCATTGAGACGCATGACATCATATGGCAAGCGCACAGCCCTGCAAGTAATTGATCGTCTTTTCTTTATGGGACAAGCAGATCCTTCTGAAGGACTCAAGAAAGGGATAAAGATACTTGAAGATCGTGCACACAAGAATCCGGACTCATGTATCTTGCATCTCTCTGATAGTCCTACAAGATCATACCATGCTACAAACTTGCAGTTCCCCATTCCAATCCATCGGTTTCATGTGGGATTTGGTTTTGGGACTTCTAATGGATTTGTCATGCATGAATTTGAAGAGTTCTTGGTGAGACTGCTCGGAGGCATGATCAGAGATGTCCAACTGAGAATCGGGGAAGAAGGCAGGATTATAAGGCTTGGAGAGCTAAGATGTAACGAAGAAAGGAGAGTGTTATTGAACATGGGTGATCGTGGACATGTCTGCGTGGGATACAGCTATGTTGAGGAAGGAGCTGATGAGTGCACCAGAACAGGGGAAATTGTCCTAAGTTTAGGAGATAAAAGGGACGAAGAGGACGCCAGCATAGATGTTGCAGCTGCAGCTGCAGCTGCAGCAGTAGCAGGGAGAGACGCCAACATTATTGGTGGAAGAACTAGCAGCGTTGAGAGTTGGGACTACCATGATCCTTACATGGCTAGAAGATGGGCTAAGCACTTGCATGGTTATAGAATTTGATTCGAGCAACCAAAAAGTTCCACCGTAAATTACATTTATTTGTTTATACATCAATCTTGATCCACAAGAGTCATTCCATTTTTTTTAGCAACTGGGAAGAAGGGAATCAAACTGAGTCGATGCTTAGCGCTAGACTATGCCTGTTTGTGACATTCTCTGTGAGCTTCCTATTCCAAATGATTTAATTAAGCACCTATGCTTAAACGGAGGCAGAAAAGTATGTTCAAACGAGAGTGTGCTTTAACAGAATTTACAAATGTAGTTAAAATAGTTGTACAATTATACCTCATGCTTTACTGCCCAAATCCATTGCCATTTTCTACTATGCATCGACTGCTATATTTGAAGTAGAAAATGTTCAGCGTGCATTTTCACACAAATGCATACCTACGTCAGCCAGCGCAATGCCCTTCATAACACTGCAAACAGTCGTCCGCATGGAGTGCGAGGACTACATTGAAAGCACTATTTTAAGATATGGGAAAAAGAAAAGCAGCTTCAAATAGCCATTTAATTGTTATGGGGGTAGCTTTTATGGTGTCAAATTCACCTCAAAATGATTTTTAATAACTTCTAATTCTAACATGTTCAATAGTGTTCTTAACAAGGGCTCACAACAATGCCAGATAGCAGGATTCAGAACTTTGGTGCTCAATAGCCTTTAGTATTTGAAATCAAAGCGTTTATCACTGCAATTAAAATTGTGATAAATCAACCGCTCATTCACTACAATAAATGACTACATTACAAAAATGTAGATCTAACATGTCATTGAAGCCATTAGTCATGCAAATAATCATATGTTGAGAAGTCACTATACAGAAGAGATCCATTCTCTGAGTAGTGAAGGAGGTAATAGCAATCATTACAGAAATAGCAAGGGTTACACGGGGTCCACTTATCATCCACTGTCATCTTTGTAGCCCTGAAGATTTTGCAGACATTACATTTCTGCATTCGCATTTTCAGTTGGAAAATTACTATTGGATAAGCTGCCCGGTTTTGTACATCCTCAGGATGAATCAATCTCATATCTCTGATAACAAAGGTATGCTTGCAGTCTCCCTGTACCAAGTAATTTCCAAACAAAAGGAATTGAATAAAGATGCTTCATCATGTAAATTCAAGAATCACCATCAGCTCATGTCAAATACATGAATTTGAGATGATGAAACTTAAAAAATTGAGTCAACTAAATGTCATAGTTACTTTATTTCTAACCAAGAATATGTGCAGGTGAAACTGTACCTGGTGGCAAAACAGGTAACCAGCACCAAGACGAAATCTCAGGTCACAAAACCGTGTTTTCTGCATGTCTGCACGTCTGAATTGAGGCAAATGCGAGGTTGTTGCCTCCCCCACCACTGCTTTCTGCTTTTGATGCAATTCACCACTTATGATACACTCCCATTTTCTAAGAGCATCATCCTTCGAGTTTCTAAGCCAATCAAATATGGGATCACTATAGTCTATTGCAGATGGATTCCTCATATCATTGTAAAACACATCCTACACAATTGCGCTTTCTGTTACACAAAAGCCAAACTATCTCCGTTATAAAACCAAATGAGCAAATAGAACAACTTACTTCTATGAGAAAATATCCAGACGGGTCATGCTGCCCAGCTTTTTGCATCACCTGGTCTGTCATGCAATAAATTTTGTCCCTCATTTCAGTTAGTGTTTGCCTTCCTAGCACCAAGAACTCTTGTATCTACAGAACATCTCCAAATGATGTCAATAGAGTACATGGAAAGAGGCAAATTGGGCCCTAATATTGACAAAGAACAGAAAAAGGAGGAATTGGAGGGAAAGGAAGAAGTAAAAGAAAGGGAAATATACAGAGAGAGAGAAAGAAATGTGTGTTCCGCTATCGCTTATGGATTCTATTACAATAGCAGCTTATATATGTGACCAGTACATTATGATGCATCAGCAACGAACTAATTGTAGTTTAGTTAGATCCCATTTTTAGCTTTAGGATCTGAAGTTAGTCCCTTCCCAACCTCCACAAACAAATAAATCACAAGAATTTTCAGAAGGGACAGCTGCATTTTTTAACTTTTAAGGGTATAAAGTTTTATTGCGCCTGTTCCATGGGCTCACAAATTATTTCATAAAGTTAGCTCACCAAAAAACAAGGGAGATCTGTAGTTAAAACAGTAACAGCCATAAGGTAAAGTGTAACATCTGGAAATAGGCCATGACACACAATATCACCTGTGATTTTCAAATATCTGCTTAAAAACACCTCTAACATAATGGTAAGCAAAAATCCGATACACAATGATCATCGTGTATAACACTACAAACTTCTTAAAAAAAGCCATACAAAGAAGAATACTTTCAAAATTATGAAACCCTAATGCCCTATATAAATAACATGCATTCATGCACCTTTGCTTATAAACTTCAGGAAACTATTTGGAAGTCCAAGTAATTTGTACAATATGACAGAATCATCTTGATCTTGACTTATAGCCAACAAAAATTACCCAAGAGAAAAATAATTTATTTATAAGACACCAGGATATAACTGTATACCTTTAGCCAGTTACGCACATTGTGGTAAACCTCAATACAAAGAACAACCTCTGGATACTGCACCGCTATGTGTTCTTGAACGTTTGAGGGCTTCAGCTGCTTTTAATTTAACAGAGAAAAAAAGGAAATAAAAGATGAACGAAGTATAAATAAGAACTTTTCAGCAATATGAATGATCTTAAGCATTATGAATCATAGATAAACAAATTAGACTATGGTATTGGTGAGCTGTCCAATTCCATCCTTTTCTTTAGAGCATATTCTAGAATTAAAGTGACAAAATCTTATCAATAACGTCCACCATAACTCCCAACACGTCTTAAGTCTCATCCTAAAATCTAATCGTCAACACCTCCAATGTGAGCTGACAAATCAAGCATAGCTACCAGCACTAGCAATGGCCTACCACCAACAACCTGGCATGAACATTGCAATCAAGGAATCAAGTACTGCCTCATTCTCATTACAACCTACCCTTTGTTCTTATCCAAATCCAAAGAAACCCTTGGAGGGTGTATATGTATATGGAAAAGAAAAAGACAGACAATTCTTGGACAACCTGTTTCCCATTCGTAAACTTGAGGTACTTCATTGCTTCAGTTCTCTCTGAGGACATAATAACACCCTTACTGATCTTGCAACTGCAATGGTACCAAAATAAGAGGTAGCAATAAAAACAAAATCAGAAGAAATGCATATATTATACAGAGTTGAAAACTCATATTCTAATACAAACTTTAGTGAATGCAGTCTGGCAGCTGCTTTGTCTTCATCCTGCTTTTGTTTGATTTTCAACAGTTCATCCACCTTTTTAAGGCAACTCTCCTGAACATACAAGAATAATAGTTTCATTAAATACACCAAAGCATTTATGATATGCTCACCATAAATGAGGGTCATCTTAGAAAAAGGTTCTGCCTAACATATTCTCAATTGCAATGCATTACCCATGTAATAGATTTGCTAGGATTTTTCCTTAGTCTTCCTAACTACAGCTAATTTAATTCCAAACAAGTGCATCAAAGATTAGTCGTAATATCATGTTTCTTGTCATCTCCAAGAAAATTACTAAGGTGGGCAGGAATACCAAGTGTTTTCAGCAAAAAAAGAAAATTAGATTATGTATTTTTAGTAATATGAGCAGAAACATGATTGACTGAAAAACTATACAAAAAAAAAAAAAAAAAAAAAAAGAAATGCATATATTATACTCAGAGTTGTAAATCTCATATTCTAATACAAACTTTAGTGAATAGCAGTAGCTGGCAGCTGCTTGGTCTTATTCCTGCTTTTGTTTAGATTTGTTCAAAAAGTTCATCCTACCTTTTTAATAGTGCAACTCTTCTCCCTGAACAACAAGGAATAAGGCCACTTAGTTTCATTAAATACACCAAAGCAACTTATGATCAATTGCTCTACCATTAAATGAGGGTTCATCTGTAGAAAAAAGGTTCTGCCCTAAACAATTTATTCTTCAATTGCAATTGCATTATTACCCATGTACATAGATTTTGCTAGTCATTTTTCCTTAGGTCTTCCTTAACTTTACAGCCTAATTTAATTTCCAAAAAACAAGTGCATCAAAGATTAGTCGTAATATCATGTTCGCTTCATCTTCCAATGGAAAAATTACTAAGTGGGCAGGACAATACCACACTCTCTCTCAGCAAAAAAAAGAAAATTTAGATTATGTAATTTTTTAGTAATATGAGCAGAAAACATGATTGACTGAAAAAACTATACAAAAAAAAAAAAAAAAAAAAAAGAAACCAAGTTGATAATTTATATAGCATTCTAATTGGGTGTTGTTTCAATAAAAAAGAAATATATTAGCAGCAACCACAAAAAGGTCAAAATTGAATTTAGTGGGAGGTAAAATACGTCAATCGAGTGCGTATTTGCCTTGCTTCCTTTTTGCTTCCTTAAATTGTTGTTGATAATAGTATTACAGTTGTTTCCAGTATGAGATCCATCTGATGGTTTCAAAGACCTTTTCCTCATCCTTGATTTATTGTCATCAATAGTTCCATCACAACAGGTTCTTCCATTTAATGGTTCCAAAGCAGCTGAAGGATCCTCTCCTCTTCCTGTCCTGAAAGCAAAAGTAAATACATTTAGCAAAGAATAGGGCAAACTTGAAAGGTAGATATAATATTGTAAAGGACCTATATTTCCAAACAGGGAAAAGATCCTTGATTGCAGAAGAGGCAAAGCAATAGAAGGTAAATAAAATTCACTGATACAATTCAAAAGTTGTGAAGCAAGCTAAAACGACCTAGTTAGGTGGGTTATTGTCATTTTATTTCAAATTGACAACCTCAATCTTCATTGGCATGTAAGAAACAATGGAAATCAAGAGAGCTTTCACTTTTTTTTTTTTTTTTTTTTTTTTCTTTCACTTTTTTTTTTTTTTTTTTTTTTGTTTCTCTCTCCAATGGATGGGAATGAATGAGTGTACTAATCAAGCAGTATGCTGAACCTGATAAGATGAAATGGCAACTATATACATACATTGAGAAATCAAGAAGTATCTGATCTTGAATACAGCAGATATAAACCTGCAACGTAAAATGAGTATGGATGATTGGAAGCCTAAGGCAGAGAATGGAATTTTGATATCTTAATCGGTATGCAAACAGAGAATGCTTGTAAAAGCACAATTTAACTACAGTGCTCACCTTGCATTCAAGTGCTCTTCAGATGACGGAGAGAAATTTCACCTTGCATTCAAGTGCTCTTCAGATGACGGAGAGAAATTTACATTTTTGTTCTGATCCTGCAGTCAGTTGAATTTCTTATTATCTTATTCCAAGATATTTCATCCAAAATTCAAGTACAAACATACTCCATAATGAATAAATTATTCCGAAATTAGAAGAAAAAGTTAAAATCAGCATACATTAGGAGTATCCTTGAAGGCCTTCTCTACCAAGTCTTCGTCAGTGAAGATTTTAAGCTCATCGACACAGCGACCAATTAAATTTTTGCTATTAATCAATATTTTGTAAATAGAAACTTAGGCATGCAGGAAAAATTGAAAAAAAAAAAAAAAGAACACATACGCTAAAAGCACAATTTAACTACACTGTTCACCTTGCATTCAAGTGCTCTTCAGATGACGGAGAGAAATTTACATTTTTGTTCTGATCCTGCAGTCAGTTGAATTTCTTATTATCTTATTCCAAGATATTTCATCCAAAATTCAAGTACAAACATACTCCATAATGAATAAATTATTCCGAAATTAGAAGAAAAAGTTAAAATCAGCATACATTAGGAGTATCCTTGAAGGCCTTCTCTACCAAGTCTTCGTCAGTGAAGATTTTAAGCTCATCGACACAGCGACCAATTAAATTTTTGCTATTAATCAATATTTTGTAAATAGAAACTTAGGCATGCAGGAAAAATTGAAAAAAAAAAAAAAAGAACACATACGCTAAAAGCACAATTTAACTACACTGTTCACCTTGCATTCAAGTGCTCTTCAGATGATGACAGAGAGGAACTTACATTTTTGTTCTGATCCTGCAGTCAATAACCATGAGACGTTCATTGAATTTCTTATTATCTTAATCCAAGATATTTCATTCCGAAACCACGTGCAAACATACTCCATAATAAATAAATTATATCAAAATCAGAAGAAAAAAAAAATCAACATACATTAGTAGTATCCTTCAAGGCCATCTCCACCAAATCTTCATCAGTGAAAATTTTAAGTTCATCTACACTGCGACCAATTAAATTTTTGAAATCGATCAATATTTTGTAAAAAGAAGAATGGCATGCAGGAGAAGTTGAAAAAAAGAAAAAGAAAAAAACACATACGAAATATCATCGTCATTGGGAAGTGAAGAAGGATCCAAACATAGCTCAGCCTTCAAATCCTATGTAAATTCATCAGGCAAGTAAATTGATTAATTAATTTAAATGTAAAGTGGTAGTAATGGTCTTGGAAATTCATGAGATACAAATGCAGAGAGAGAGAGAGAGAGAGAGAAGTGAAGAACCTGAAGTTCATGGAGAAGAGCGGACTCAAATTCAGGAACCCTAGTAAGAGGACCGACGAAGTTAGGAACGTAAATAGGTCCCCCGCGAGCTACCGATACATTAGTCTCGCTGTCCCCTTCTCCACCACTCGAATTTAACGTCTCCATTTGTAGCTTTCTTCTAACTCCACTTCCCAGTAAAAGAAATAGAACGATATAGCTGTTGAAAAGAAGGGAAATTGGAGGGAACCAAGGAATGTTTCTCTCTCTGCGATGTGCAAAGCAAAGGCTTCAAAGCCGCCTTTTCTACAGTTCTGCCTTTATGTTTTTCTACAAAAAAAAAAAATGCAAAATATACAAAAATAAATACGGTGCCGTTAAGCGAAATACAACGACCTTATTAAACGGGCCAAGTGGCCCAAGTCCATTGATCGCGGATGCCCGAAGTTAAACATTTAAACCAAAACCAATCTTTTCAAGCTTTTAAGCGATATAGAAAGAAAGTCAATTAGTCAAAAAAAAGGCTCGCCTTTCTAGTTTCACGTTTAACCCATTGGAGTAGTGGAGAAGCAAGTTGACGGTAGAGTACAGTTAATTGGGGTGCTCTTCTTCAACTCCGGGAATCGGGAAATTGGGATATCATTACAAGACCGCGCACTCCAATCGTTGGTGGTTGGTGGCGGCGGTGGTGGTGGTGTTGAGGCGTGGGTTTTCCTTGTTCCCATTTCCCCCCTTCTGTGTAAGATACAACAAATGTTCCAGAGGCCGATTCAGCCCCACCACGGCGGTGGTATTGTGGGTCACCAGGAAAATATGCAGGTACAAATGCAACATCAGAACCACACTACTAGCACTCAGAGAATTGCAGCCGGAGGAGGAGAGCCATGCCTTGTCTTGACTTCCGATCCCAAACCTCGCCTCCGCTGGACTGCCGATCTTCACGAACGCTTCGTTGACGCCGTCGCTCAGCTCGGTGGCGCCAATAGTCTGTGCTTTTCTTCCTTTCTTTTCTCTTCTCGCTCTGCCGTCTACTGCTATTCCTTAACTTTCTTGTTTGCTATCTTCACGAACGCTTCATTTTACTTGTCTGTGTGTTCTCAATATGAATGTCCTCTAGTTCTCTCCCATCTGACGATTCTCTTTTATGTGCCCTGCATAATTTGTCCAAAGACATTATTTTTGCTCTTCACACAAGTCTAGCTACAGTTAGAGAGTATATACAGAAACTTGTTTTCTAACTAAACATTTTCCTTAATGAGCATTTTTATGTCTCTCCACTTCTTATTAATTAAGTTTCATGCAAATATGTTTTACGGGATGGTGTATACGCTTGGTTCATCGAGTCAGCTAGTTCTTTGTGTTGCTATTAAGCTCTTTATGTTAGACAAGTTGCGAACTTTTTTTCCCTTTTAGCAGTCTGGTCCCATGTAAGTTTGGTATTCAGTGGTTCATAACTCCATTACGTTAAATCTTTTATCCTTTTTATCAAATTAAATTTTATTTCGGTGCTTTGTCTATATTTAAATGAGGGCAAAGTTGTGCCTTTTTCTTTTCTTTCTTCTCATGTTTCATGTGAATTCCAGCTTTTGCATGTGTATTTCATGAAGCTCTTATGTGGTCAACTTGGAATTCAGGAGGTGGCTAATTCCACTAACCTTGATAGACCTTTGTGCAGACCTTTTGATGAAACCAATCATACAAGTTATGCACTAGCCTTCCACCTACCAGTCTTCCCCTCCATTGTGGTCTTGGGGAAATTCTGAATCTTTTACAAGTCAATCCAAAGTAGGCGGACTTGCAAGCTGAACTAACTAACTAATTGACAAACAAAGAAAGTTTGGATTAAATATCAGTTTGCTCAGGTCAATGATTCCTCTTTTTTTGCTTGTGATTATGAGCTCATATTTGTCACTTGGGAGATAGACTGGTTTTGATATTTATGTGCACTAGCTCAAACCAATCGTGTGTAATCTGTTTGTTCCTGATTCACTATGAAGACTTTTCACTATTTGGTAATATCTCAACTCTATGGATGCTTCTTTTTTTGGTATTTTAAATGAGGACATAAATAATTATTGCAGAAGCTACGCCAAAGGCCATCATGCGAACAATGAACGTGAAGGGACTCACACTCTTTCATTTGAAGAGCCATCTCCAGGTTTCATTTCATTATTCAATAATATTTTTTATACAATATTATTTAATTTAAAACATTTTTTGTGGAAACAAAACGGATGTTACTTAATATTAACTCGAATTTTTCTTGTGGTATTATAGAAATACAGACTGGGTAAGCAATCAGGAAAGGATATTGGTGAAGCATCTAAAGATGGTAAGCCCTGATACTCCCTCTCCCCCTCTTCATAGTTCTTGATATCATCCACAAGATTTATGTTGAAAAACCCCACTGAAATTCCAGTAATCCAATGGATTACAATAAGAAACATAGAACAGCGGAAAAATAAAAAATAGAACAAGATACAAGAAATTAATATCCATCCACATATAGTCACCTGCAATTTTCACTATGAAGGAGAAAGTTATAAGTTGCCATAAATAGAATGGAGTTGTTTCCCCTTCTATAGAATTGGAGAAACCTGAAATACAAGAATTATTGTCCTAATTAGAACCTATCTAGGCCTTAATATAACATTATACCATATAGTATCTTCTCTAAATATAGAGCCAGAATCTCAACAAATGTGTTATTAGCAATCAATCAATTTGACTGGATTCAGATTGATGAGATGTTATTTCTCCAATATTATCTAGGTGATGTCCCCTTGGCCAACCCCAAGATGAAAAATTAATGATAATACATAACTAAAAGAAAGATAAAAGGAAATTGGCCATCAATAATTTGATTATATTTTAATGCATTTCTTCCATTAGATCATCTGATGAAAAACTTCAAATCTAAGGGTGTGTTTGGTAACACTCCCCATTTTTTGTTTTTTGTTTATCAAAAACAATAACTACTTTCTGTTTTTGATTTTGCGAAACCATTTCACTTTTTCTGTTCTGTTGTTTTATTTTCCTCATTTATTCTATTTTTTAATATAATTATCAACAGTCTCAATTTCTTTAGCTTTTTTGACATTAATAAAATTTGAATATCCAACCAAAGACCACCCACCATATCCTAAAATTGCATCATGAGCGATCAATTCCCTGCTACTCCAAGAGAAACTCATCAATTTCTTATTCCCAGTCATTGCACACAAGATTTGCATGAAATTGCTTGGAGCCAAGAATTATGGGAGTCATGTTCAGATTTTGGCCTTTGAGAATTTGATTTCTTCTTTTAACTTGTATATATAGAAAGCAAAGGAAAAGGAGAGAAACTGGAACAAAAACAGTGTGAAAGAAGATAGGAAAGAAATACACTAGCTTTTTGTATCTTAAAAGCAGTAGCAGTAATATGCATGCAGTGATCTGTTGTTTCTTGTTTTTAATTTTTTGTTTTGAGAATGATTTTGAAATAAACGATTAAAAAATAAACTTAGCACATGCTACTGAATTCCCTATGTGTTTTTATCCCAAAAGAAAATGGGAAACCAAAAACTTCAATTATACCAAATGCTTCCTGGGATGAATATTTCTTTTTTGCCTGTTTGCATCTGACTTATTCACAACTTCCTTATTGAAGGATTGTCTGGCTCTTACCTTTTAGAAAGTCCCGGTGGCTGCAATAGTTCCCCAAATATAACAACTTCTGATATGAACGAGTAAGATTAATTTTCTTCTTCACTCAAAAAGTCCGGTGCTTGGTAATGGTTGGAATTACTGAGTTCTGCAAATGTTATGTATAGGGGATATGAAGTCAAGGAAGCATTAAGAGTACAGATGGAAGTGCAAAGCAAATTATATCTACAAGTTGAGGTAAATCTTCTCATTTTGGAGTAGGTATTATTATTTTCCTGCTCCTATGTTGGACTGGTTCTGTTAAAGACATGCTTGGCTGGTGGTGGCTGTTGGATGTGGGTTTGTTTAGGCGAAGGAGACGGTTTTTATAATTCTTGAGTGAACCTCTTATTAATTGCTTTTGATACTGCTAAACCATACTTCCACATTTGTACAAAATAGCAACTGACTGATGATTAACAAAACTTTACTTGAGATTCAAGTAGTAAGTATTTCCACTTTAATTTTCTAGGCAGAGAAGCATCTGCAAATTCGTGAGGATGCCGAACGAAGATATTTAGCGATGCTTGAGAGGGCTTGTAAGATGCTTGCTGATCAATTTCTAGGAGGTACAGTTATTGACACGGAGAGTCAGAAGGGTTCAGCCACAAAGACACCAAGGAGTGCATCTCTTGATCCACTTGGCTTTCAATCATTACAAACTGAAGCAGTGAGTGAAGTCCATGGACTAGAAATACCATCGAGTCTGCATCACCAAGGGGCAGATTGTTCCACTGAGAGCTGCCTAACTTCAAATGAGAGTCCTGGAGGACTCACTTTTGAAGGATCTCCAGCTGGAGGTAAGAAGCAGATGCCAAGCTTGGACTCGCCAACAGCATCTCTGATTTGGGGTGAAGCAAAGGTGAGAACCTCAGAGGTGAACACGACTCAAGTTAATCCCCACAGCATCACTGGGTATGGTATATGGAGCTGAAAATGCTAGTTGATGGTCATCTTGTTTGATAGGGTGAGATTCTTCAGCTTACTCAGAGTTGCAATTTAAGTGTACAAATGGTAATATGTTGGTGGCAACAGTGTGAGGGCAGTAGCAGAAAAGGACTCGTCTCAAAATTGTAAATTTAAATTGCTGAATATTGACATGTTAGACATTTTGATGATTTTTCTACGTAATTTCCTTGTTCCGTTTATACTACTTATGGTGTCTGATTTTGGCGCACAAAATTCAAGTGGCAAATAGCTATGCTTGCTACAACGTACAAGTATTGGCATGGATCTGCGCGGAAAATAGCATCAATATGTTGAACAGACGGAATGTATGAAGGCTGAATTCGATGCGAGGAGTTGCTGGCCCCAGGGATTGTAAAAAAAATTTTTTTTTCTTTTTTTTTTGAAGTAATATGATCAGATCAATAGAGTGAGACCGAAGGTGAAAGCTTCAAGAAGGCAATTTTAGCACTCTCTTCGTTTTCACTTGTCAGGCACTAGAAAGACGTTAGAGAAGCAGCCGGCTTGGGGACTATCTTAGAAAACCAAGTCAAAAGTAAGTCCTTCCTGGAACATCGATTGGCAGACAGTTGGAAGAAAAAAAAGAGTGTAGCCGAATGGCATGAATGGGGCCATGGAGGTTGCGGGTTCTTCGAAGCCTTTTTGGCCCATTTTATCATTAGAAGCAAGGAAGGAATTATGTATTATTTTCTTTTTGTCTATCTCCATTTTTATTGTAATATTAAATGTGTCTGGATGATTAAAGGGAGGGAGAGGGTTAGTTTTTTTTTCCTCTTTCTCTTATTGAAGTTTCTTATAATTAATCCTATATCTAAACACCAAGGGAACGATATATATATATATATCACTTGTCAGGCACTAGAAAGACGTTAGAAGAACAGCCGGCTTGGAGGACTAATCTTAGAAAACGCAAGTACCAAAAGTAAGCTCCTTCCCTGAACATACGCATGGCAGACAGTTGGAAGAAAAAAAAAGAGGGTGTAGCCGAATGGCATGAAATGGGGCCCATGGAGGTTGCGGTTCTTTCGAAAGCCGTTTATTGGGCCCATTTTATCATATAGACAGCAAGGAAGGAATTATGTATTATTTCTTTTGTCTATCCGCATCTTTTTAATTGTAATCATATATAAATAGTGCTCTGGATTGATTTAAAGGGAGGGAAAGGGTTAGTTTTTTTTTTTCTCTTGTCTCTTATGTGAAGTTCTATATGAATTAATCCTATATCTAAACACCAAGGAACGATATCTATATATATCCATCTATACTATAGATATCATATATCATATCGCTATGCATCAATATCATATCATAATATAGAAGCAAAACCAAAACAGCCTGTTGGGACATTGTTCAGTTCACCCATATTTCTCTATTGACAAAGAGAGTGCCAAAACAAGATAGCACATATATATATATATAGAAGAAACAACAAAACAAGCTGTGCATTTAGTTCCCAATCCATGCAAAATCCAAACAAGTAGCAATCAGGAAAAATTAAAATTAAAATTAAAATTTCTAGAATAATTAGTGGAAGCGGGATGGAATCTTCCTCAAGTAGATTCCGTGAAAAGGCCGGTTGTTCTTGTTTAATCATTTATTTTTATTCTCATAATAATCAATAAAATTAACTGCTAAATGAATATTCATTTTAAAATTTAAAGGAAAGTTTTTTTATTTATCTATTGCTATAACACAGTACTCACTCAAAAGAAAAAAAAAAAAAAAAGGAAAAGAAAAAGAAAGACCTGAAATTACAATGACTGCCCATGACCCAGAGCTGCCCGCGGTCACCTATTTTACCCTCTCAAGTATTTTATTTTATTATGACTAAAGTATTATTAGTGGACACGTGGCTGTTGGTGCCACTTCGAACGTAAATTTTCAGATTCAGACACATTTCATTTTGTTTTTTGAGAAATAAAGAATTAGTACAACATTAGCATAGCAGTTGAAGAAGAAACAAAAGTATCATCGTGGAGGGCAGGGGTGGGTGACTTGGTGGTGGTGCTGGTCATTCTTCATTTTGGTCAAGTTTCTCTTTTCTCTCTCTCTCTCTCTCTGTCTTTTCTTTTTCTTAATTTTTCATTTTCAAACACATACACAATATCAGCTGCTTCTCTCTCTCTCTCTCTCCCCTCCCTCCCTCCCTCCCTCTCTCATAATTATCTATTCAACGCCTGAGATTAACACTTCGATTGACTGATTTATAATCATACTCAATCTGTGTCTTAAGCAAAGCAATCGTTATCAGTAGATACAAGGCCATCGCTCCAAAATTTCTGCTTTCACGGGATTTAATTGAATATAGATCTGGGTATGTCTTTATTTTCCTTCTGTTATCCTCTTTTTGTGCTCCTTTTTTTTTTTTTTTTTTTTTTTATTTCTCTGTTATCTCTCTTTTTGTGCTCCTTTTTTTTTTTTTTTTTTTTGGTTTGGGATTTGAGTTATTTTTGTAGATTCTGACAGGTTTTTTTTTTCTTTTGCTTATAGTTTTTTGCTTGGGTTTCTCGTAAAGATTTGGTGTTGGCTTCGATCGTGCCATCTTCCTATTTTTTACTCTCGTCGTGCTCTAATCATTTATTCTTCCTCATACATTTTTAGTTTTTTTTTTTTTTTTTTTTTGGTTTGGTTGGTTATTTTTTGACTCTACAGTTTTTTTTTTCTTTTGCTTTATTTTTGCTTGGGTTCCTAAGTTTGTGTTGCTTCACGTCCACTATTTTCTATATTTTTTGTGCTCTATTTTTCTTCCTATACATTTTTATTTTCTGTAACCCTAATTTCCTTAGGTTGTTTTGTGAACAAGTTCTGATGTTGCTTCATTTCTTTGTTTCTTTAATTTAAATGGTTATTATATATAGGAGATATAGTATCTGCTGCTATTGAAAGCGCAATCTATAGTCCCATCCTCCTACAACCTTGGCACCTTTATACTCCTCCCCCTCTTTTCCCAGATCATAACTTTCATAATTTTAAAAGTTATATCACGCATGGGTCTTTTTTTTTTGGGCATGTTCTACTTTTGTTTGTTATTTATTGTTCGTGTTTCTAAACACACACTATTAATCATTGCTTCAACTTGGTTCAGGTGGACATACTGCTCATGTGTATTTTAGGACATAAAGGTGCTGCATTTTAGATTAAAAATTTGAAATGAACTGTTTGCAATTCAAACTAAGCTTGTTTCTTAATGTGAGTTTGCTGCATTGGGGAGATTCAAAATTTAATCTTCCATTAACTATGTGTTCCATGTTTTGACTGTGAGTTGTCTCTATGTGGGGTTTTCTGTTGCTAATCACATTTCACAAGCGAATATGTAATTTTGACTTCTTTCCCTATTATCAATTGTCATATCATTGCTGTCTAACATGTTCATACATTTGTGTATATGAAATGGTTTTGGACAATCTTGTGTTTGGGCATGGCAAAAACTGGGGCACTTTTCTCATCACAATCTCTTATCATATATTTCCTCTGTCCCAAAATAATAGTTCAGTTCAACTTTCACATGAATATTAAGAAAAGTCTTTTGAATGGAGTATATTTTGTTAGATTATCAATTTTATGCTTTAGTGAAAAAGTGGCACAAATCAAATGAGTTTTGATTCGAGATTATTTTTTAACTTGTTGGCTATTAACTAAAATAGGAAATTAGACATCCCAAATTAGTAATGTGAACTATCATTTTGGCACTGTGGGAGTACATCTAAAGTTGCAACTTGCAGCTTCTTTAACATAATATTTAATTTGATCAACATTTACCTAAAATGTTTGGCATGCCTGTTTATATGTAGCTTCTTCTGTCTTCAGGTTATCCCAAGTCCTGTCCCTTTTACCATTTTTGTTGCTTGGGTTTTAGAAGCGTTTAACATTTTTATGAAAAAAAATGTTACTCTAATTGAATGAGGCAGTGGTTGTTGAATATAGTACATGGTTAAATTTCAGATTTTTATGGAAAAAGGATAAGTAAATTTTAGAGAAGTCTTGGTTGCATCTAAAATATTAACAAAGTATCCAAGTTTGAAATAACAATAGATCTAAGAAAATAAAAGCCAAGGTAAGAATCTTAACTGCATTTTTGAGAATATGATGAGACAAAAATTATTTTTGAGAACACGTTTTTTCATATAAACAATTAAACATATATGATTGACAGATTAGGTTTGCCAAAATTGTAATTTTTTTTTAACCTAGGGCATGTATGAAGTAACGAGAGTCATTCAAAGTATTTAGTTTAGGCTTATGGTATATGGATTCATGGCTAATTAAGTAAGGATAGTTGCTAAAGCACTTGGTTCTGGTCGACTGATTGATATAGAATAGAGTTAAACTATTGATTTTCTTGCCATTTGATTCACAGATATCCTGTTTTGGTAGGGAACTCAAACATTCCATTTGATTTATTTTTCATTCATCCAATTCTTCTACCTTGATATCAATCTGTGTAACTTTAAATATTTTGCGCACTTCAGGTCTATGTGTTACAATTGTGATTAATTACAAAAAAAAAAAAAAAAAAGATTCTTCTACTTGATAATCAATCTGGTGTAACTTTAAATATTTTGCGCACTTCAGGTCTATGTTGTTGACAATTGTGATTAATGAGCAAATAAAAAAAAAAAAAAAGTGGTTTGATCCTGTGTTAATATTTTAGGCACTTATTTGTAATATTGATTGCCCTGCTAACCCTAGCTAGATGCAGATTGAGGAATACTTGAATGTTTGAAAAGTGCCTACCTGAATTTGGCAATTTTAGTTTTTAAAGTATGAAACTTAGTTCTTTATATTTGGTAACATTACGGTTGAATATCTTTCCCTGCTTCTCTAGTATAGTTGTTTCCTTGTGATTAGTGAAGTGCTTCTCCTCTAAAAAAAAAAAAAAAAAAAAAGTGGTTGATCCTTGTTAATATTTTAGCACTTATTTGTAATATTTTGCCTGCTAACCCTAGCTAGATGCAGATTGAGGCTTACTTGAATAGTTGAATGCCTACTGAATTGGCAATTTTAGTTAAAGTATGAACTTGTTCTTTATATTTGGTACATTCGTTTAAATATCTTTCCCTGCTTCTCTGAGTATGTTGTTTACCTTGTGATTGTGAAGTGCTTCTCCTCTAAATCATACAATGGATAACTAGAAGCTTTTGCTTATTTATTTCACACCTTTGCCTGGCTTTCCAATTAATTTATAGATGAATGACATATGTATCGGCCGAAGAGTGTTCCGAGCTCAAGTTTGGTCCATAAAAGCCCTCCAGTTCATGGTCAGCATTTAGATTGTGGTGCCATTGCAATGGATCCCATCAATGGAGGAAATAGTCTCAACAACAACCCTAGTCTTGCTTCGAAGCAGCGATTGCGCTGGACTCATGAGCTTCATGAACGCTTTGTTGATGCAGTGGCACAACTTGGTGGGCCAGATCGTGAGTCTTCTTTTCATCTGGATGATTTTTTATTTTTATTTTTAATTGTTGAGTCCTTTAAATATTATTATTATTATCACCAATCCATAAGTATGTTTTTCTTTCCATGGTCAGTAAAATGCTAGAAGGAACTTATGAATCACATAATCAGCCAAGCCAATGAAATTATTCAATTGTTACTTCTTGTTTATTTATTTTTTGCAAATGTACACACAATTGACCAGTTTAATTGTTTCCTTATATTAATACCTTGGTAATTGCTTTTCATATGTGGACCATCAAGTGGGCATTTTCAGAGATGGAAAGATTGGGAAAACAAGTTGAAAAAACGTTCCTTCTTGGCTAAGAAATGAAGTCATTTCAGTTCATTACTACTAGACTACACTATCCCTCAATATTGTTCTTCATGCATGTGCACTGCATATTCACAAGTGAACACATATGCATTTATGCATGTACTCCCACGTGTTCTAGACTTAAATAGATACACGATGATCCATCATAGCCCTTCAATTTGATCTATGTTTTTTTCTTCAAGTAGAAATTCCTTTTATTGCAACTACTGTACTACACAATTTTGAATTCGAACTTCATGAATTGCATAAGAAGGCTGATCTGTAGGTCACAGCTTATTTCTTTTCTTGGGATCAAAAAAAAAAAAAAAATCGTAAAGACTAAATAGAATCTGAAGTGTAAGTGGATACTAAAAAGTACGCCATTGTTCTTATCTCTAGGGGCTACTCCTAAAGGTGTTCTCAGAGTTATGGGCGTACAAGGTTTGACAATATACCATGTCAAAAGCCATTTACAGGTTTGTAAGAGTTGTTTGTTATCCTGACTAGAACTTTCAACCTTTATATTTTCTGAATTTCTTTTGGGTGGCTTCTTGTGTAGTTTTTATCTGAATATTCATTGCTCTCATTTCTTATTTTTGATACATCCAGAAATATCGACTTGCGAAGTACCTTCCTGATTCTTCATCTGATGGTAAGTTTATCTGATGTCTACTGTTATATTTGTGTTTTGCATACACTGTCAAATGCAGACTTAGTGAAATATTCAGTGTAAACTTCTGTTTTCTGATGCTAATTCAAATGATAATGCAAGGGAAAAAAGCTGACAAGAAAGAAACTGGAGATATGCTTTCCAATTTGGATGGTTCATCGTAAGAAGATCTGCATTTTTCCTTTCCTTTTCCATAATAGTTTCTTTAATTAGGTCTTGTTAATGTCAAAATATTTGTGGAAGTGTAAACTTAGGAAATTAATATTTGTACAGTATAATAGAATCGCCTGGTGGAGCTTGTTATTAGCCATAAAAAAAAGTTCAGATACCAAGGCTTAAAATCAAATTCCAATTTAATTACTATATTAGATTATCCTCAGCTATCTATTTGAAACTTGATTTGAAAAATCTTGTTCTTTCTGTTTGCAGTGGAATGCAAATTACAGAAGCACTCAAGCTCCAGATGGAAGTGCAAAAGCGACTGCATGAGCAATTGGAGGCATGTTTTTTCTTTGCCATTTAGCATTTAACAAGTTTTGTACTATTTATCAGGTTTTTCTTCTAATGGTATGACCACTATTACAAGTCAGATTTATCAAACCCTGGGTGAGACAGATCATATTAGCTTTCAAATGTGCATTTTCCTTTCTCAAGTTCTCTCATTTACAATATTCTTTACCATACAAGGATGCCTGAAATATCAAATTGCCATCCTGCTCCTTTGTTTTGAATTTGCCTGTATATATCAAATAGTAACTAATGGTTGAGGCAATATTTTCTCTTATGAAAAATAAGTAGACAATTTCGTGAAGGAAGAGGTATTTTCTTTTCTTCGGTTTGGGAAACTGATGGAATTGTATAATTGTAAGCAACTGTAAATTGGTCTTTTCGGTTATAATTTTTGGGCTCTTATTGTGCCTATACTTCAAATCCAACAGGTGCAGAGACAACTGCAGTTACGCATTGAAGCTCAAGGGAAGTACTTGAAGAAGATAATCGAGGAGCAACAGCGACTCAGTGGCGTCCTTGTAGAGGTTCCTGGTGCAGGTGCCTCTGGTCCAATATCAGGTGATAGTTGTCCAGAATCTGACAAGACTGACCCAGCAACTCCTGCTCCAACTTCTGAGTCACCCATTCAAGAGAAGGCTGCCAAGGAGCGTGCCCCAGACAAAAGTCTTTCCATTGACGAATCATTCTCTTCTCACCATGAGCCATTAACTCCAGATTCACGTTGTAATGTTGGTTCCCCAGCTGAGAGCCCTAAAGGTGAGAGATCTATGAAGAAGCAACGGGTGTGCATGGCCACTGCATATGCTAAACCAGAGATGGTCCTTACGCACCAGATACTGGAGTCGAGCTTAAACTCCTATCCACAGTCACACTCTGTCTTTCTGACTAGAGAGCCATTTGATCCTTCATCTGGATTATCTATGGGAAATGATGATCAAATAGAAAAGGTTTCAGGCAGTGATCTTTAGTTTTTCTTGCTACTTGATAGCTGCCCTTAACAACTATTTTTATTTGCTGTCTGTGTAATTTCCAAGAATATGTTCCAAGCAGGTTAAATAACCATTAATGTTAGATGTATTAGAATTAGGTTGAAGGAAAGCTGCTCATTTATACTGATTTTCTGTAGACTGTCGTAGGTGCTTGAGGTTCATCCAAAAGTATGCATGCGCGGTGAATAGGGATGTGGGGTTGGTTAAAATGTGATGTTTGTACAATAGACCTCTAAATGCTTGCATCTGTTTCGACCATCTATTGCTATTCCAAGGGACGTTGCCATGGGAAACAGATCATTGCTAGAACTTTGTATGATCTTGGGAAATTCGCTGGGTGTTTACCATTAAGTAGTGCTGAACAAGCATACTGCACGAGCCAAGAGGCATTGAAAATGCTTAAGGTTTCTAGGGTAGGGATTATCAGGTGTGCTAGCTTATAACTGAGTGATTCTGCATCACTCTTTTGGCTGGAACTGCAGAATCTCTTGAAAAGCAGAACTATGAAAGCACAATAATGCTAGAGTGAATCACAGCCAGTTTAAAATTGAATGTCACAGCCTTCCAGAATTTTGGACCTATATTCTATTTGCGAAAAGGAGCAAGGGGATATTGCACGCCTCAAATTCCTTGTTCTTTAGCCATTGAAAACCTTAATTATAATTATTCAAGGTATTCCTATGCCTTTAATAGGTGCAGCGATGCAATTGCAGAGGAGGCTCAATTAACAAGTTTGGCCACAATTTACCTAGTAGTCATAAAAGAACCAATATCTACTAACTAGAACTGAATATCATGGGAAACATAATCACATAACATAATATTGGCAATGACTTCAAAGTTACAATTATAAACATGTTCCTGTGCAGATGTCATGAAGTGTGATGTCTCTGATGGTTTACTCGCTTCAGAATGCAATGGCGCAACCGCTTACTAAATGCTTCAAGCTTTTCAAGCTTCTCACCCTTGAGCTTCTTTGGAACTGTTATTTTCTTGTTCTTTTTCTTTTCTTCTTTTGGTGGCTTTAGGGATTTCTGTTGTGTGCTTCTTGAAGGCGTTGCAAAAGCTTTCACAGTCGTCTAGATTCAAAAAGAAGAATTAAAGGATCACTCGCTTATCAAGAAAGCAAATATAATCAACACAACACATGCACAAATATATAGCTCAGATTAGCAGATCAGCAAGAGACATGAACTGTAATGAATATTCCTGGCTTCAGTTTATTTTTCTAGCTCACCCAAATACCCTGCAACAATGCTTTTCAGTAGGTTCTTGAACCAAATATATATACCAAGCCAGATGAAGACAAGGAAATAGATGAGTGAGAGAGAGACCTCATCGCCATTGTCAGCAGCTCTGCAGTCAGCAGATGATTCTTCGTCACTGCCTCCCAGAGAAGAGCATCTTCCCCAACTCTCTCTATTTGAGCTGGTATATGAACAGCATTCCTCACTCTGACCATTTGGCTTATCCTGTAGAATGATAGACACAAGAACCCATTAAACATCAGTATCAAAAAGTACAATTCACTATTCAACTCAGAATAAATCATCTTGGAAGTCCAATCTGGAGTATAGGAAAGTGCATTGAAGACATTTGTGATCCTTGTTAAAGAAGCTTAGCCTTACATGGATTTAATTGAAGCAACAGCAAATCTTAAAGCACAGAGGGGTTTCATGGTGCTCTTGGATTTTCAGAAGCCCAATTGCAGAAATGGAAAAGGTAATAACATGTCAAGAATATATTTGGAACTTTGGTTACAACCATTGACCAACCTTTGGATGTTTTAAGCAAAACCACCTCACAACCATTTGTTCTGTTCGACAATTTCGCAAAAGTGATTGCAAAAACAATGCTGTATCATTTGATAAATTGTGAAGCACCCTTGAGTTCAATTGCCTGATTAAAAAATAAGGTTGTTGATCCAGTTTATCCATATCATGCCTCTCATTTATGCATTTGATGCACTACAAAGGCTAGCGATTCTAGGGTAGGTGGGGGAAGATCGGGGGATCCTAACTTTTTGTTCAACTCACATATTCAAACCTTTAGGCTATGTTTGGTTAGCCGTGATAGAACATATGGAATGTAATCAAAGACAATTCTAGTCTAAATTTACACTAAAAAGCCTTTGATTATATTACTATGTTCCATTATAGCTTACCAAACATAACATTACAACATTTCTGATTCAGTCATGAATTTTGCAAACTGTTTCAATACCAGACCTTCCTAGGGGAAATATTAGCAGGCATAGACCACTTCAACACTACCTTTTTAAACCTATGAATTAATCAAATCTATAGTAACATTTTTTGGAAAGAAAAAAATGGGTTGCAGGTGGCATCTTATTGGAAAAAGAGGAAAAAAGAGGGAAAGGAAGGGGAGGAGGTGGCTGGGCAACCAGAGAAGCTGCAACCCTTTGCCTTAAGGGAAAGGGAGATTCAATGAGGCCAAAGGAGAAGCATTTGTTAGTTGTTTACATCACAGACCAAATAACTTCAAGTTAAACGATTATGATAAAAATGATAAAAATCACCTGCAACTTTGATGGCTCATCATTGCTAAGGCTGTCACTTTCATTGACCACACTGTCCTGCATTATCAATATGGTAAACTAACATTTATTTAATCCAAAACATAGAAAAGGCAAGGGGTAAATGAGCGCAGCCGAGAAGATACATACCACTTCTATGCTAGTAACAGGCATGACTTCAGCAAGAAGTTCGGTAACAGGTTTTACATTTGGAATGCTAGGAGGTGCAGAAGATGAACTCGCAGCATCAGTACAGGCTGAACCGATGCCAGTGATTATCTCACACAAGAGGCTCTAAGAAAAAATTAGTCAGAACTCTATTAGTCCGCTAACAATGTCATAAAAGTCAAGAAAAGGACATTTTAGCATAGTAAGATTGGAAAGAACAAGATTACTATAACATTTAACATCAACAAGTCAGAATTAAGGTGACAATTCATGTAAATTATTGACTTCATAATGTTGGAGATACCATTAGCATCAGAACATTCTAAAGATACACTACACCTCCATGCTAATTCATCAAAGAAGCCAAGTTTAGCTTGAAGAATTCTATACTTTGGCTTATTCTATACCAAGTGAGTTCACTCCAATTCAGAAGGGTGTTATTTATTCATCTAGTTCTCTGAAGATTTGGATTTCTCTTGTGAATTCTTATGTTTAAGAATTTTAGCTAGTTCTCTATTTTGAGTTTGTTGTAATTGTTTAAAAAGATTTGCTTGCTTCTTGTTTATAATATTACCAGAACAAGAAACTGTGTCTGAGTATGTGTATGCCAGCCCGACCACTAAAAGTAAATTACAATTAAATGTTTGAAGAAATGAATGAACGAATATGTGTGTGTATGGAATACACAGCTGGTCAATGTGTCAAGCACCCAACTTCATAAATCTCAACTTGCTATCACCAGTCTGAGTGTGGAGCTACAGCATGCAGCTACTAAAAGTTGAGAGAGATTGGCAGGGACTCTAAGAAACATGCAGATGATAAGAGGAACAGGATGAACAAAAAAAATGGTAAGTGGTTAACAAAGGCCTTTGACTTGTTAACTACTAAATCAGCAATTGGATTTACAAGGTTTGTGTTCTAATCTTTCTCAAAAAAGGTCTAGATGAAAACGGAAATCACCTCATCTACGCCAGCACCAACCTTCAAATCGGCCAAATTGTAGTACTTGTCAAGCTTACTCGAAGAACAAGAACTTTGAGGAGGGTGAAGAACGTTGAAGAAGAAAATGGAAACTGAATCGTAATAAAACTGTGGTCGAGAGGAGTTGTGATCACCATCAAACTTTATCATATTTTTATCCCCCTGCACAGAACCAGAAGTTTCAGAAAAAAACCAATATTTTAAATTATAAAGGGTAAAATTTTTTTGAAAGATATCCTTACTGCATAGGCCTTAAAGATGAGGTCAGAATGGTGGGACTGAATGAATTTGTCGTCACTAGCATGTCCAAACAAAGCAGGAATGAATGTTTTGGGTGCAACCTGCAAGCATCAATGAGAATTAACATGTTGCTCAAATAAATGAAACAATTGTATTGAAAGATTTGCTACAGAAAAAAAGTGTCATATTCAGTTCAAAGCATTAAAGAATATATATAATGGGTAACACTTCTCAAACAAAAGCAGTCTGTTGATAATCTACAGAAAAGGACAAACCTTTAGGCAGTTAAGATCCATGATATCAAATTTTGCTTTCTTTTGAATTATTCGCCGCATGTACTGTACTGCCATCTTTACCTTATTACAGTTACAAGTAAAGAAAAAACAGTTGCTGTTAAACTAGACATAATCAAAACATAAAAATCCAAAACTATAGTATCCAAAACGCTAATCCACCTCATATTGTAAGATCAGTTATGTATGCTTAATTATTATGAAACCAGAGGCATGTGAACTCAAAAACCATAGGAATTATAAAAAGATGCAGTTATGGATTTTGATTCTGATTAATATAAAACAGCATATATATTCAAAAATCAGAAACCTAGGCAGATAAATAATCACGCAAATGCATATTAAACACACACAGGTTTATGAACTTGAGAGCTGAATTTAATTTCTTTTAAAAAATGCAGGTAATAATTATTCCAACTGAAAAGGAAATAAATACCCTAAGAGAAGGCATGAATAAATTGCAAAAGCATCTGAAACCTCAACAACCAAAAATATTCAAAAGGGGAAATAATCAAAGAAAATGACATATGAACGGTTTGCTACTTGCTATCCAAATGATTTAGCAGCTATAAAAAGGAGAAGTGGCTTGAACTCCCAACCTTAGGAGCTGTCTGGTTTTAAGAGGACCCACACACAGAGATTTAGAGAGAGAGAGGCCTACTGTAAATTTTGGAAGCCGAATTTTGTACACATCCACAAGTTCCATCATTAAATCAAATAAATTTGAGAAGGCACTATCCAACACCATTCCAGCAATGGATGGGTCTTCTGCTCCATAAAGAAGGCTGCATCATATTATTGGAAGACTGCATATAAGCTATCAAGAGTTTATGGAAAAAGAAATAATAGCATAGCATGAACTAGCATCTCATATCTTTCGGAGGAATACAAAGCTGAAAACTGTATCATACACTAAGCAGGCAATTATATCAAGAATTCATATCATACAGTCTTGAGAATGTGAAACACCATCTAGTACAGAATGGCATGGAAAAAAGTTAAGAAATTAAATGGTAAATTACCAAGTAACTGCCCCCATTGATCGTCCCCAGAGGCCTATACATGATATTTGTTGGTTGCTTCTTAGATACGAAATCACAACCTTGAGGTCATCTCTCTGTTATACAACAAAAAAATCTAAGAAAATAAAAGAATTCGAGTCATAAGGAATTAGTGAGGAGAGGCATACCTCATGCCAACCAAGGCTGACATAGTCACCATCAGATAAACCGGAACCCGAAAAATCAAGAGTAAAAACAGTAATATTTGAGGGAAGAAGAATTACTGCAGCCTCATTCGCATCCGCCCTGCATCCACTGCAGTATTGTGCATGATGGAAACAAGTTTCCATCTTTATTAGAGAGAGTAGGTCTTGACAGCAATTCAAGTTCTTTTAAAGAGATGAATGGAAATTCATGATCTTACAGAAAATGATTTTGAAAAAGATGTTTACACAGGGAATGAACGAGAAAAATCATTTCAACATTGTATAACATAGCATATTTCATTTTAGATCTAGACTATATCCATATTACAATTAAACATGAAAAACTAATGGAAATGTACCTGTTCCCATGGCAATATATAACACATGGAAGAGGGGTGTCTTCAGGGAACGGTGAAGGCACATAATGGCTACAGCGTAAGGTATGACCCCTTGCATTAGTGAGCTGCAAAAAATGAAAGCAGAGAAAGACAGGCTCCAAAGTCAGCACAAAGTTGCACATACATTGTAGTAAATGGGGAAGGCAGCAACTAAAGAGTGCAATGTCGTGTGCATTGATGTCCGTACTTGCCTCCAAGTCTTGTCTCTTGTATGCTCTACTGGCAAGAGTGAAATCCCTCTCCCATAAATACTGATCTGGGTTATAATCCGCCCTATATATAGAACAGAAATGACAGACACACACATTAGATAACAGCTGTTGATTTAAGGGCTTTAAAGATATACATATTTATAAAGACTTGCGAAATAAAACCTGGGAGGGCGAATGACAAAATTGATGAATTGATCAATCATATTCATATCCTAGAGAGTTGCATCTGGTAGGTCATCTGAAGTATCTCCCCGTCAATAGAAACCAAACAGATAGAGGAACAGAACCATCAAGAAAACTCATAAACTATTACTTTCTTACACCATTTGTAACCCTTTTCTCCTGCTAGTGGGAGTGGATTACAAATAGCTATCTGGATATTCCCTGCTTTACATACAAAATCAAGCCAGACTTCCTCCGGAGATTAAGATAAAGAACCAGCCTTTGTGTTTGGAGTTCCAAAAGGACTTTGACAATTTTAGAAGTTGAAGACTCAGTTCAATTGGTGGAGCCAGCCTTCATTCTTCCACCTCCATTTCCTATAACAATCCACCTCACGGCCCCCTAAACCCCAGAAAGAGGGGAAAGGAAATAGCATTATCAATTACTGTTTGCTATAACAAGTAACCTTTAATTTGTATATAAATACAAGCTGAAACGAGTTCCCATGTTGGATAAATGCAAAAAGATAAAGGCCAGCAAAATTTCAGATCTCAAAACTTCAAAACTTCAAAATAACAACATAATTAACTGAAAATTTGAGTTTGGTTCATGAGTTAATCTCAAAACTACAAACTCAATGGAGAAGTGGGAGGAAAAGAGATAACTCTAAGGAAATGGTGTTCCTTTGAAAAACAACTTACTTAACATTAGCAATGCTGATTGAAAAGAGCGCGAGAGGTTGACGAAAGAGATCAAAGTGTTTGTAAACAAAAGAAGAAAAGCAGTCAAGAGAGAGAAAGAGGGACAGACAAACAAAGGAATTTCAAACAAAGAAGAAAAAAAAGTTGTTATGAGCTCTTTTCTTTACTTACTTGAGTAATGGGTGTCGTCGGAAACTGGGTATTGGGAGAAAAAGACGCGGAGCAAGCACGGACAGAGAGGCACCAGCTGCGATATAACTTTTCCTTTTGATTTTATTTTATTTTTCCTTTTCTTTTGAGCCTTTTTTTTTTTTACTTTTAGTTCATTTCGTTTGTTTGTTCCGGGGTCTTTCTCTTTTTAAATTTCTTCTTCTGCCTTAGCTTAATTTATGTAAATAAAATAAAATAAAAAATTTCTTTGTCAATATATTTATTAGCAAGGCAGAGGCAGTAGAGTTAAATTTAACTTCAGTAAATAATTTTTCCACACAAAAAGGCAAAACTTATTTGATTTGATTCCACCTACCTGCGTAACTGTATTAACTCCGCTACGCATTTTACCTTAGTATTGCATTTGACTTGCATTATGCTCACGGCTTGCTGCTTAGACTCTCATGCTTCTACTTGGCCCATTTTACAAATACAAGTACAAGACTTCACTTTCTCGTGATCTGGTATTATAGCATATTGATATGTACATTAACTTGAGATTACCAAGCTGTACAGCAAAATAGTTCATTTAGGAAATTTTCAATTGAATTAAAATACACCATTATTACTATAAAAAGCACGTTGGTCCACGTTACCTTTATTTGAAGTTTTTTTTTTTTTTCATTAGTCAAAAACAGACTCTCAGTACCTTTCTAAGAAAACGTTACATTTAGTACCCGAGTAAAAGTCTCAACTTTATTGAATCACAAGCATACTTTTCAAATTGATTACATATAGGTATAAAGCTACACCGCCTAATTATCATCGAAAGCCTTTGTCCCCCTCCAAATTATCCCACATCAATTAGCGTTTATATATTCATATGTAAAATTCCAGCTCTTGCTGCTTCTTTTTCCTACAAACCAAGCAAAACATTTCTGGCCTCCTAGCCATAACTGCTTATCGTCAGCAAATGGTCCCTATGGGCAAGTTTAATCTGTCCAAGTCAGTAACCTCAATATAATTGTGAGAAGGGGAGCAAAACCCCTGCCCCGAACAATAATTTCCTAGTGGGCAGACGACAGTACGAAGCACCAGCTCAAAGTAAACACAAGTAAAACAATGCAACTCCTGCAACATGATTGATAGCAACACTATATTGTATTGTTGAAATCACTAGTTAAGAACTATGTTAGCTTCTGTACAGGTGCTCAGTCAATCCATCCGACTAAATTTTTCAAAAATCAAGAATAATGTTAAAAGAAAAGGACACCAATCAGATCAATGAACTGCAGAAGGTGATATCTTCGACGCTGCAACCTTTCCACCATGCAGAAAAAAGAGATGTTCAACTCTGGCAGGCAGGCATGCCAAACTCTTTGCACCATCTCTATACAACAAATAGCTTTGTTAGTGGATAGATTTTCACTCGCAGGAAGCATTTATTTTAATCTTTCCACATCATGGTATGTTTCTTGAGCAGGCAAATGATGTGGTTTTCCCAACTAATCTAAGGTCTGGAATATCATAGAGGAGGACAAATTGGTTAATGGTTTACCCACTAACACGTGCAATTAATCATAAACCAGAAGTTGTATCTCTTCTCTGTTCTTTTTGGAAAGGAGAAGGACAAGGGATGTTCTAGATCTGGATTATGCTCAAAATTTATGGTCAATGCAACAGGCTGTCACTTGGTTTTACAATGCCTTGAAGCTTCCAACCTCCAATTCCTGCTAATACAAATGCCTGACATTATAACACACTGGATCAGATAAAGATAAAGAAATACTTAAAAATAACAATCACCTTTCGCTGATCTGTCTTCGACAAATGTCAAATTAATTCACAGGAACTTTTCATTTTGCAATGAACATTACTTATCTGAATAGTAGGATGCAGCTTATAATGCCACTATCCTCTTTCCTTTAGAGTGTAAGGACAAAGGTTTATCGTTTCGGAAAATGGAAGTCACTCATGGAAATTATCTAGCAACATATGAAAGACTCCCCAACCATATCCCAATTTTCAGAGTATCTTTAGAAGGGTTGTAACCTCTTTTGATAAACATCTACAACACTACTGGTCGTCGATTTATATGCACATGCACATGCACATCAAATCACTCCAGACTACTTTTCAAAAAAAAAAAAAAAAAAACGATAATGAAAGACTCCCCAAGCCAATATCCAATTTCGAGTATCTTTAGAAGGTGGGTAACCTCTTTGATAAACATCTACAACCACTACTTGGTCGTTTGCGATTTTATAATGCCACATGCACATGCACATCAAATCACTCCAAGACTATAACTTTTCAAAAATAAAAAAAAAAACAAAAAGAAGTAGAATGCTTTCAAAAAAAAAAAAAAAAAAGAAGTAGAATGCTTTCCTTTTCTTTATATGCAGGAGGAAGGAAAATACGAAGAAGATAAAATTAAGAGTGAAAGCAACATAGGGGAACCACAAGCAATTTTCTCCCCAGGCTGGCGAAGAAAAGTGAGGGGAAACAATACGTTGAATTACCCCTTTATGACTAGAACAGTTCATTTTTCTAAGAAAAAGTGGAGCAAAAATTGTTAATAGGATAACTTTCTTTCTGTTTTTCTTCTGTCCATATCCAAACAAGAAAAGAGAGAATAGTTTTATTTCCAATTTATTTTCTCTCTCCACTTTGTTTCCCCCTTTGTGTTGCTGACAAGAAAAGTGTTAACCATAATATATAATTAAAGCAAGTAAATGAATGAAGTATTAAAATATTATATATATATATGATGAAACTGAGCCTGACCTCTTCCCAGGACTTTCCAGTAGCCTCCAGCAAAGCAGCATTGCATGTTTTCAGTTCTACTGGTGCACCAGTGAACATTGAGGCTGCCTCCTCCCACCCTCTATTATGTCCCATGCACCTGTATATTTGACTAAGAATCAAAAATTTGTTTTTTCATTTGCTTTGGTATTATCTTCATAACAATTTCAACCCACATTTTCAAATGCTAATACAGTTATTTCAAATCTTGTGAAAAGAGGAGAATGACTTCATTCTAATTGGGACCACGCAAGTGACATCACTCCTATTAGTGGAGGAGATCACGAACATTTACATGGAATAGCAGTCACGGTAATTTAGTGGAACTCACATAACAGTGAGGATCTCATCCCTAGAATATCTACAGATAGCTTGCTGAAGATGCTCAGCAGTCTGTCCATCCAGTGCTGCAATTGAATAGAAGCTTGGAATGAAATGAACCTCTGCATCCACAAAGCCTGGCACTTGCTCCTGCATTACTTTAAGTGTTTCCCTAGTTCGTGTTGCATTGCTGTATAATTACAGACATCAAGTATGAAGTTGAAAACAATTAACTAATAAGGTGCAAGTGATTTAGCAGTAAAGTTTTAAGCTTTTTATTCTTATCTCAGTTGATGCTGCAGACAAGTAGAAAGACGGAAGAAAAGATGAAAACCTGGATAGGATAAGCTGAGGAATCCAACCAAGTTGTTGGAGCTTTTGAGACACCTTGGCAGCATCAGCTTTTCCACCCTTGCTCAAAGGTCGATCATGATCTGATGGGAAAACACAAATGCAAAGATAAAACATTTGAAGAAAACAAAAAACGAAAAGAAAACAATCCAACTCAGGTAGAGAGGATATAAAGCACTAACTATTGGAAGTGTCTAAGATAAAAGAAACAAAAGAAAGCAGCCATGAACCCAAACTAGTAGTATTAACAAGAAATAAGACATTTGACTATCGAATTTAGGATGAATTTAAAGAAGAAACAACAAATTGGAGCAATTGTAATCATACTACAAATAGATAGCAACTAAAATTGAAGCAAATGAGTTTCACCTCGCAATAAAGGGTTATCCCATGAACTCTCAGCATGACGAAGGAGAATAAGGCGACGGGCCACCAATTTGGAGGAAGCAAGTTGGGATCCATCCTCGGTGACTGTTGGCAAAGAACTAGAGTGAGCGGACAAACGGCGATGGGCACTGGGGTTCCTCCTGCGACAGCAACAAACTGAAATTGGAGAGTTGAGCTTAAGGAACATCGACGGATTAACACTTATATTTAAGGTTTGCAGACTCGGAAACAGGGCTGCATTAGTCTTCGCCTCCATTTCTTTCACTGCCGGTTTTCCTTCTATCTTATCCAGAATAAATTTGTTGAATATGGGTAGGAGAAGCCGAGAAGCTGTCAACTCTGTGAATTCAAAAACTAAAACTGAATCTATTCATTTAATTGCGTACAAGAGCAAATTCAATACAAAAGACAAATACCAGTTCAAAAAAAAAAAATGTATCACTATTACATATAAAGATAAATGGACATTATTATACTGTATAATCTATCTGACTTGCTAACAGCAGACCAGTAGAACAGCAAATCAGCAATAACAGCATACACAAGAATCAGGAATGGATATAGGCCAATTAAAAAAAAAAGATTTTTCAAAAAATATTTACTCTTTTATCCTTTTGTTTTTTATATATAGTCAAAAATATTAATAGTTTGGTGTAAGTGAGCTCATGTACTGGGTGGACAAAAGTTTTCCCTTTAGGTTATAAATACTTAAAAAATTTACACATTACATTAAACGCTGTCGTTTAACATATGCCATAGCGTCATTCCTAATTTTTTATAAATTGTCGAATTGGACCAGATCTCGTTATCTCTTACAGCAGGACGGGCAGGGCAGGGCAGGGCTCCTGGACCCGCCAGCTAGGAAACTGCAATAAGGGAAAATACATTTGCGTTAATAATTCAAGACAATGGATAGTAATAGATATGGATATAATAATGTAGTCAGAAGACGGCACATCTTCTCTTTTTTTTATTTGTCTTAAAATGAAATTTTTTTTATTACAGTTAATTTTTAAATTATTTATTATAATTTTATTAAAATTTATCTTATTTTATTTTTTTTAAATATTTAGTTTAATTTAAATTAAAATTTAATCTTGATTTTTAAAATTTTATTTAATTATTTTAATATAATAATTAATCTCTTTTGTTTATTTAAAATTTATTATTTCAATATTAAATGCGTTTTGTTATTTAAAATTTATTATTTCAATATTATAATCGTTTTTTTATTATTTAAGATGAACATAATAAATATTTATATAAATAAATTTATATTTTAATTATAATAATTTTTATTTTCTTATTCAGTGTGAAAATGGAAAGTGAAATATTTTTTTAGACAAAAATATTATTTTTTTATGCAATTTAATAAAGAAAATTTTGTTTGTTCGAGGGTCATCTCCATTTATTCTTAACAAACAAACCTTCAGCTATTTATCGTCCAACTGTACACTTAATAATTTCATTTATTATTAGGAAAAATGTTTATTTAGGTGAAAATTTTTCCTAAAAACACGGGGCAGAATCGTAAAATTGCTGTCCATCTCTACACCCGTCTTTTTATGCTTTCCTCTTCTTCTTCTCGTAAATGATGAGGATGATGATACGATCTTTGGTAGTTCGGATACAGTAATCAACAGAAGCATAAGGATATCGGACCAGGCTGCGGGGACACAGCCACCGTCACCACCACCGCATCCATTTGTGCCGTCTCGGAGAATCCTATTGGTTTCACCTCTAATCCTTCCTATTGCTTGCTTTTGTTATTCAGTTTCTTACATTTTTGCAAGGGTTTTATTTCAGATACAGATCACATCTTAATCCAAAAGATCTAATTTATCTGAAAATATTTCTTCTATCCTTGAAAGGAACCTTATGATACCATCCCTTCAATTTCTTTCTCTAGTTTATGTCAATTTAATCTCTTTGTTACTTGTATTGTTTGCCTTCTTAATTTCTTCGTACACTATTTGCACTTTCTATGCAATATGCAAACCTAGAAATAGAATTGAGTTAATATGCTTCCTCTCTCCTTCTCTCGTGCTTTAAACATTTGATATCCAAATTTTCATGTCAGAGTCTCTGTTTGTAGTTTGTTGCCTTGTAATTTTGTTATTTATTCAGTTTTCTGATTTTTTGTTTCTCATGTGTAAGTAAAGTCATTTATTAGAAAGAAACTGCTGCATGCAGTCCCAAGATCTGAGAGTCCAAGGCCACTTATCTGTAGAAGCTAAAAGAGGCATTTTTTTTTCTGAATGTTCCCCCACCCTTCTTCTTTTAGATTTTCATCCAAATTAATCAAAGAACATGGTGAAAAACTGTAAATAATTGGTCATAAAAGAAATCATGATGGTTGCAAAGACACGCTTTCATGGCCTTGTCATCTATTATGATGCAAGTATGAGCTGCAGCCTGTTTTCTCTTGTACTGGAGGTTTTTGATGGTCTAAATCCTCTCTAGGTAGCCTCCTGAGCTAGTAAACCAACTGTTGTTTGTAAACTAGTGTATTCAATAGCTTTCTTGAAAGACCAGTCCTTTTGCCAATTGCATGACAAAAGGATTTTACAGTAAACGCTTTAATCCTTGTAGACTCCTCTACCTAATCTTAATGCCAACTCTGTTTTCATATCCACCAATATGTAAGATAACTAATTATAGAAGTTTGAAGAAGACCCTAAGTTCTAACTTAAATATGTGGAAGTTAGTGTTGGAACGTTTAGTGTCAAAAATGCTATTACTGGGGGAAATCCTGGCGTAATGCTCAACACCAACCCTAAGGTCAGTATTCAGGAGTAAGCCTTATGTGAGCTAGGAGGCAGGCATCATACTTAGGAAAGAGGAGTTGGTGTCTCCATAGAGGAGAAGCTCTATGGACACTGTAGGACTGAAGGCCTTTAGTGTGTGTATCTTCCCAGTGCAAGGTTTACTTATAGGGGGAGGTTATATGCAACAATATGCTTCAAGCCTTAAATTCGGCCATAGATGTGTGGAGTCCCTTATTCTTAGCTGTGCACAACATGGTCCCTCAATATTATGATAAGACCTCTGAGATAGTATGGTTGGGCTAGATTATAGGTTCAAGTCCCACCACATAATATAGATTATGTTGCAAAACTAGGGCTAGCAGGAAGAAATGTGCCTATCTATATCTGAGCGATCACACCTATAACTTCTATACACAATCAAATCAACCCATGTAAATTTGTACACATCATTTTTATAGTATAAATTCAAGTTTAGAGTATTCCTTCCATCATTTGTGCATACTTCATTTTTGGCCCTTCTGGTCACCCAATGGCATGTTGGGCGTGTGTTGTACCATACTATGGCATTCTTTCCAACTCAGACAAGTTGATGTCCTCATCAATTGTGATCCAACTCCTCACTATCACTTCAAAGAAAAAGAATATTCTTCAAGCTACCATGAAAGAAGGAAATTTTTGTATTCATTTATGAACTGTCCTTTTCTAAAGCTTCATATTTCCAAACATCATCTTACATTCATAGTTGTTTTCCTAATCACCCCACTCTTCTTCCTAAGGGATAATTTAATCTATATTTCCACCATTCTGTCCTTTGCTTCCTCCATTTTCACCCCCTCAAAGTAGGTAGGATCCTCCTATATATTCTTCCCCACTCAAACGATCGAATTTCTCATTGATTATGGTTGCATTTGGGATCTGTTTGTACTTTTGGAACAACTTCCTTTTATAGCTCCTTTGTATGGAAACACTTACATGTTTTGCTTGTGTGCATGAGATATCCTCTGTTGCTTGAATGCACGAAAAATGCTAAAGCATCGTTCAAGTTGTGGTACCTCATAGGTTTGGTAGATGTGCCTCAGAAAACACAAACAACAAATCAAAGTGGCCATAAGATAGAATTGTAACAAATTCTTAAGCATTCTGTTGCAAATGCAAACTATCATAAACACAAATGAAACACAAGGAAACAATAACAATATGAACTCATACATTTGTTCACATTACACGTTCTCATGTCTTATAGTGTTAAAAGCACCACCCTTGCTTCTCTATTTGTTCTTTTGCAAAGGCATGATGTTAACGGAACAAGGTCTGCTTTGCATTTGGCAACGGCTTCCTCTTATCAAGTGTATCAAAAAGCCTTCATGAAAGACTAATCCTTTTGCCATCTATAACTCTTTAACAATGGTGTCACAATATTTGATAACACAGTTTGAATCCTTGTGGACTTCTCTACCTAGTCTCAATGCCTACACTGTTTTAATATCTAACAATGTATGATATAATCTATTGTACAAGTTTGAAGGGGTCCTAACTTCTGGCTTATATATTCCACATCAAATAAGCATCTCAAGTCCCCTTCTAGATGTCAATCTCCTTTAAAAATTTGCTATGGCTTTGGGATCGATAGCCAAATGAGAAGAGACCAAGTAATTGATTTATTAAGTTGACGTGTTATTCCAAATTATCATGTTGAGAAGAATATATTTATGGTTACTCACATCAAGTCCTTGTAAGCATAATTTTTTTCTTTTTTTCGCATTCCTATGTTCTGTGCCTCACTTTATGCAAGTGGGAGGAAATATATAAGAGGTGGAAGGTGGTGGAGAGAGAATGGAGGACTGGCGGGGGAGATAGGGACAAGGGAAACTCAAAGATCAGATATTCCTATAAGGAATAGAGGGGAATGAAGAGAGACGAGGACGGAATGTTGATTGCGGGGCAATGGGCAGCCTATGTAAATAGAAAAAACTCCAATTGAATAGTATCAACTAAATAGAAAAAAAATAAATAGTGGCACCAAAACATTACACAGCTTCTTTTGCACTCTTTTAGGAAAAGTAGGAAGACCTCGATACTGCTTGGGAGAAGCTTTTAACAACTATGATTTACATAGAAATGTATTTCGTGATTTGAGAATCACTACTTCATTTGGAAACAAACATGTGTTAAGTATTGTTAATGAAAGCATTTTGTAAGACTGCAGAATTTTCATAATCACTTTTCTCTCATCAAAGACCTTAAAAATTTTTCTTGGCGAAGACGTTCAATGCTATTTAGCAGCAAGTCTTTACAATCAATGACCCATTCTATTTTGGGATCGAAGTGATGTATGCTATTCAGACTTGCCACAAATAATTGTTGGATGTCTTGAAAATTGATATTCTTTTGAAGTGCATAAAGCATCTTCAAGGAAAATATTCCATGTGCATAGTATCACATACTTACAATATGTTGTTGGCTGGCTCAGGTATCTTTGCTACAAACATGTCCCAGTACCAGGGGGATGAAATGGATTACATGGCAGATGATTATGAGATGGCAGAAGTTGAAGAAGATGTGTACTTCCGTGGTAGAATCATGGGTGATTCAGAGTCTGATGATGATGATGATGAATATGATCATTTGGTTTGTTTTTTTCCCTATACCAATTTTAGCTTTCCACTATTGCAAGTTGTTCTTCCCTCCCTTCTCTCTCCTCTTCCGGTCTTCCCCTCCCAATGACACTCTTTTTGTTCCATTGCTGCATTTATAGTTTTGCTTTGTTAGCGATGTTTTATTTTTATATTTCAATTTAGTAACAAAACTTTTTTGTTCCATTTTCTACCTTGGATGGGGATTGGGTTGGCGGTGGTTGGTTTTCGCAGGACAATAAGATAACAGATACATCTGCTGCAGATGCTAGGAGAGGAAAGGATATCCAGGGGATTCCTTGGGACAGACTGAGCATTTCCCGTGAAAAGTACAGACAAACAAGGCTAGAGCAGTATAAGAACTATGAAAACATTGCGCACTCAGGAGAAGGTTCTGAAAAGGTAGAATTTGTTCTAAGGTGTAGTGGTAGTAGACTACCAAATACTGCTGAATATTCATTTTCACATCGTGTTTCTTCCATTCTGATCTTCTCCAGGAATGCAAACCAACAAAGAAGGGAGGGATGTATTATGAGTTTTGGCGAAACACAAGATCAGTGACGTCAACTATCCTTCATTTTCAAGTATGTTGATATTCCTATCCATCTCTTTACTTGGTTTTCCCCTGCTTTTTGTGCATGTAACTAATGTTTTGAATGTGTATTAAAGACAAGATACTAGAATCTTGTTCAAATCCAAAATTATTGATTGGAAAACTTAAGCTTTCTTTTCCTTTTTGGCACTGCAGTTGCGGAACTTGGTTTGGTCAACAACAAAACATGATGTCTATCTTATGTCTCATTTTTCCATTGTTCACTGGTCATCTTTAAGTTGCAAGAAAACTGAAGTTCTCAATGTTTCTGGACATGTGGCGCCATGTGAGGTACACTAATCTCTTGGTGTTGTATGAAATAAAATTCTATCTTAAATTTGAAGCGTTCCTTTTTTTTTTCTCCTCTCTTATATTATGATTACATTGATGGTATTCTGGATTTCTTTTTCTTTTATAGAAACATCCTGGAAGCCTCTTGGAAGGATTTACTCAAACCCAAGTTAGCACACTTGCAGTGCGGGATAAGCTGTTGATTGCAGGGGGGTTCCAGGGAGAACTTATTTGTAAGGTAATACATTTCGCATGGTGATGCTTTTTGATAATTTTCCTTCTTGTGTTCACTTGTATTTTTTTTAAAAAAAGAAGGTTCTACTTGATTGATAAATACAACAATTCAATATATGATACATTTGCTGTCTTAGTTGTTACACCTCTCTGTTCTTGTTTACATGCTTTTAGAGTAAGATTTGGTTGGTTCCAATAGAATGTTATGAATAATGGGTGACAAGTTGTTTGTTTGTCCATTGGGAGCAGCATTTAGATCGACCAGGAGTTAGCTTCTGTTACAGGACAACTTACGATGATAATGCAATCACAAATGCAGTCGAGATTTATGATTGTGCCAGGTTTTTCTTTTTTCTTTTTTTTTTTTTTTTTACTTATTCCTTTATCCATTGTTTTTGTTTCTTTTCTTTTCTTTTTCCCTTTTCCTTGTCAGTCATGGTAACAGTGGGCTTTGTTTACCTTAGCTGACCTGAAATCAACACTGTTGTTGCAGTGGTGCAGTTCATTTTATGGCTTCAAATAATGACTGTGGAGTTAGAGACTTTGATATGGAGAAATTTCAACTTTCTAAGCATTTCTGCTTTCCTTGGCCGGTGAATGTGAGTACCATTCCCTCCCCCCTCACCATTCCCTCCCCCTGCCCCCCGCCGCCCCCCCCACCCCCCCGCCCCCCCCCCCCCCCCCCCCCCTCCTTCTTTTTATGTATTTAATGCCCCCCCCCCCCCCTCCTTCCTTTTTATGTATTTATATGGATTTGTGAAGCTGTGATATTGTTCGTAGGCTTGCAGTTGAAATGCTGTTTATTATTCATTTGTTGGCATAAGGTTTTCTGATAATCTGATAATTAGTTATTGTAATAACTTTTCTGTTGGATCTCCTCTTTGCCATACCTTAATTACATTTAGTTTCAACTCATGCTAGTATCATACTCTATGCTGGTCTAATCTATACTTTCTTCCAATCATTAATGTCTACCATGTAGAAATAACGGTTGCAGAACAGTATAACCAGTCAAAAAATTCAAATGGGTTGAAACCTATTATATTTGAGATTGATTACTGTAATTTAAATCAACACATGGTCCAATGGTCTTTACAACTTCTTGGAAATAATTACAGATTGCTGTATGAAGTCTTGCATTGTTCTCATCAAAATTACTCTCCTGCTAATTTAGCTTGCCCCTAAATGTGTTGTGGTATTTCTACTTGTCTGAATGCATATATCATGTGTATTTTCAGTTTCTGTGTGTATGTGTGCTTCCCTGGTTGCACCTCAATTTATCTGTTGCTTTAGTTTATAAAATTGAAAAGCAAAGAAATATAATTTCAACAGTCATGAAAAAACAATCCATGCAACTGGACCCTGGCATGTTCCTTTATATTGAGCTTAGATAATTCAGCTGATTGAATACTTTTCCTAGATTGCATCTGAGTAACAAGCAAGCATGTTCCTCATTTTATGCTTTAATGTGTCATTTCTGCAATTTCTGTTGCAGCACACCTCACTGAGTCCTGATGGTAAGCTTCTTACCATTGTCGGTGACAACCCAGAGGGAATGCTAGTGGATTCTCAAACAGGAAAGGTAGTCCTATATTTCTTCCTCTCTCTTTGGCACAAACCTCCTTATCCTTTAATGCAAGAACTTCCACTAATTTTAGGCCTTCATTGTTGTAGACCATTACACAATTATGTGGACACTTAGATTTCTCATTTGCATCTGCATGGCATCCTGATGGCCGCATCTTTGCCACTGGGAATCAAGACAAGACATGTCGTATTTGGGACACACGAAACTTGTCAAAATCTGTTGCAGTGCTCAAGGGCAATTTAGGAGCCATTAGATCAATTCGGTTTACATCTGATGGTCAATTCATGGCAATGGCAGAGCCAGCTGATTTTGTGCATGTTTATGATGTGAAGAATGGGTTTGAGAAAGAGCAGGAGATTGATTTTTTTGGGGAGATCTCTGGTGTGTCTTTTAGCCCTGACACAGAATCCCTCTTCATAGGAGTATGGGATCGCACATATGGAAGCCTCCTTCAGTACAACAGATGCCGGAATTTTACATATCTTGACTCGTTTCTGTGATTTAACATGTGTATATCTAGTTGTGAATTTACACTGGCAAATTTGCATGTCCATGTGAATGTGAGGATGTTGGATCCAACATAAATTTAAGTGAACAAGGGTGACATATCTCATGTTTCATTCTGTAGTAGAGGGGCTGACAAAGAGAAATGCTCCTGCTGTAGTTTTTGTTATGGTACATGGGTTTAAAATAATACTGGGGCAATGTATGATAAGGGAAACAATTTGGAAGACTGGACATGGGGTGTGAGTTTTAGTCAGGTTTGTAAAATAATGGAGAGAATGTAGAGAAGCTTTGGTGAGTGTATCTGGTTAGACTGATCGCAGTATAACTGAGGTTCGGGGTCCTTATCTTGTTAGCCCCTCTATTTTTTTTAATTTTTTTTTTATTTTTGGCTCCAAAAAACTGTAGCTCCTTTTCATAGAGTTAAAATTGGTGAATGAAATGCATTACGCGCTGTTGAACAGGGTTATGTTTCATGGTTTGATTGAATGATTTAAGATGAGCTGGGTTTGGAGGGACTGTTCTGAAATAGCATGATGCATGGGTTCTAACTTCCATAGATGAATCAGTGTAGACGTGAAGCATTGACCAATGTCTTTGGTAACCCCCCCGTGTGATGGGATGAAACCGCTAGTTGCTTCAGCTGAGTTATGGCCTCCATCCTACTGAGTAATTTGTATATATTGGCGAGGGTGCACGACTTCCTCCCAATATGCAGGATGTTTTCTACATGTTTCATGTTGGAACGTGAAATTTGTCCATAATGGTAAAAGGATGAACTGAGCAAAGGACCTTGTTTTTAAAAGAAAAGGGATAGTTGTGCTAATGGCGTCTTTAACTTTATTTTTACTATTCTGGTGTCTCAACAGAGATTTTTGATTCAAGTGTATTGTCTAAAAAATTTATAATCAGCTGCATTTTGCCTATGCGGCAAGCTGGACTTGACATCTGGATTAAAATGGCTCTAATTTTAGCCAAGTCAGCAATGACGTGTCAAATGAGCTAGCTTCATAAATCAACTACGTAACCTCTTTAATCCAAAAACATATAGACAATGGTATGTTAAAGTCGCTTAGGAGTGTTAGGAGTGAGATACAATAGTAAAAGAGAGTAAAATTAAGCTGTGAGAGATCAGTAAGAGAGAGCTTGCTTTATCGACCAAAATTGAAGAACATTTGCAAGGAATTTTATTACGCATCAATTTTTATAAGATTGGTGACATCACAATGGAGAAAAGGTGCTATCCACTATGGATGCCTGCAAAATGTGAAGTAAAGGAGAAAATGGAAAGGCACAACACAATATCTGTCGATTTTCATTCATATATAGGCAAAATACATGGCTGAGAATTTTTATTACAAAAGCTGATTTCTTTGGTCAATTAGCACCAACTAAAGTAGCTTAGACTTCCATGAATTCTGGATCACAACATACACAAACTATAAACCATGCTGAAAATATGATCTATTATATTTAAAATATAAAAATAGCCAACCTCAGAATTACAATCAGCTATAGTGTGTACAAAACAAATCTCAATTGGTCAACAATGCCAAATAAAACCTGCGTTCAGACCCTGATGAATTGAACTATAAGAAAAGTACTTTAACTAAAAATTGAAAATTCCAAAAAAAAATCCATATGATACTTGTTCTTTGTTGACAAATGATATTCTAGATCTGGTCCTGTAAACATTGTAATGGATGAAACTATGAATTCTTTGTCTCGATTCAAATGTGTTCCTAACAGGAAATACTTATCAATTACTGCTATTTCTATTTGTGTAGGGATGCTGTTCATTATAATTGCTACTTGCTCAAGCCTCTAGTTATATTTGATAAAATTTCATCTTGGGCACATTTTTTCTCAGAAATCTGTTTGAGAACGCTTTCTGCTTCTGCTTCAAGTTGTTGCATACGTTCTTCAAAAGCGGCAACCAATTCAGGACTGAAAATAGCACACTCATTGCATTCATTTGCTCTAGTCCCCGAGCTTGGTAAAGAGTAGCTGCCAAATTTTGGAGTTATATAAGCTCCACCAGAGTGAAGCCATTCCTTGAGGCTTGCAATAGTGCAGAATTCAACTGTATGTGGAATTTCAAGTGAGTCTAGCGCTTTTGCAATCTTCTTTCTCTTACTCCCCTTCTCTGAGATATTTCCTTCTTGAGGAGACTCCTCGCCTGCCTTCAATTCATTGTGTAGCTGTGAACTAGGCATGATGGGAGTCTTTTCTAGTGAGATTTCATCCTTTATGTGCTGGCTTTCATAAACTTGCAGCTTGGCGTCAGACAAACTGCTTCTTTGAACCATTATGGCATCAAATTCCTCTACCGTGTGGAAACTCCTAGCTCGGCCCACACACCTATGATTCCACTCTTGAGAATTCTGCAGGTTGTCATGTTCTGTAATGCAATGAAAGCTGCTAGATCGTTTCGATTTAGTTAGCTCAACTCTTGGCATCGGAAGTGCTTGTGTGCCAGTAGTACTGTCTCTTCCTTGTTCTAGATTTGACAAAAACTCCCATGCATTGAAGTCAACAATTGATTCTGATTGGTGGTTTTTGTCAGACCTGAGTTTGGGGGCTATCGCATCCGTATTGGCCGTATAAACGAAAGTAAGGAACTGATCATCCCTATTTTGCATTCTTTGGCTCAGCTCTTCCTTTAAACTCATTGATCTAGGCATCAGTTTTGAGGATATGCATCCCATTTTATTTTAATATTTGTCGAATTCACAGTTGAACTGAACACACAAGAAAGGGTTTGAATAAAAGATTACTATTTCATCAAGTACCTTGAAGGTGCATGTAATCTGGTGGTGGAAAGGAAACAACTACTAGGAAACTCTTAGGTTTACATTGATCAAAGTCAAAATTACCTGTTGCAGTTGCAGAACAAATAAAAACTTGTCCTGCAACTGGAGATTCAAAACAAAGGCAAAAGTCTGGAACCATAGAACACAAAAAGTTTTAGATTCGTAATAAATACAGTTGAGTTCAAGATCTTACCAATCCCTTTGGAAGTGAACCAGCTAATGATGGAAACGGAGGTATTTGAAAGCCAGATCCTTTTTTCAGATGTGGCTTGGAATTGAGACCTGTGAAGTATGTGAAAAGTAATCAGCTGAAATTGATTATTATTATTGTTATAAATAATGAATTAACAACCCGGATTATGCGTAAAAAGTTTGGTCCTTTTATGAAATATTTTTCTCAGAACCGGAAAGGCAACCGCAAAATATATAAAATAAGGATATATATATAAATTATATACAGGCATATACTAATTGTATCTTCAGACCCATAATGCAGATTCTTTATAAAGCATTCAAAGTTCCAAATTTGAAATTGGCACCTAAACCTAATTAATGAAAAGTCAGACTCTCGGCTGGCATGGGGTCTGCATTTTCTTTTTTTAAAACACTATAATCTTTGGCTCCATACAAATATTAAAATGGAAGAATCGAACGTAGATTTTGACTGCTTAATTGGTAGGCTCCAAATTTGATTACTGTAATATTATTTATTAGTTTTACTTTACTGGTAAGTTTTACGTTAAAGTCCAAAATGGGAAATTAATTTTAACTGGCTCTTCCGCGATGCTACCAACCACAACGCATGTACAATTCTTTACTTTGTATTGGAAGAATTTGCATTTATTAGAGAATTGTTAGGTTCAAGTTCCATAAGCCTAAAGAGGAATTAAAGATAGAACAAAATGAAGAAAGAAGAAGAATAGTAGAAAATAGGAGAGAAGGGACCGTGATTAGCGCCATCACACGAGTAACCTCAATAGTTAATGATTTGGAAAAAATTGTAGAAGACAGAAAACAGATTCATCCCTTGTAAAAAGGTTGAGCCATGATTGATTTTGCCTGACATCATAATTTTTTTACTAAAATAACTTTCAAGTAAATTAATATGCTTCACAAATTACACAGAAGAGAAGGAAATAATCACAATGCTATCTGCAATTTTGCATGATCATTCCTGTATCCAACAGAACGCAAGCTATTCCTGTATTCTAGCTCCCATGGTTCAAATGATTTTATGGTTCTTTTCTTTATGACAACAATATATATACACACACAGAGCAACACTACAGTTGATCGTGTTGTGTTGGATGTTTCTTATTGACAATAAGGCTAGAAAACTGATCAATGGCAGCCGCCCGGAGCAAACCCGATTCTTGAAGCAGAAACATCATAGGCAATGTTATATGTCAGTTGTTGATGATTTCCGATGATGGCAATTCGGTTGCTAGTTGCAAAGGCCAAACAAGTGACACCATCATCAGCTTCTATCAGAATGTTTGGAGCCCCAAGAGAGAGGTCTGCACCTCCTTGAAAAATCATTCGAATCTCAGGCACAGCAGACATACTCTTGACACTTCCCCTGAAGCATGTGTCTAGTATGGAATATCCGGGGGCTTGTGCATATCTTGCGGACATGACCTTTACAAATTCTTGACGCAGTGTAGCATATATGGACGTTGGCAGTCTTGTAATAACAGTTCCGGAGTCTATAATGGTGGGGATCTGGTACTGAGCAGCAGAGAGTCCTAGAGGCCTACCAGCAACTGTAATAGCTGCTAGTCTTAGAAAGTATAAGCTAGGATTCTGAGGGTTTCTAATCATGGGGGTGAACTTGTAGCGCAATGGAGAAATCTTCCCAATGTACAAGGAACCTCTTCCAGAGGCTGTGGGAAGACAGTAGGAGAAGGCATATTCATACTTGGTTGACAACTGGCCTAACATTGATAGCTTGTCATGGGCTAGCCCTACAATACCTGCAGCTCTTCCAAATAACCCTTCGTTATCCTGCCCACAGCCGTAAGTGAAACGGGGCAAGGTCTGCGATGATGTCAAGGTCAGTAGATCTTGACTCAAGTAGCCAACTGAGTAAGATGCATCACCATAGCTGGCTGTGTAGATGCATTTATTACCACTAGTACAAATGGGGTCATTCAAAGTGGCAGCCTTGAGCGAAGAGCACTCAGGGGTGTTGCATGGTAAAATACTGTAGGTCTTCGATGCAGAGGGTACAAACAGGGGATCTACCTGGCTATGACAGTATATAATACAAGGCTGGCACTGAAGCCAGGAGAGCGAGCTACCTGTGTCAAGAATCATGGAATAGTACCTGGGAGGGGAGCCAAGCCCTAACTTTACAAAGAAGTTACCAGAGCCAATAGAAAAACCAGGATTCAAGGGGATGCTCCCTGAATTTTGGGCCAGGAGATGTCCCGATTTGTGATGGGAGACACGTTTTTTTGCTACGATGTTCGTAAAATACATTACACGATCTTCGTCATGTGAGATTACATCAATAAGAGATGACGAGGAAGAGTTGGGAGAAAGAGGGGAGCCGGGGCCACGTACATGATACAAGTTGAGCTGTATGCTGGATTGGTTGTCTGATAACTTGTGTCCTGCAAAATGTTTATTTGTCATATGAAGCATACAAAATATATGTCACGTACTAGATGATTCTTACTAATAAGTAAATTATGCCAAAGATTTACATGGGCACTCAAAAGCTTAATTGAAGAGTAGAGAATTTTACATGCCTTGAAATTTTGCTACAGAAGATGTTGCAAGGAGCAGATAGCAAGTAATCAACCATAAACAACCCATCTCTTGGGGACTGTGCAGCTTATGCTCTCCCTTGATTATTAGTATTTAAATACAAACAGAGAAGCAGAAGCAGCAGCTCCCCTGGTCTTGTTATAGTAGAGAAGATGATGTGACATCATTTATAAATGATGATAAGATTAGTTGGAAATTTGCGAAAGCCATCCCATTATGCCAACCAACAGAGTCCTTGAATAAGTTGGGGAGATGGGAGGTGCATTTATAGCTACCACTTAAGAGGACACGGAAATGTTCTATTGGTCAATTAGAGATTAGAGATTGTTCCCCTAGCCAACGGTGCTTGCTTATTTACATTGTATTATTTCCGAATGAATACTACACACACATACACCTGCAGTTCCAAAGCAAATAAGATATTCATGGACTTCACCTGTAGACCTCACAAATGGTTCTTGGTTGCAACTCGTGTGGCTCCACATGAGGAACCAATACACAAATAATCTTTGGGTGGGTTCCAGCATACAAGGATCCATGCATCGTCCTCATGTCAATGGAGCGACTCATTCATTCGCATACTGTAAAGCTAAAATTAGTGGGCCAAATGATTTGGATGGTGAAGGGACAAGCTATAAATGTAGTCAATTAAGGGGACCCAATCGTAGACGTAACGACCAAAAAGATTCCATTATTCAAATCGATCTATTTATGGAGAAGTAGATTTAAAAAAAAGTTACTTCTGGACGAGTAAAGTGAGTAAAGTGCGATTCTATTTAATTGATAGATTAAATTCTCAGAAATTAAAATTGATTTTATTAAAATGTGGAATTATAAATGATAAAAATACACCTATCATATATAATAATTAAAATATTTCATTGAAAAAGATTTAAAAACCTAAAATATTTCATTTAAAAAAATTTAATAAAACACGTTTTATACGATCTACTAGCTTGTAATTAATATAACTTTTTGATTACATATTGTGCAAATATTATTATAATTTTATTTATTTAGTTAATGTTATAATTACAAACAAAATAAGAATAATAATGCTCTGAAAAAGTTTTTAATAAGGAAAAAGCATGTGTTGAATTAGAAGTGCAATGGAACAAAGTTAAAATAAGCACATGTGCGGTAGAAGCTAAAAGGGTAAAATTGAGAATGTGAAGTTTTTGAGCTAAGGAAGTCCACTCCTTATGGGTGAGCAGGGGAAGTTACTTTCCTTTGTGCCAACGAAACATTCTCAAAATCTGTATTTCTTAGAAATTTCAACTTCCTTGCTTCACTTACCCCCAACCAAACGAGGCCTTAGAGATAACAGATACTGAAGTAAGCTGGATATGGTAATCCTCTTGCACTTCTAGCTAGTGGAAAGGTTCACCATAGAAATACTTTACTTTGCATTTTCGTTGAGATAAGGATTTTGCAGACTGCATTTACATTTTCAAGTTAGCTCTTCTTCAGATATTTACTTTTCTCAACGAGAAAATAAAATAGAACACAAAAACCTCCGTGAATCATTGATATGGAAATATATACAGGCGCCACTACTTACTTGATTAGAGTTACAATATTACACATTCTCAACTCAAATATTATTACTACATCTGTGCTATGAATTGTGAAAAAATGGGTAGTATGGCCAAAGAAAAAGAATGGTTGATTTTCAATGATTATGATTTGTTCTTTATAAGTGAAAAAGCCACGGTGATATGGACATCGACGTAGAGGTGAAAAAAGAAATCCTCAGGCTGAAACCAAAATTTATAGCTCATCTCCCATAAGAAAACCGTCATCAAGTAAGCTCAAATCAAAGATAGCAATGGATTATTGCTCATCTCCATGGAGTTGACCACGACAGGTTCGATTTAATTGAATAAGTTGACCACGTAAGCTGCACTCCTCCACCTGAAAAGCCAGGATCATCTGTTATCAGGAAATACTAGTACATGGGGCTGAATCTTGATGATCCTCTAAATGCTTCTCTTAATGATCCATTATTTATTTTCTAGTTCATGTGTACTTTTTACTTTGGTAGCGAGCAGTTAATACATAATTAAGGAGATGGTATGAGAAATACGTAACAACTATATCAACAGCTGAACATTTCATAATAAAGTATGACGTATCTAAAATACTAAAATACCTGTGATTTATATGTCATAGACAATAGCTCCCCACATTCTTCAACAAGTGCTCTTTCTCCTCCAGACACCCTGGTTAGTTCTGAAACCAAAATTTCCAGTTCTTCAGCCTGGATCAGGGAAGCAAAGAGTAAGAATATGGACATAGATCCCTTTTTTTTTGTATTCAATTACCACATTAATGACCACATTATACGGGTGCTATTTAGTAGTACTTAATGTTTAATGAAAATTTTAAAGTCAAGACCTCTGTTTCAGAAATCAATTAAATAATCCCTCGAAATAGATGGAACATTTATTTGATTTTTGAAAATACAGAGGTCCTCACCTGCGAATTTCACTAATGTATGAGTACTAAGGAACCGTAAGTATGGCCTTCCCATTCCCCCATGAACGGAAAGTTGGGCTCAAGTTAACCTTAATAACCCACTAATGATGGCATAGAAAAGCTAACAGATGAACTTCGTTTTATTGATCATAAAAGGAGAATATCTATACACAGCGCACCTTTGGCATAAAGCTTTGAACATGGTGGGCTATTGTATCCATCAACTTCACTGCAGAGTTCAATGCCTCTCCTACCTCCCTTACATCAGCCTGAAACACACATTGTCAGCATAGAGAGCAAAGTGATAATCCTGAATAAGGCAATTATTAAGAAGTTACAAAATGGTTTTAAAAAAGAAGAGGTTATTCTTGAATTGCTTTACAGCGAGAAAATCGTACTCTAACGTTCCCGCAGATTGGAAGTCTAAGTGATGCGTTCGACAATGCTTGAATTGCTTCTAGCAGAGATACTGAATAATCCACTTCGAGGGTAGACCAGTCTTCCAGATATGGCATCTAATGAAATAAAATATTTTAGAAAATGATGACTATGGGCAAGAATATATTTCAAGAATCTCCAAATATGTGTTTCTTAAAAGCAAGTGGAATGAGAAAATATTGAGTTGACTTGTATAACCACCAAACTTTAGCTATCTTTAACACAAACCAAACAAGGAAAACCAAATTTCATTTACTACACTTCATAACTATCATTTATTCAGCAACCTTATCTAAATTGCAGCAATGATTCAATGCTTATAAGTTTTTCTTTGTTGTCTCAGTTCATTTCTGTCATATGTTCTGTTGTAGCTTCTTCAAGAAAACAGATTACTTCAAAACTACAAATGTAAAGAGAATTGTAATGCTTGCCATTGGATGTAATTAGGTTTGCAAGCTACTCGAGCATAAGTCACACTGAACTAGAATTGCTCAAGTTGCTCAGTTAAAGCTCAGTTTGATTGAAATTGAGTCAAATTTAACAGAATATTCTTGAGAGGAAAGATCTTCTCGTTCAAAACAACACATTAAGAAGACAACTATTGCACAATTTTTCCGTTAAGAAAAAATACAAAACATATCCAACAAACCAGCATTCTTACCTGAGATTCAAGAATTGTAGATAGAGCCTTAGTGTTTTGGAAAAGGCCAAGTTCAATGCGTTTCCTTTTCACCGAGTCACATAACTCTGATATCTTGACACCGAGAGAGTACAGTGTTCTCTACAAAGAAATAGAAGGAAAGTCGGATACTAATTTGCAAAATAAAAAATGCAGAACCTTTTTTTTTTTTTTTTCCTTCAACCCAAAAGCTTTCCTTCTTTACAATTGTGATTTGTAATTTTTAAGTGGAGGTGTGGAACAATATAATGTCATTCTTGGTTACGTAGCCACTCCTTGCAAATTATTTGATATAATAGTAAATTATATTCAACATTAAAGTCAATTACTTTCTATCTTTCCAATAAACGGTGAATTCTAACCCCAAAAAAACGAAGAAGGAGAAGAAGAATCATTTTATGGTAATGAAGACTAGCAGTTGCATATAACCACTGAATTAAAAGATAAAACCCATATAGGACTTAGATACAGCCTAACCTAGTGATGAATTGAACAGATTATTGAAGTTTCAACCTCGAAATTGAAGTTGGTAAATTTGAAATTCAATTTGTGTACCTCGGTTTCCCTTCTCTGAGCTTTGACGGAGGCCTCAGCTTTTGCATTGACATATCGCCACTGCAAATAATGGTTGTGAAGCAATCTCAGAGAATGCACATCTTCTTGCTGACTGGGAATTTTCCTCCCCTTTCTGGACACATCGGCTACCAGCTTTGGAGGAAGAGGAGGCCCACCTATCTTGACAGAATTACTATATTGTTTGGCTGTTTTTTCAGCAGCTTTCAGGGAATGGATCAAAGAATATTCAGATGGAGAAGATCGTGGCAAATCAAGGGACCGGAAGCAGGGGGAAGCAGAGAATTTAGAAGAATCAACAGCACTCCCGTTGAGCCTATTGATATTTCTATCTGCCAAATATCTACTTGAGACGGTGGCCTCAGGCATGGAAGAGCGGATATCAGGAATTGTTAAGTGGTTCCCTTGGATGTTATGATTATTACTATTGTCATGGCCATCACAAGTGGATCGCGATGTTGATAATTCACTCAAATTTTCCGAATGAGATGGTGACATTCCAGAAGTTTGCAAGAGCTTTGCAGCAGCTGAAATGATGGGTGTAGAATGGTGCTGCATCAGTCGTAGTTTAGAGGAGGATATAGTGACTATCGGGGTGTCAGGCCTGTGAGATCTTGATGTTGCCTGTTCCTGTCTGCCTCCTCCGTTCTCCTTGAAAAGTTTCATCACAGCGCGTTGCTGAAGCTTCCGTTGTGGCGGGCTGCGAGTGAAATCAGTAGCGGTGAGTTTGTTCTCGTCGGCACAGGAGAGAGGCTCCATTTGTCGCTGCTTCTGCACAGAGCTGGATCGCTGCTGCTTGTTATTGGGAACAGGGGAGGACGAAGGAGACGCTGCTACTGGAGACATGAATCTAGAGCTCACCTCCCTCACCCTTGGCCGCCGCTGAGTAGGAGGAGGTGGAGGAGGAGGAAGATGGGGATTTGTACTCTGGTCTTGCATCGATGCTACAGCTTCCACCATCGGCTCATTCATTTGATTGTCAAAATAAAATTGGGAATCAATAAAATTGTGATTCTTCTCGATTTGTTTATACTAGTCTAATTAATCCTACCAGGCAATAAATGGTAGCCGCTCGTCCTGTTCTGTTCCTATATCGTGCGAGAGTTTAACTGAAAAGGAAAATAAAAAGAAAATGAGAAAACTAGCCGTTGCTGGGAGCTTTTCCTAACGGTTCTATTTTTGAAAAGGGTATTTATACCTTTCATTGGATCGGCGGCGAGGAGTGGATGTTTTCTTCCAGGTTTAAGTACAAAAGGGCGAAAAAATGGAAAAAATTGAAAGCCCCGAAAAATTTACCTCACATGCATAAATAAATTTCTTTCAACTCTCTATGCTATTTTATCATTAGTCGAATCTGATTATTAGTTTTCCATTTTCGATATATAATTCAATTCATTCATATGTTCTGCATTTTACTAACCATAGTTAGCATATCATTCTAAAAACTAACCATAAATTTTACTCTACTCGCCTCTTAGGATCGCTTTGCTGAGCCGAAATATCACGATAGATATGTGATTAATGTAATGAATAATAGAAGTAAGGGCAATACAATTGGAATCTCGGTCCATTATAGTGTTAAAAAAAAAAAAAAACTCATTTCATATGTATTAATGATTAAAAAAATTCTGAACTTTAGCCCTTTTTACAATTTTAGCAATTTTTTTTTAATTTTATCAATTGTATCATAGAATTTAATTTTTTTATAGCAATTGCAGCATTCATCCAAGAAACGTTAGAAGCTCATTGACGTGGTCACGAAGATCCAACATGTAAAAAGAGGGGTTAATTCTCTTTTTTTTATTTCATATGTATTAATTGTATTAAAAAATTCTAACTTTAGCCCTTTTTACAATTTTTCAGTCATATTTTTTTTTAATTTTATCATTGTATCATAGATATTTAAAATTTTTTATAGCAATGCAGCATTCATCAAGAAACGTTTAAGAAGGCTTCTATGACGTTGGGTCACGTAAGATCCATACATGTAAAAGAGGGTAATTCTTTTTTTTTTTTAAAAGATATTATTATATATATATATATATATAAATATATATACTATATATAATTAAATTTCAATTTTATAAAATTTATATATATAATTAAATCAATTTATAAAATTTAATTTATTTATGTCTTTGACCTCTCTCTTTTCAAAAATTATATATTGACCCTATAAATCTTTTTTTCTAGATCCCCCGATCAATGTAGTCGTCAGTGGATCCAACATACCGTCACATGAACACGCCATATCATCATTTAAAAGGTTTAATCATAGAAAAAAAAACAAAAAGCTTGAAGTTTAGCCTTTTGTTATCAATTTTAGTTAATAGTTTTAATTATGTCCGTTGAGCACCACCTCAAGATTTTTTTTTTTTTTAGAAACAAAACTTCTTTCTTTAAAATGATCCAAGTTGTAAATTAAACCAATACTTTAAAAACTTAAGAATTAAAACTTAGTAAAAATATATAATTCTATAATAAAAATGCTTGTACTTATTCATAAATTTCAAGATTTAACATTTTCAAAAAATAAAAAATAAGTGCATAACTTTTATATGTAGATGCATGCGTCTTAATTCATTCATAGCTCCCATTTTATCACCACCATTCATTAGACTAATTGAAAATACTAATTATAATAAGTACTAATTGAAAATAATCAAACATTTTTCTTAGACTAAAGTTATAAAGTTATCTATCTGTATTTTTCAAAATAAAAGTACCTCTACTTCCTTCTATGGCTGTTTGACCGATACTATAGGATATAAGCTAATGGTTAGTCTTTCTTTTTCCTAATAGAATTTCTTGATCCATTTTGTAAAAGTCTTTGTTAAATGTTTTACTGAATCTGAATTTATTTTCCGGTCTTATATACATGTATCGTTAGAATATACTTTAGTGTGCCTCTATTTTACTTTTTAATTTTTCATATTTAAATTGTTTCACTGATAATGAGATATGACTGAATTATTTAAATTTTGTAAATCGTGTAGTTTTAATTTTAGCTCAATCTAGAGAATAGTTAGATATTTAAAAGAAATAAGGCCAGGTCTTTATGTTCACATTTGATTAAATTTTCATTTTTTTCTCTATTAATATTGTTTTAGTGGATTGGTGGTATAATTTTTTTTGGATGGATCATTGATTTTTTTATTATTTTATAAATAGACATTTCTTCTTATTATATTATTCATACAATACCTGTAAAAATATTCATAAATATTTCCTTAAATTTTTAAAAGAGGAATAAGACTCGATTTGTCCTCGGAGTCAATACTTAATTTGCTCAAAATCTAATTTTTTTATAATTATCCTTAAACTTGCACCAAAAGGACAAAAGAATAAAAGCTGTAATTTTTAATAAAAAAATAAAAAAATTTAATTTAGGTCAAATATAATTAAAAAATAAATAAAATATTTTATTTAAATGAAATATAATTAAAAAAATTAAAATAATAAATATTTTTCAAATCAAGTAGTCAATATAATAAAATATTCTTCTAATTCTATAATTTTTTTAAATCAAATATTTTATATAATTAATTTTTAAATCAAAGTAAGATACTTTTTTGGGAATGATTGCTATACATTTTAAATAACTTTTTTCTTTCCTAATTTTAAACTTTAAATAGTTTTTATTAGTTAAAAATATTAAAAATAATTTTTTGGTAAAATATTAGGCTCCTTTTGGTGCAAGTTTAGAAAGATAAATAGTTTAAAAAAATTATATTTTTTAGCAAATTATTTCTTTTAAATTTAAGAGGCAAATTGAATTTTTATTCCTTTAAAAATTACGTATACCACTAGTTTAAACCTATTCGTCGCGTGAGCTGGTAACATTTATTAAGCGTACATTTGGTTGTGATTTGTGAAGGTGACACGACGCAACATCTGGAAGCCAGAAAAAAAAAAAAAAAAAAAAAAAAAAATTTGTGAAATGGTTGACACGGTATCGCAAACATTTTCTGGAAGCCAGAAAAAAAAAAAAATAAAAAAAAATGAAAAATAAAACCGAAAGCCTTAATTGGTCAAAATTTTCCCCATTTCGTTTGCAGAGTTGTTTCGTTAGAATTCTGGCATTGTCCTAGAGATTCTCTGATTTCCTAGACGCCGGAAAAAATATCCTTTTTATGAGCTTGTTCGAGTGTCTCAGAGGGTGGTTCACAAGATTGCGGTATCCTTAATTTCGTATTCTTGATATTAATGATGTTACACAGCTGGAAATCAGCTACAGACCTGAAATTAAAAAAAAAAAAAAAAAAAAGAAAAAGAAAACTCGAAAGCCTATTGGTCAAAATTTTCCCAATTTCGTTTGCAGAGTTGTTCGTTAGAACTCTGGCATGTCCTAGAGATCTCTGATTTCCTAGACGCCGGAAAAACCTTTTATGAGCTGTTCGAGCACAGAGGGTGGGTTCACAAGTTGGGTTTTCCTAATTTCGATTCTTTGTTTAGATGACACAGGAGAATCAGCTACAGACCTGAATTCAATTTAGGTTCTTAGTCTTGGGAGTGTTTGGTTTATCCGTTAGATTTAGTTGTCTTTTTTTTTTTGTACTTGCACAGGAATTAACCGGCAGAACATATGGTGATTACGAGCGTCTTTTCGGTGGGCAGCCACCGGTTAGCTTCGGTGCCTTGTTCAAGGCCCGGGCAAAGAACGAGACCTAGAGTAAGAGCAGCTTTGGTGGAAGCGAGACCGAAAGCTATGCCAGTGCCAAGAGATACTAATCTAGTACTAGGGGGGAATAGGACGGAGGACCTGCAGGCAGAGGCAAGGGCCATGGCTCGTGCCGCCAATGCGTCCATTTATAGCCCCGAGCTTCTTGCAATTAAATACGGGTCCAGGCCTATCAAGGTTACTCCTCTTCTTCTTCTTCTTCTTCATAGGTTAATGTGCACCTCATAACAATTTGATTTGGCATTTGGTTATCAGGTATTGCAAAGGACTCTAGCAATTTTGGTAGCCCTTGGTTCATTTGCCTTAAAACTATTGCTGGACCAGAGGAATGGGGTATTTGATCAAAATAAGAGAATGCGAGCTGTTGAACTCAGGAGAATTTTCACCCGACTAGGACCTACTTTTGTCAAATTAGGCCAGGGCTTGTCTACCAGGCCTGACATCTGCCCTACTGAGTATCTCGAGGAACTCTCTGAACTTCAGGTACAATTAAGTTCAGCCTTTTGTCGTTGTGGGCACTTATATGCAGAATGTTAATCATAATAAGGCTTAGTGCAAGGAAAGACATCGTTTGTGTGCTCATTGCAATATACCTCTGCTGCTTCATGTCAAGAATTTCCATCTGAATTCTAGTAGAAGTACTGTTTCACAAATTCCCAATAATCTCTTCTTGAAAATTTCCATTTTTTGTGTTCAACTTATAGAACCAATTATTTTAGAGGAACAACAATAGCTGTCATGCTGATCATGGCTAAAGCAATTAAATATTTCTCCTGAACAGTTTTCTTTTGGTCTATTTGAATAGATTTGTATCTGAAAAGAGCAGGCATTTATGTCATGTTGATGATATATTAATTTTCACTTGAACACAAATTCAATGTACCTTCTTTTCAAATTTATACCTATCAAAACAGAAGTACTAAATCATGTCGCACATACAAGTTGTGTCCCAAATTATAATTGTTGCACTGGAAAATGGATCCCCAAGCCAATTATTCTGACACAAAAACTAGTTTTATGCTTAAGAGAACCAACTAAACTAAGCAGTAGTCCCAAAGTAGTTAAAAGTGGCAATATGGATCCTTTTGCTCTTCATTGTACACTTAGGTTAACATATTTGGAAGATTTTAGGTTACTATCTCATGTCTTTTCCAGGTCTACCTTTTACTTTTTCTCTCTTTTACCAAAAAGGAAATCTGTAAAAGTTAGAAATTAATTTCCTTAATTTGTTTAGGTCTGAATTCCAATGTTTTAAAAAATGAGAGACAAATTAGTTGAGCACACATGATAGTAGTTATAGTAGGCCTTAAAATAACCTTGATGTTATCTTTTCTTTTCTTTTCTTTTGTTTTTTGTTTTCTTTTTTTTTTTTTTTCATTGAACAGGATGCACTGCCTACATTCCCTGATGCAGAAGCATTTTCGTGCATTGAGAAAGAGTTGGGACTACCCCTTGATTCTATTTTTTCATCCATATCCCCTTCTCCTATTGCAGCTGCCAGTTTAGGCCAAGTTTACAAAGCTCAGCTTAAGTATTCTGGACAAATTGTTGCTGTCAAGGTCCAGCGCCCTGGCATTGAAGAAGCTATAGGACTTGACTTTTACCTGATTAGAGGAATTGGAACTTTTATCAACAAATATGTTGATATTATCACTAGTGATGTTGTTGCTCTTATTGATGAATTTGCTCGCAGAGTTTATCAAGAGCTCAACTATGTGCAGGTTATTTTCTTTTCAATTCTTATCATTGTCTTCTATGAGAATGTCCAGAATAGATTCCTTAATCCTTTTTGTTGGAAAATGAAAAGGCAAAGTGTGTCATCACTTCTAGCTTCTTTAACTTTGGCCGAGTACATAACGTATGATTATGTCCTTTCTAAATTGGCTACAGCCTTTGCAATTTCTTTAGCACGAGTCTTTTGGGTTTGAAAGAAAGTTTTGATAGGATCCTGCAGGAGGGACAGAATGCGAGGAGATTTAGAAAGTTGTATGCTGACAAAGAAGATATCCTTGTTCCAGATATCTATTGGGATTATACCAGTGGCAAAGTTTTGACCATGGAATGGGTTGATGGAGTTAAATTAAATGAACAAGATGCTATTGAGAGACAAGGTCTAAAGGTTCTGGATCTAGTGAACACAGGCATACAATGCAGCCTCCGACAGCTGCTTGAATACGGATACTTCCATGCTGATCCACATCCTGGCAATCTCTTGGCAACACCTGAGGGGAAGCTTGCTTTTCTTGATTTTGGAATGATGAGTGAGACACCGGAAGAAGCCAGATTTGCTATAATTGGTCATGTTGTTCACATGGTTAATAGGGATTATGAAGCCATGGCTCGTGATTACTATGCTCTAGATTTCTTGTCTCGTGATGTCGATGTGTCTCCAATTGTACCAGCGCTGCAGAACTTCTTTGATGATGCACTCAATTACACTGTGAGTGAACTAAACTTCAAAACTCTAGTGGATGGCCTGGGTGCTGTTTTTTATCAATATCCATTTAATGGTGAGTTAATACTTGCTTTAATCATTTTCTTTTGATACCCATGATGTAGGTTCTAGGTCTTCGCATTTAAGATCAAGTTAACAGACTTGATTTAGTAGATGCAAGCCCGCCTTGTGTACAGTGTTAATCTAATCTCTGGGTTCTCAATTCGCAGTTCCAGCATATTATGCATTGATATTGAGATCACTTACTGTACTTGAAGGTCTAGCCCTTTATGCTGATCCTAATTTCAAGGTGTTGGCTGCTTCGTATCCCTATTTTGCTAAAAGGCTCCTCACTGATCCAAATCCATATCTTAGAGATGCTCTTATTGAGTTGCTTTTCAAGGATGGAAGGTTTAGGTATGTATTAAGCTAGCATTAGTTTTATGCTTTTGGCTGAGCATGTATATAATTTTTAGCTGTTATAGGCTCACTTGAAAACTTAAAATTCTTTCTATCATGCAGATGGAATAGACTTGAAAACCTACTTGTTGAAGGAAGGAAAGATAGAGACTTCTCTGCAAAGGATGCTTTACAGCCTATTTTACAGCTATTATTGGCCCCAGATGGTGAAGAGCTTCGAACTTTAGTTATTAAAGAGGCTGTTCGGATAACTGAAGCTGTTGTTTTAGGCACCATTATTGATAGTTACAACTCTATCCCCAGTGTTATGAGGGCTCTAATATTTAATGGCAACGTAACTGGGCCACTTGCAATTAATGATATGGAAATTCAAAGCATGTTGGAGCTTCGAGACAAAATCTCTAGGATATGGGGCCTTTTGCGATCTTCTGAAGATTTCGACCCAGCACTGTTACAACCCATATTACAGGTAAATACAGGTTTTTGTTGAATTAATGTCTAGGATATGTGGATTTACAATAGGTCAGTGAAAATTAATGCCTACAAGGTATAAAGCATTTGCTAGGCACAACAAAATCGAACTCTATACTTATGCACATATAAAGTTAAGGGGCTTAGTGAAACTCTCATTTTCCTTTACCTTGGTAAAATTGTGACACTGATATTCTTCCTTTTGTTTTCAATAGAGTAGTCTATTTTGGATCAGTAGCTACTAGCTTTGTTGTATCCTTTGTCGATATTAGAACAAAAAAATTATCATAGATACTGCATTAATTGACAATTAGTTGAGAAAACTAGTACGAACGCATGTTTCTTGAATCCATTTGAAGAACTGCATCATTTTATATATTACAACTAAATAAAACGTGTAAATGTGCAGGTCCTTCAACAACCTGAAGCACGTAGTATAGGGGGGCGGGTTATTGGTGGGATTACTCAACGTCTTGCAGCGCGGTTATTACAGCAAGTTCTCCGACCTCCAACAACAATTTCTACGTCTCTATCATAGGTAGTGCTGATACATGTGATTGTAGTATAAAGTAATATATGCTTAGAAAAGGAAAAGAGGAAAAAAAAAAAAAAAAGGAAGAAAAAGAGGAAAAAAAAAAAAAAAGGAAATAAAAAAAAAAAAAAAAAAGGAATATATATGAGAATTTGGTAGTACAGACGTTGGAAATATGTATTTCTGGGGAAGGGATGTTGGAGCAATCACATTGTTATTAAATTCATGGAAATGAATGTAAATGAGCCATTGAATATCTTCCTTTGCGTGGTATTAGTAAATACAGCCCAATATTTACTGCGTCACAAATGTATGAAGTATGAACTGTGCTGTAATTTTAATTCTTTTTTAATACTCGTCACACTAGTATGAAGTATAAACTATGCTATAATCTATATAGGTTTCAAGTGAGAATAATAATCCATATAGGCATAACCTTAAATATTTAGTTTGTAATTTATGTGGCATTAGATAATTAACCAGTTGTACTCCTGCAATTGTATGTTTTTTCTGAGTTGGTATGATATGAAAGTATATGCTAGACATGAACTCGTACACCTACAGCAATGGATTTTTAGTTTTATTGTAAATGAAGTTGTGGATGAAGCAATTTATTTAGTATGATAAAGATTTAATATTTTTTAGACACCAATAAATGGTGGTTCTAGATGCACGTAGCTTTCAGGGGCGTGATAAGCATGGAAAAAATTGATGCTGAATATTGGACGATTGATATTACGGAGACCTTTATTAAGGTTTCTATTCATAGTTTTTAGAAGGAAAATATGAATACAAGATGTTGTCGATGTGAGTTTGAATTTGCACTTCTTGGACATTGATTATTTCAATAAAAATACGATGTATATATGTAAGAAGACGATGATGCGTTGAAATAATAAGCTATATATATATATATATATATATATATATATATATATATTATTATATTGCCTACTATATATGGAAATCTGTGGGGGGTTCATGTGTGGGGTTTGCTATATTATCGTTGAAAGAGGTCTTTTCCGTGGAGGACAATGCCTAGGCCTGTAAGGGAGCGATAAATCATGTGCGATTAAATCGTGTTTTTTTTTTTTTTTTTTTTTTTTTTACTATGCTAATATCCATTTTCATTTCTTTGCATTCATGAATTTTTTTCGTTCCTCAATTGGGTTGAACAATGAAAGCAGACGTGTAGTCCTTTATATTTGTTTATCTGAGACAAAACGCGATAGTGTATTGTAACCGAGATGGCATATAGCCAGGAGTTAAAGCCTTTTTGAAGTTATAATAGGTTTGTTTTCTTTCACCCCCTCCAATGAAGAAAATATCTAAGCAATATTAAAATCCATGAAAATTGACCAAAATGTAGGAATTCGTTCCCAGATTTCATAATAAGGTGTCAAAAACCAGATACAAAGTATTGAGTTTAAAATTACCATTTTTTTTTTTCGAATTGTATGATTTTTAGAGATAAATTTATATAGCATTATGGTAATTCTACATAAAACATTGAAAACGACGAAATCAATGGTCAATCTTGAAAAAAATTTTGGGGGGCAAAATTATTTGAGTGCCATCCTATGAAATAAAACAAAAAAAAAAAAGTTAAAATTTTATGTGCTATTTGCAGAACAGTTTTTTTAAAAAAAACAAGTGCTCGTCAAATGGTTTGCCTAGATGAGCCATATTACGAGCAGCACTGAGGTGTACAGAAGACATCGGCTCCGGAACAGAAGCTTCACAGAAGGCTCCTAAGAACCAAAGGGCTATACCTACGATTTTGGGGCCCAAAACCACCGGCCGGGAATTGATCGAAATCATTATAATGTCTTCCTATATGGTCTTACAGGAAATATTATGGCTTCGAAATGGCGTGATAAAGCGACAGACAGAGATATTATTGGTGTAAAACTGCCAAATGCTTCCGAGTGCCACCGAGTTTGCACATAATTATATGGGTTTGCAATTCTTAATTGACGCAACGAGCAGCGGATAGGGATACTGATGGACCACAAGACCTTAAAACTATTGCCTAGATGGAGCCTATAAGAGCTGCCACGTCAGCGTACAGAAGATACGGCTCCAGAACAGGCTTCAACACAGCGGGCTCCCTAAGACAAAGGAGTAAACACGATTGGGGGCCCAGAATCACCGGCCCGAATGGCCCGAAAACGATTTAACAATGCTTCCTACATGTCTTAGAGGAAATATTATGGGCCTCGAAATGGGCGTGATAAGCGACAGACAGAGAGATATTGGGGCTAAATGGAGATATTGGGCTAAAACTGCCAAATGCTTACGGAGTGGTACCAATTTCGCGCATTAATTTGTATGGAGTTTGAAATTCTTAATGACGCAATGAGCAGGCGAGATAGGCATACCGATTGAACCACAAGACCCTAAACTATCGCCTAGATGAGCCTATACGAGCTGCACGTGAGGCGTACAGAAGATATCGACTCTGAAATAGGGCTTCACAGAGGGCTCCTAAGACCAAAGGGGTATACCTATGATTTTGGGGCCCAGAACTACCGGCTCGGAATGGCCCGAAAATGATTACAATGCTTCCTACATGTCTTAGAGGAAATATTATGGCCTCGAAATGGCGTGATAAGTGACAGACATCCCGGCACCGATTTTGCGCATTAATTTATATTGAGATTGCAATTAATAATGACCCAACGAGCAGGCGAGATAGGCATACTGATTGGACCACAAGACCCAAAATTATCGCCTAGAAGAGCCTATACGAGCTGCACGTGAGGCGTTCAGAAGATATCGGCTCCGGAATAGGGCTTCACAGAGGGCTCCTAAGACCAAAGGGGGTATACCTACGATTTTAGGGCCCAGAACCACCGGCTCGGAATGGCCTGAAAATGCTTATAATGCTTCTGACATGTCTTGGAGGAAATATTATGGCCTCAAAATGGCGTGATAAGCGACAGACAGAGAGATATTGGGTTAAAACTGTCAAATGCTTTCGGAGTAGCACCGATTTTGCGCATTAATTTATATGGAGATTGCAATTCTTAATGACGCAACGAGCAAGCGAGATATGCATACCGATTGGACCATAAGACCCTAAACTATCGCCTAGATGAGCCTATACGAGCTGCAAGTGAGGCATACAGAAGATATCAACTCCGGAACAGGGCTTCACAGAGGGCTCCTAATGACGTCTTAGAGGAAATATTATGGCCTCGAAATGGTGTGATAAGCGACAGACAGAGAGATATTGGGCTAAAACTGCTAAATGCTTCCGGACCGAGTTTGCGCATTAATTTATATTGAGTTTGTAATCCTTAATGAAGCATCTAACAGCCGAGATAGGGATATCGATTGGACCATAAGACCCTAAATATCCCCCAGATGAGCCTATAGGAGCTCCGCGTAAGGCGTACAGAAGATATCGACTCCGCAACAGGGCTTCACACAGGCCTCCTAAGACCAAAGGGGTATACCTACGATTTTGGGCCCGAAAGCAACGGCTCAAAATTGCACAAAAATGATTACAATGATTCCTACATGTCTTAGACGAAATATTATGCCTCAAAATGGCGTGATAATCGACAGACAGAGAGAATATTATGCTAAAACTGCCAAATGCTTCCGTAGTGGCACGGATTTTGAGCATTAATTTATATGGCGTACGAATTGCAATTAATAATGACCCAACGCAGGTGAGATAGGCATACCGATGACCCACACAGACCCTAAACTATCGCTAGAAGAGCCTATACGAGCTGCAACGTGAGGCATACAAAAAGATATTGGCTCCGGAACAGGCTTCACAGAAGGGCTCCCTAAGACTGCAAAGGGGTAATACCTAACGATTTGGGGCCTAGAACACTTGCTCAGAAGGCCTGAAAATGGCTTACAATGCTTCCGACATGTTCTTGGAGGAAATATTATGGCCCAAAGGCCTTAAAATGGCGTGATAAGCGACAGATAGAGAGATATTGGGTTAAAACTGCCAAATGCTTCCGGAGTGGCACCGATTTTGCGCATTAATTTATATGAAGATTGCAATTCTTAATGACGCAATGAGCAGGCGAGATAAGCATACCGATTGGACCACAAGACCCTAAACTATCGCCTAGATGAGCCTATACGAACTGCACGTGAGGCGTACAGATGATATCGGCTCTAGAACAGGGCTTCACAGAGGGCTCCGAAGACCAATGGGGTATACCTACGATTTTGGGGCCAAGAACCACCACCTAGGAATGGCCCAAAAATGATTACGATGCTTCCTACATGTCTTAGAGGAAATATTATTGCCCCCAAAATGGCATGATAAGCATCAGACAGAGAGATATTGGACTAAAATTGCCAAATGCTTCCGGAGTGGCACGTATTTTGTGCATTAAATTATATTGAGTTTGCAATCCTGAATGAACCAATGACCAGTCGAGATAGGCATGCCGATTGGACCATAAGACCCTAAACTATCACCTACATGAGCCTATAGGAGCTTCTCGTCAGGCCTACAGAAGATATCGGCTCTGAAAGAGAGCTTCCCTCAGGGCTCCTAAGACCAAAGGGGTATAGCAACGATATGGGGGCCCGGAAGCACCGGCTCGGAATGGCCTGAAAATGATTGCTATGCTTCCTACATGTCTTAGAGGAAATATTATGGCCTCAAAATGGCGTGACGTGATAAGCGAAGACAGAGAGATATTGGGAAATAGAACTGCCAAATGCTTCCGGATGGCACCGATTTTGCATTAATTTATAATTGAGATTGCAATTAATAATGACCCCCAACGAAGCAGGCGAGATAAGGCAAACTGATTGAACACAAGACCCAAAATATGCCTAGAAGAGCCTATACGAGCTGCACGTGAGGGCTACAAGAAGATATCGGCTCCGGAATAGGCTCAGAAAGGGCTCCTAAGACCAAAGGGGTATACCTACCATTTGGGGCCCAGAACCACCGCTCAGAATGGCCTGAAAAATGCTTACATGCTTTCGACATGTCTTGGAGGAAATATTAATGCCTCAAAAATGGCGTGATTAAGCGACAGATAGAGAGATATTTGGGTTAACAAATGCTTCCGTAGTGGCACCGATTTGGGGCATTAATTTATATTGAGTTTCCAATCCTTAATGAAGCATCTAACAGCCGAGATAGGCATACCTATTGGACCATAACACCCTAAAATATTGCCTCGTTGAGACCTAAGGAGCTGCCCGTCAGGCGTACAGAAGATATCAGCTCCGGAACGGGGCTTCACACAGGGCTCTTAAGACTAAAAGGGTATACCTACGATTTTGTGGCACGAAAGTACCGGCTCAGAATTGCCCAA